CATGGAGTTCCCAGGGTCTACGCGGTCAATGGACCCGATATTGCCTATACCTCCTCTGATGAGGATCGCGAACTCCTGAATACTTCTTCAACCAATGATGGCAATGCCTTTGACGATGGCGCGGAAATAAGAGAGAGCGACGGTCAACATGAGTCCGCAGAGACCCAGCCCCATGAGTCGCAAACAAAGTCCTCCTTGGACACTGGCAAATCAGAATGGGGAGACGAAGCTATTAGAGGCATTTGTGTTTCTCGGTCTGGGCAGATGTTTGCCACAATGTCAGAGTCATCAATTGCTCTTTGGCAGACACGGGTATGTGCATAATGCCGTTATAGTCCATGGGGAAGTCTGGGCTGGTGACTGACAATTCTGGCAGCCTACAGCAGTAGTTACAGCAATCTCTCGATCTCAGTTCTCGTTGAAAACATATGGTCCGAATGTTTCACTCCTTATGCACCCAAATTCGACGATCCTGGTTGTACAGACCCTCAACGGGTACCTACTCACATACTCGGTGACTTCCGATTCGACAACCCAAGTCTACCAGCAGCGATTCGATCATTCCACAAACCCCCGTCGCCAACAATTGGCCCGGTTTTCAGCAGTTGAAGAGGCCAATGTGGTTGGGGACATCAACATTCGTTTCCGAATGGCTATCAAGATCGAGTCGGGAATCGTCAAGGCGCTGGCGCTAGATCAAGAACTTGTTGTCGCCACCGTGAAACCGCCAGCTATACAATGCATTCGGTGGACACCCGAGGCGGGAGGAGCACAAACCACATCCGAGCTATTGAGTCGTATCCTAGGGATCTCGAAGAAGGTCTCGATCGTGGACATGGTTTACGATCGTGCGATGAATCTCCTCATTTGGATTACCAGCAGTGGCCAGGCATATGCCGTGCAACGAGATTCAGGCTCACAGCAGGATGCTGAAGCAGCAAAGAAACTCTTCCACGGACATTGCTTCCATGATCCGAAGGATGACAGCGAAAAGGCTGTGAAAGTTACCGTAAATGCACGCTTCTCTCTGTTGACTGTGAGCTGTTTAAATGGTGATGTCTTAGTTTACACCGCAAAGGATTACATGGGCAACATTCCACTTTCACAAAAGCTCCATCTACCAGCGTCGCCCACAACCACTGGGGCTTTGACTTTCATGAGCTATTCTCCGGATGGATATTGTCTCTTTGCTGGTTTCGAAAACGGCTGGACAACATGGAGTGTTTTTGGGAAGCCAGGAGGAAACAGCTTTTCGGTAGACACTACGTTGGCGACCGCCAATTCGGAGGATTGGTTAATTGGTGTGTCAGACGGGTGTTGGATTGGCGGCGGGTCGGACATCATTCTGTCTGGACAAAACGACCGTCGCCTGTGGGTTCTGGAGACAGCTCGCAGTGCTTTGACTGGTTGTTTTTCGTCTGCAAACTTGGCCCGAGGCCTACTGCAGACCGGTACTGAGTTTATCCTCTACCGCGGTCACGATCTTCCAGATCTCATGACAATATCAGGAAAGGATTCATTGTGGCATCATGGCCAGTATCCACCGGCATATCTTCATTCACAGTGGCCGATTCGATCTTGCGTCGTGTCTCAGGATGGACGGTATGTGGCAATTGCAGGACGGCGTGGCCTCGCACATTACAGTGTCAATAGCGGCCGATGGAAGGTATTCGAGGATTCAAAAGCCGAGAGCTCCTTCGCTGTGCGAGGAGGTATGTGTTGGTATGGCCACATACTGATCGCAGCGGTGGAAAGTGACGGGTCATACGAGGTACTACATGTCTCCCCCTGTGTTGGTGCATGACTGATTTGGATTGAAAGATTCGTCTTTATTCGCGCGAGGCTTCTCTCGGTAACAATTCGATTATGTTCATCGAATATCTCCCATCACCAGTTGTGTTCATTGGAACCTCTGGGGAAGATTCTCTCTTGGTTTATACATACGATAACATTCTGTACCATTATATCATTAATTCGACACAGCCTCAAATCACTCTTGTCCCTGTTGGACAGATTGCTTTTCATGGAATTGTTCGGGCGCCCTCTCGCGTCCGATCGATCAGCTGGGTATTGCCCGAGGACCAGATGCGTGAGTTAACTTGTTTTTATGCAGTTGTTCGAGCACAACACTGACAGCAAAGCAGGAAACGGTGATCCATCTCAAGATGTGAAGGTCGCATCTGTGCTTCTTCTTGTGGACGGCAATTTGGTATTGTTGCAGCCCACGGTCTCAGATGCCGGTGACCTCAAATACGACATGCGCGTCATATCCCATGATGTCGAGTATTACATCTTGATGCGCGACCAAATTTCCTTCAACTTTTCCTTGCAGGTTGATGAATCCCTACCTGCTAGTCCTTCGGTTGATATAGCACTAGAGCCACCTCACAGTAGTCTGTCGCTCAGGGACTCTCTTTGGATGTTCCGTGGTCAAAACCTGCTTGCTTGGAATGATGTTCAAGATGTATTGCGGGAGGAGATGGTGCCGGCACCACTCGACATCCCCCTGGACTTTTATCCATTGTCTGTGTTGCTGAACAAAGGAATTGTGCTCGGCGTTGAATCGGAAATGATGCAACGTCGCGATGTGACCTTCACTGTTCTGAAATTTGCCATCCGGGTAAGTTGTTTTCTCTATCGATAACAATTTGTACTGACATATGCACCTCAGACACACCTTTTCTTACCATATTTCCTTCAATATGGCCTGACGAGTGTCGGAACGCCTGCGGCTCTCGCTCTCTGTCGCCATTTTTCACATTTGTCTTACTTCGCACATGGATTGGAAATTCTACTCCACCACGTGTTAGACGACGAAGTGGATAATGAGAGCCGAGCGAATAAAAGTGACAATCCCCAAGCACGGGCAGAACCACTACTCCCAACTGTCATTGCTTTCCTCCAAGCCTCGCTTCCCGCCAGGGATTACCTTGAGATTGTTGTACAATGCACACGGAAAACGGAGCTTCGCTCATGGCGCACACTGTTCACTTACCTGCCTCCACCCAAGGATCTTTTTGAACAGGCCTTGAAACTCGACTCCCTCAAAACTGCTGTTGGATACCTCCTTGTGCTGCAAGCCTTCGAGGATGAAGAGCATGGGCATGATGGCCGCATTGAAGAATACGTTGTTCGTTTGATTGCTCTCGCCTCCCATAAGGGAGACTGGGAGCTGTGTGCTGAGCTAGCCCGCTTCCTCATTGCGCTGGATGCTTCGGGTGAGATGCTCCGGCGCGCAATTTCCCGAGTTGGTCTACGACCCAACTCACAGCCTTCTGCCAAGGGCACATTTCCCAACTCGGCACCCCGATTCGGTCCCGCAGGTGTCCAAGGTCTTGGCTTGAACCTCCCAATGAGGTCGCCGTCATGGGCGTCCCTTTCTCCAACGTCGTCTCTTTCGCCTCTTCCCAGCCGGCAAGATGGTGATGTGTCAGATGAAAATTGATATTCAGCGCATGGGCAAGATAGATAATTAAGGTGTTGATAGAACAATCAGATAATAATTGAACAACAATCTCTTGGTTGCTTGGTGACAAAAGATAAGCCATTACCGAGATGACTCGAGACCTTGCAAATTCGCGAGAGCCACCTCGGTTAAGACAATGTATACCAGACTCTTTGAATAGGAAAATGATATTGACTTGATAGAAAGCACTATCACGATGCATGGTGCTTACAGATATATCCTATAATAATCTCCTGATGCCTGCCCTGGTAATTTTCCTTCCTGTCTGACTTTGACCAACAGCACACAGGTTACAACCCAAGAACTGCTCGCCTGCTTCCCGAATGAGGGCGTTTAAATTCGTTCGCATTTGCCTGAATTGCATTTCCTTTTCTCCGTAGGCATATTGCAATCTCCATTAGAGGAACAGGAGTCACCTGGACATTTATGTTGGCGTCGAGTTGATACATGGCCATTCGTGTTTGCCACTGGGTAATTAATATCAACAACTTCGCACTTGATACTCTCTACTTGACCGCCGACATAGGCTTTTGGGTGTTTATCCGATTTAGATGCCTTGAACATGTAAGAATGGGAGCGATCGAAAACAACCAATTCACTTTCGCGTTTTTCACCACTGACTCGAATAATTAACATCAATCATAGAGAATAAAACTGGATTTATAACCTACCCGTAAAGTGTGCATATCTTTTTCTTGCCTGATGGCGCTTCACAGGGGATATATACGGACCCGACGTTGCGATGACTAGCAGAGATTATTAGCCCAGGACAAGGACAACCATATACATGCACGTACTACTCTTTGTCAAGTTTTTGACATGTCCCGTCAAGATTTAGGTCCATACTGTGACCCTGGAAGCCCTGGGTCGTGTAGACACGGGGCTTCGGGCAAATATCAGTCTGGCCAAAAGCCACCAACGGGTGAAACACCCGAGCAAAAGCTATGACACTGCAGACTAGCATGACCGAAGATAAAAAATTAGAGCTCCAGGAGATAAATAGAGTTGGTGAAAAGCATATTGGCAAGTGGAAATGTGATTTCATGCATCATGCCTCAAGGCCGGGTGTAAGTCCGGGTTGACGGGGGTCTTGCGTAAGGGTTACTCCTACTAAAATAACCCGAAGACAACTCTGAGGTTAATTATCCTAGTTTCTGAGCTCATCATTCTCTATTACTATTATATATAGTACCAATTTTAAGAAGAAGGATGTAACCTGTGAGTAGGCATCAATTATTGGCCAGAAGAAACAATCAGAAAAGCTTCACTTAACATAATCACCCCATTTATGTTGATGCAATAACAATAGCAGTGGAAAGAAAACAATGGAATAGAACTTCTATTGCGATTAGAAAGGATTTATCAAAATCGTAGCACTATTAGCCAAAATATATCAAGTCACCGAACGGAGGCTCTATTCCTAACACCTCTATGTCAAGTAATCAGCTCGAAACTACAAGAGTTACCTAGTAAAGAACTATTCACAGCCACAAAATTTATATGTGAAATCCCACATCGCATTCATGCAGTGGTGTCAAGCAGTTAGCGTACGGATAGCCTCGATATCAAATCGCAGGTGTATCTCGTACTCACGGCCGATAGTGTGAATTCTAGCGATCCGACGGGTACCTCTCTCCCAAGCTCCTAGCACAAAGCATGCCGCTGCCTTACCTAGCTGTGTACCTAGAAGCTCTCGATACTCCTCGGTACCATACTCCCATGCGTGACTCTCAAGACGATCACGCGTAGGCCAATCCAAATCATGTCTCGGGTAGAGGATTTCCTGCACATAGGGCAGGGTCTCTTCATTCACGATATTAGTAAAATAAAGATATTCGAGAGTATCGATGGGGTGGTCAAAACTATATTGAGCGATAGCGACATTGGACCAATGAGGCCCTGTGTACCTGTAAATACATTCAGCAATTAGAGTGCCTTTTGTGAAGCTATGTTGATACTGGGTTTCTTTTTTGTCGCCATCCTTGTTATACCCATAGTGGAATAGTCGTGTGAAGCGGTATTTTTTGTTTGTTATTGGGAGTCCTAGGTTTTTCAAGTCATCCCTGATGGATTTAGGTGGGTCATCAAAATGGTTCACTGGACATGTAAATCTTTCTCTCTTATTGCTGTTATTGAACAGACCGAACAATGTCTGTCTTGCTTGCCCACAATGGCAGCCGCCTAGAGTTGGGTTGGCAATCCATGCTTGGTATGCAGCTCCTTTTTCATGGAACTCACAGACTTCATCGTCCGACAGTGGGGGCTTTTCATCACCTAAAGGGCTATTGAACGCAACTGGAGTCATTCCATTACTCGATGTACTGTTGTCATCGGGAATGGGATACAGGAGAGGAGATGCTGAAGGTTCTGCGATTTCTTGCGAAAGTACTGGGGACTCCGGGGATTTGGGATTCAGGCGCCGCCGAGTTGGGGAGCGAGAAGAATCACTGTCATCATCGTGGCTGCGCCCCCGTTTGTGTAGACTTGGCTTATGTGGTTTCGTTGGTCTGCGTAGCCCTGCTGGTCGATATGCCATTTTACAGTCCCGCGTTTTGTTTTGTGTTGTGCAGAAAAGATAGAAAATTTGGGTGCCGTTATATTCTGTAAAGATATTATCTCGAATGAATACTTGTAATGAGCAAACGAGAAACAATATGCTTATATAGTCCTGATGAGTTGGCCTTCATAATATGTTGGATGGGGCTATTGAAAGAAGAAAGAAACAAGTCCTCGACAGAAATAGAACACCCAAGAGCTCACCCAAGCCATGAATATACCAAGACGTCAGAAGATTTTATGTACAAAGAGAGTAGAGTCCCGCGACAAAGAGCACAAAAATAAATTCACAAAGAGTTCGAGGCAAAACAAAGCGAAACAAATTGCTTTGTTGGGATAATACTATTCTAAGCTATAGGCTATATTAACCCCCAAGCTATGGGTGAGATACCTGTAATAATAGGTGCGGTCTATAATTGACACCTAAAGATTATTCTGAGAGGTTAATTTTAGAATAGATGCCCTATAGATTTCTTTCTTTTCATCCAGAATCGACGCAACTCGGAGTAGAAGATCAGACCGCTCGTGGGGTGTGGTCTGTGACCATGCTGGGAAAGCTCGAGACGCGACATTGATGGCGTAGTCGACGACGACGTTTGGGGGACTGAGAGGCACTTTCAGCAAGAGTGTGCCTGAGCGAGGGGAAGGCGAATCTATCCATTCCGGTGTGTGTGCACAATCAAGGAACTGGTTTTCGACGAAGTTCTGAAGCTGAAGAGGCTCGTTCGTGGAGTTAGTGAGGTGGTCCGTGGCTCGCACCAGGGTATCGAGCTGCCACAACGTAGAAATAGTGTCCATGATTGCTATAGTTGTAGTAAGAGAGGAAATGAAGGCAATCCTATGCTTGGGATAGTGAGGCTGAGATCTGGTTAATGTGTGTGATACTTCCTGGGCTCAAAGATAATACCTTGTGCCGCGGATGTTGACGTGATTAGAATGAGACGCGCCGAGAAAGAGTACCATAACAAGTTCGCCTGTTTATTATACCACTTCCACCCGCCTAGTGAGAGATCCGAAGGGTTAACCAAGCCGTATATGAGATGATACCTCACTACATGGCTTGTTAATTGGCTGAATATGAGGATATGAAAATAGCTTCTACAATATTAGAAACTGAGTAGTTATTTCATCCTGCTATTAGAGGCAGAATGAATGTCAAAACATTTAGTAGATCACTCAAGCTTCAAACCAACATGGTACATGGTACCCCGGGGTCTTGCTTCCTACCACACTTAAAGGGAAGGCCAGAGAAGTAGCCAGATTGCATTAGCTAACCTCTCAAATCTGTGTATGGCTACATATAGACAGAGTTGAATACATGCCTGTGATCTATACATGAAATAACACGTGATGTGAACCCACTTGCCCTTTCGGGAGTATATAGGGCACAGGAGGTATCAGCCCTTTCATCCTTTTTTTTTGATTTTCACCAATTAACTCCTGCTTTTGTCTTCTTGTAGAGCAGCAAACATATTATATACATTAATTATAACTAATACTAACCAAGTACATACTAAGTGTTGATGATCTGCAGGCATAAACATTATATTCAGGCATCAACATGTGGGGACCCACCTTCCCTTTTCGGAAGCATACATTCCCATATATTTCACAGCAACACCTTCCCCCTAACTGAGAGTCCCCCAGTGGCTGAGTGGGCTCGCACGCATGTACTTGGTAACCCCAGCCGCCTGCGTTCGACCTGCTCAGTCCACAATCCTAAACTTTCCAATTATGCACCCCCAACCATCTTCTTCCCACCGCAGGTCCAGGACCCAGTTCTGCCAGCAGGCAGGAATTGTGAGGATCTTGGGGTCGAACAGATTGTCAGAGAGCTTTATGGGCCACCAATATTGGTACATTGGTTGGGCAGTGGCCACCACTGGCTGGGACTCTCATTTTTTGGGTGTTTCTTTTTTGTTTTCCTTCCCCTTTCTATTTTCCTCTCTTGTCTTGTTAGCGTTTCCCACGCAAGATAATAAGAGCCCCTTGTCCCGAAGGAGTAATTGCAAGGCTTCTTGGCTACTAGTTGAAAGATAAATTTACTCCATGTCAGACAGGTCTGTTAACCCTTTTCCAGCCATTCGAGTATTGTTTCTCAAATCTAGCCGAGGCTCTCAAGCTACTATTCATGCGTCCAAGAGCAAGGGCCATAGACATAGGACTGCCTGCTTTGTCATAGACAAAGCCAAGAGAATTCACGTATAAATACTCGGGTTGTTTGATTCTTTCACTCTTTGAGTCTTTGTCAATTTATTCAAACAAAAATGCTGCACAATGCCATTGACCAAGTTTTCTTTATTACTTATCCGTATTATGTATGCTCGGTTCGAGCATATAAGTTCGCTCGAGGTACCCTGTTGTCTAATTAGACCATTGGACCAATTATATCCCACAATGGCTTTTAAGTATCCCCAGTTTGAGCCGTATGGAGATAAGCTAATCCGATGGATGGAAAATACCAACGAACCCGGATGCCCAGTTCCTATGACTACACTTAAGTCACAGAATCTTCCAAAGTCGCCGGACTGGAACATCGAGTACGAAAGAGAATGGTTATCACCAGATCGTATTGCCTCTATTGTGGGTCTTGGTCTGCGAGTTGGAGAGTTAATTCCAAATGACCTATATCCCACAGAGTCCCCATGTCTACGGCATTCAATCATCAAGGCCCGTCGTAATGGAATCACAGCCTTGGTGGGGACAATTGCACCAGGCGTACTTTTTGTTTATTCTATTCGAAGATACCACGAGTCGAACGATCCATATATATCAGATCTTGCTAAGACTGCCTATGGAACGCATTTTGCGTTGGATAGTTTGAAGTATATCTTTATGAACGACGTGCAGGAATCTGCAACTGAACCATTTATCGAAGAACAGATCTACCCGTCCCGTGAGGGAATTAAGTATCCATCCGCAGAGAGTCAAACCTGGGACTATCCTTCGCCGGAGTTTAGAGCTATTATGGGTACCCCTATCGGTAAGGTTGTCGGATACTTCATTCTAGGTGCGTTTGGCCAAGGTGTGAAACGGGTTGCACGAATTGTCACTTTTCACACTGGTCTTGACCTTCACAAACTGGAAATTCGTTTTGATATTGAAGATGTTGTAGATCTATGTTGAAAATTCCTTTGAGGGAATTCGACTTAGATATAATATCATAGGGGACTGTTGACTTCATTTGCTGTAGGTAGAGGGAGATGGAGTGGAGACACTGGTTTTCAATCAATTTTATGTTATAAGTGTATCAAAATCTTAGATTTAAGTAGCCCCTCGATCATCTAGCATTTTATTGTAAGCTAATCACGATATTGGCTGAAAGGATATCGAGTGATAACCAATAGTAAACACACTGCATCCATTACTCCGCATAGGTGAGGGCGCAGGGCCAAGCCACTCACGGGACTCGGCCCGGGCCGCGTTGGCCTTTTCAGTATCAAAGTGGGGATGTCTGAGAGGAGACCAAGTCGGAGATGACTGGCCTGTATGGCTGTGGGATTAAGGAAGGAGGTTTGTGGGTGCTAGGACTGAGGTCAAACCTGGCTTGTTTGATGGTTCGTTACTAGACTTTAATTCATTGAATGGTCTTCCCACATCATGAAAACTAAATACATATGCAGTGTCTCAATATATGCTAAGACCAGTTCTAACGCTCGTTATTTAATTCGCAGCCCCATTCTCCCGTTCCTTTAACGCTTGACGAACTTTGGGAATAACGAACCGTCCATAATCAATAGCGTCGTTGAGATTATCATAGCCTCGGATAGAGATGAGGTCGGCACCAAGATCAACATAGTCAAGAAGCGACTCGACAATAGTCTTGGGCGATCCAACCAGGGCAGTGGATGCACCACGTGCATTCGTTGCAGTAACAGTAGGATACCAAAGAGCGCGGTCCTGGACCTCTCCGCGAGCGGCAATATCAAGGAGCCGCTGAGAGCCGGCGTTCTGTGGGGGCGGCGCATTCGCGGGGACCTTGCCTTGTCCTTTCGCACGGTTGGTAGTCAGCGCATCGAGGGTTTGGTGTGCTTTGGCCCAAGCAAGGTCGTCAGTCTCTGCAAGAATAGGACGGAAGGTTACCCAGATGCGAGGTCTGTCTGAGTCCGGGCGACCGGCCTTTGCTGCCTCCGCATAGATGCGATCAATCTGGTCCTTTGTTTCTTTCAAAGGTTCACCCCACAGTCCGAAGATGTCAGCCAGGGAGCCTCCAATACGGTATGCTTCGTCCGATGAACCGCCGACTGAGACGGGAATTGTGCCGTTAGTCGGCCGAACGCGGTTGCTGAATTGTTTGAAGGTGTAGTATTTGCTGTCCCAGTCAAATGGCTCATCGGATTTCCACGCGCGGCGGAGAATTTGAATGTATTCCTCAAGGCGTCCGTAACGTTCATCCTTAGTCAGGAAGTCTCCTTCCTTAGCCTGTTCTGCATCGCTTCCACCTGCGATAAAGTGAACAACGACGCGACCGGAGCTAAGTTGGTCCAGTGTAGCTAGCGCCTTTGCCGCAACTGTGGGGTAAAGAGTATTGGGTCGCAGAGCAATGATGACCTTGATGTTTTTGGTCACCGACAGAATGGTGGCTCCAATGGTGAATGGATCATAGGATGAGGAGTCGTAGGGTACCAGCGTGTAGTTGTAAGCATAGTCATCAAGGTTGCGAGCGTAGCGAACGAGATATTCAGGATCAATCGAGGCGTTGGGAATTGGATGGATCTCGGTAGATGCGTTCGGGAACGTGACGCTGATGAATTCCGGCATGGTGACTGCTTTTTTCTGCCTTTTGATGTTCTTAATTTTCTTGTCAGGTACTGTTTTACTTCTCATTCGTGGTAGATTGATCTTCTTTTAATACTTCGTAGTATCTCCGAGTTGATTTGGCATCAACGAATGACGCAAGATGGTAAGATATTGCGTCTTAGCACGCAAGTCGATAACCATATCGTTCCACACCGGATGTTTTGGATTTTCCTAATTCAAGTAAGCGTTACTCCTTCGGCTGCATCAAGTGAAGACTAGTACGAGGACTAGAAGGTATTGCGCCAGTATTGCGCAAGATCGACCATGGGAATCGCAATATGAGGTTGACTAGCACCCAGGTAAGCCTATAGAAAACTAGCCGAGATCGCAGTTCAATTTCCTCTGACTTCTCCAGATCTTCAATCTCTTGATAACGAGTTGCAGGGATGTCCATTCATGACACATTAATCACTGAGATAATATTCGTCGTGATGTGGTGCGGGTATAGACTCATGCCAGGCTAGCTTCTGCCTTTAACGCTAGTTGCCGGCGGGTTAATCTATATCCAGGGCCTCCATAAAGTGCAAAGGTCATGATGAGGTTGGTCGTTCTGCTCAGGTTCCTTCGGCAGAGCGTACAATATATATCCCGAGGTCTCAGACTCTCGGGGTTCATCCCAAATGCAAGTGAGACGTGTCCTTTAAGGAGTTATCCTGGCTATCACGCGCAATTTCTACTCCAAGGCAGTATTTTGTGATCTTTTCCTGTGAGTCTCAGCTGAGTGCAAACAATCAATGGCTGAAGTTATAGTTGGACCAGCGCTCCGGCCAAAGACCCGGCAGCTTGGTATTCAAGACCACTCGCCTGTTACTCTGATTGAGCTTGCATTCGATTTCCACGCAATAGAGGTCAAGCCATCGATATACCTCTCTAAGACCGTGATATGTGATATACCCTGTGAGACCTGGTTGGAGTGCGTTGCTGACGCCTTGGGCCGGTCCACCTGCCCAAGTGGGCACCCCATCCGCCGTCAGATCATGACTCAGCATTCAGGTCCGGTCTCACGTGCCACACTCAATGCGACTCTCTATGATAGGATCTATCAAATAGGGGAAGATTGTTTTGAATCTTGAAATTCATCCAGCTTGACATCATTACCAGGTTCAAACCAATAAGGAAAGCGACAACCTGTTGAGAGGCGCGTGATGATAAGACGCTAGTCCAAATCGGGATACTACGTCATCGATGAGGGATGGGTTATATCCGCGACATACCTCACTCCATCTTGTTTCGTTTACACATGTTTCCCATTTGAACAAATCTACTACATTGAACCAGCCACTATGCCACTCGTTGTCCCAGGAATCAACAGCTCATTTGGCGATAAGTCCGAGTGGGTCAACAAGCTGATGGGCAAGACGATAAGCGACACTACTAATGAGACAGTACGTCACCTTTGAGAAATCATCAAAATCAAATATGACTTCTAACCGTTCCCTAGTCTTTTGCAAAGAAGGATCTTCCTGAATCTCACCGGGTGTTGAAGCCAGGTGACGCGAAGACCATGGATCATAATCCAAACAGGTAAAGCCTTATTGCAAAGTGCCGTGAAGCCAATGACCATGTTGCTGACGGTGTACGATTGAACATAGACTTAACATCCTTGTTGATGATGCTGGAGAGGTGCATGATGTGAACTACGGTTAGAGCTAAGATATATTTACTAAGCCTGGTGGCTCAAATCACAAGAACAAATTGAGCCAATTGAATATCTATTACTTGAAAGTCTATTGATGTCCTCAAATTACCATCTTGTATGGGCTAACTCACTCTGCCTTCCATCTGAGTAGAGTAAGGGAGTGTCGCGGGAACACATATGTTCCACTTCCAGTCCAGGTCGACTCTTGGATCGCCACTTCTTCTTTGCCGTTCATATTTGTCACGGACAGATCGCCCGCGGTGACCGTGAACACAGCTACTTCTCCTTGGGCTCCCTCAACATGACTTTCCAAGTCTCGGGAGTCGTGAATATTCACCACAGCAACATTAACAAACCCATCATCTCCTACAGTGGCACTTACATCCAACCACGGCGTATCCTTGGCACTTCGAATCCACTTGGGCGATGTCTCACCCTCATATGTTCCGCAAGAAACATGACTGGCCACGGTCCAACCGCGCATGTATCGTGAAAACAGCCAAAGCGGCCACCAGGTGGTCTGCTTGGTAATTCCTTCCGGGGTAGTCATCAAGGGCGAGATGACATTCACAGTCTGCGCGATACACGCCATGCTAACATCCTTGCTCTTTCGGACAAAGACATTCAACCAGGCGGCCACGGCGAGCGCATCGGAGAGCGTGTAGTTCTCTTCGGCACCTAGGCTCCCCTCTGCGCGGATTGGATCCCACACGTTCCACTCGTCGAAGCAGATCGTCGGGCGGAGTTGCTCGGGAGGAACTTTGTTCTCCACCCTGGCAAGGTCAATCAAAGCGGACGTAATTTCAATTGCGCGCTCGGCGGCGAGTGGCGCTGTCACGTTGAGGAGGTGGGATGATGAAGACGTGTAGAGATGGATGCTGTGCATGTCAATCAAAGGGACTGAGCTGGTTGACAATGTGGAGTGGGCAGGCACAAGACACTGATTTAGTGTGTAGTAATCCCACGAAGCAGTGCCATCTTGGCCGCAGAGGATCAAGATCAGGGTGGGATCCAGGAGTTTGAGAGCTGTTTGAAAATCATATTAGCGCGAGTGCTCTGGTAGGATTGAAACGAAGCATTACCTTTAGCCCATTGGATTGCCTTGTGAGCATACGCTTCCTTGGTCATCTGCTCCACCTGCCAAGGACCCCAACACTCGTTTCCGAGGGCCCAGTACTTGACCTGCTCAGGTTGTTAGATCGTTGCAGCTGAAAGTCTTGCACTTATTACATACATTGTAGGGCTCCTCACGACCATTCTTTCTTCGTAGATTGGCATAGTAAGTATTGCCAGTTCCATTGCAGTACTCAACCCAACCCAAGGCTAATATTGTCCAACATCAGCATGTTGTATCAAAGTCTTAAATAAGAACGTACCCTCATCCAAGGTACCGGTACCAAAGTTGAAGCAAAGGTACGGCTCCGTACCCAGAGCTTCACACCATTGTATGAACTCGTCAGTACCAAATTGGTTCGTCTCGGTCCCGAGCCAAGCAAGTTCTGGTCTGTCGGTAGGTCGATATCAGCAAAGTTCCACCAAAGTTAATATGACATGAGAAGTAGACATACCTTGCTGGCCGTTGATCCTTAGGACCAACACCATCGAGCCAGTGATAGGTCGCACAAAAGTTGCCGCCAGGGTATCGAACGACAGGGATGTTGAGCCCCTTCAACGCCCCTAGGACATCTTTGCGGAATCCTTTCTCATCTGACAGCGGGTTTCCAGGATCATAGATGCCACCGTAGATACACCGGCCCATATGCCTAAGAGCTAGTCAGTTTATGTAATGAGACTGGAAGAAGTTCAAGATGCCTTACTCGGTAAAGCCGGCGTAAATGTTTGGGTTGATCTTGGAGATGCGCCTTGATGGGTGCACGGAGATGAGAGGCGTCTCATGATCATCCAATTTGGTAAAGGTCGTCATTGTTTGCACGAATAGTTTTGTTTCTACTGTTTATGTTGAGGCGTCACTTCTGACTAAATATGCGATTTAGCTTGGATCCAAGGTCGCGGTTCACTTTAGGGAAAAGGTGTTTGAAAGGCGCGATTCAAGGTAGACAAGTAAGAAGCAGATGTATACTGATCGCAGATAATCTATCGAAATAACCGAGGGTTCAGGCCTTGAAGCGGCAAAACTCCTGCGGGGGAACTGTCGTGAGATCCGGATGATGACCCCTGTATTAGCCCTAGTAGCCCTAGCAGCGTTTGCGGTGACTACCGGAAACCCGAGACGAAGCCCTTAGTTAGCTTTCTGGATCAATGATAGATCAACAGACCAATGAGTCGGCAGTCTAGCCTTAAATGCCCCCGACATGAGAGAAAGGTGGGAGATATTCCATCAATCACAGACGAGATCACGCGCCACATTTATTTGCCAACTCCTCCCCGCATGCTTGCAACTCGTCATTCCGGACCATTTCTAGCAAAGGACAAAATATGAGAAGCGATTGGTGAAGCAGTTTCCGCATTTCCCCATGTTTACACCACGCGATGTTAGCGCAGTTCAAGCCTCGACTTCCCCGAGTATACGATTCTCCGAGGTCATGGCTAATTGCATGGGTTTCTCTGTATATGTAGACAAGATTCCCCGGAGAATGTGTGGCATGTGGAGGTAGATCTTCATTCCCCATATTCTTCGATATAATATCCACTTCTCCAAACCATGCATCTCTCGCCATCATGGTACCAGGTATGAAGGCACAACTGCATTGAGAAGACGGAGCTCATGTTTTGATATAGTTCCTGGTCGGCGTCTTTGCCTCTCTTGGATCATTCCTTTATGGATGTATGTCACCAATTCCCTGCTTGACACGCGGAATCTAATAAATTCGCAGATGATCTGGGTGTAATCGCCGAGGTGCTTGTCTGCCAATCATTTAAAGCCAAATTCGAGGCAGATGATACCCAAACGTCAGTCTCATAACATATGGAATATGGAAATAGCTGACGATTTGCAGAGGATTAGTCGTGTCTTTATTCACGGCTGGCGCATGCATCGGTGCCGGACTTGCGGGCGTCAGTGGTGATCATTTAGGTAGACGACGGACCATCTCACTGGGATGTTTTATCTTCACTCTCGGGGGTGGTCTTCAAACCGGTGCGAGGACAATTGCCTATCTATATAGCGGACGATTCCTAGCCGGGTTAGGGTTTGTGATTTCTCTCAAAAAAGATACCCAAATAAGCACTAATCAGATTAATTCTTAGTGTCGGTTTCCTCACAATGATGATTCCTCTCTACCAAGCCGAGATCTGTCACCCCAGCATCCGTGGTCGAGTTACGGCCTTGCAGCAGTTCATGCTCGGTATTGGAGCGCTCTGCGCTACATGGATTGGTTATGGAACATACACCGGCTTTGCAGAGGATAACAATGCGCAATGGCAACTGCCTCTCGGTTTGCAAATTGCCCCTGCGGTATTCTTGGGTCTTTTGATCTCTTTCTTCCCTGAGGTAGGGTCTGATTTCCATCGGGTCAACTCCAATAACTGATGTTTATCCAGTCGCCTCGCTGGCTTATTGACCACAACCGCACCGAAGAGGGATTGCGCACATTGGCCAAGCTGCATGCGCATGGTAACGAAAACGATGCTTGGGTCCAGGCAGAATTCGCTCAAATTCAGGAGAGCATCACGTTTGAGCATGAGAACGAGGCGAAGTCATATGTCGAGTTGTTGACCAATCGCTCCTCGTTCCGTCGGTTGTTCCTCTGCTGTGCATTGCAAGCCTCAGTCCAGATGACCGGTGTATCCGCCATTCAGTAAGTGTACAACTGCCAAGATACATCAACATAGAATCAGTCAGCTAACATGTTCGTGCATAGATACTACTCACCTCAGATTTATGGTCAAATCGGTATCTCCAACGAAGACACCCTCAAGTACCAGGCAATCAACTCTATCATCGCATTGGTCGGCCAGTTCCTGTGCATGATGTTCATTGATCGCTTCGGCCGTCGCTGGACTCTGATCAGCGGCAACCTCGGCAACATGGTGACCTTCATCGTTGCAACTATCCTACTCGCAAAGTTCCCTCCATCGACCAACAACAACGGCGCGCATTGGGGTTTCATCATCATGACTTGGCTGTACAATTTCTCCTTCTCCGCAACCTGTGGTCCTTTGTCCTGGATTATTCCAGCCGAAGTATTCGACACTCGCACACGTGCCAAAGGTGTCTCGATTGCTACCATGCTTTCGTTTGCTTTCAACACGATGATCGGGCAGGTCACGCCTATTGCAATGACGAACATTGGCTATCGCTACTATTTCGTATTTGTCATCTGCAACTTCACCAATGCGGTCTTCTTCTGGCTCTTGCTTCCAGAGACTAAGCGCGTTCCTCTCGAGGAAATGAACCAGATGTTCACGAATGCGCCATGGATCGTGCCCGGAAGTCGCAAAGAAGACTATATGACTCATGACCTGGAGCGGAAGGTTGAGGAGCAGGAAGTGAAGCATAATGCGTTGCATGTTGACTAGAATAGGGCCAAGGGGAAGGACTGTAGGGGACATCGTTGGGGTTGCATGTGTGGAGAGCTCAGTTGTGATATTGAGATACAATAATGAAGTTGTTACCCGTGGAGTAAAATGTTCGTAAAATCGATCGGCCTTGTAATATGTAAGAGAAGGCACCAAAATAGATGACTTGAGAAGGTCAACAAATTGGATATGAGAGATGATCTATAGATACTAATGAGAGGCCAAGCCATGCCCTCTTATTATACCTGTAGAGACATTGCTTATTCAATCATTAATTTGATCTACATCATACAATGCTAAGATAGATTTTGTGCTAACCCGAGGTCATTCATGGATGTTGTTCCATCATTCAGAATCTGAGCTGTATCCTGCCAAGCCAAGCGAAACTGGGACTGGTTTTGTCGGGATTTTGGACTTTATTTGCCCCTCCTCTGTGTCTGTTACCACCTTGGGCTGTGTGGCAGTATTTGTGGTTTCAGATGATGGGGCAGAAGCAGCAGGTGTGGCTTGATCGGACTTAGAAGCCCCTTGGTCCAGCTTCTTGGTACTTGAAATACCAGATCCAGGCTGTTTCTGCGAGTCTTTCCCATTCTGTGTGTCCTTCTCAGCAGTAATCTCGGTGACTGAAGCTTTGCGCTTCTTCCCTGCAATCAATGAGTTCTTGTGTTTATCACTCCGTCTCTTGCGAGCCAGTGCGGTCCATTCTTCTCCTTGTATAGGTGCCTCCGACGAGGTTGATTCAAGCAATGCTTTCTGCGCCTTCTCGCGCTGCCGGCGGAAGGATTCAAGTTGTTCCGCTGTCTCTCTCTTCACAGCAGCCTCCTGGGCACGTGTTGACTCGAGAACAGAATCCAGGAAGTCGACTTCATCTTCATCGAGGGATCGAAACTGGTTTTTGAGACGCGATTTCTCTTCAAAGGCTTCTTGTTTGGCCACTGTATGATAACCGAGGAAAATCACCCTAACATGTTAGCCAGATTCCCGGATGAATTGTCCACTACTCTTCCTTGTTCGCGCAGACGGGGGCCAGGTATCCGAGTTGGGCTCACTTTTATTGCGCTCCAGCACCTCGAAGAGACTTTTGCCCTCATCCTGTTTCCCTATTTCGGCCTTCCGTCTCCGCTCCTCCTCTAGCTCCTGCTGCACTCTGAGCCACTCATCGTCCCGCTCGATCGGCTTCTCATTTGTTCCGGATGAAACGAAACCCGATGACATAGTGACCGGGCTGGGTAAATGGGTCGTTATGGGTCACGGGATGGAGCACTGGGAATGGTCGGTCGGAATGCGAAATTATCCGGCGACGGGGGTACCGGGATGGGACGTGGGGTGGACCGAAACGCGGGATGAAAATAAAAGAGATTCGAGAAGTTCCTGGAAAGTTGAGGTTTCAGGTAATTGTGAGACCCGGACAGTTCGGAGAATTGCAAGAATTGGAGGGGTCGATCTTAATTGGAAGATGTGGACCAATATGAGTTGCATTTAGCCAGAATGCTGTCTCTTGCCCTGTCACGGTGGAACTGGATATAGCCAGTCGGGTAATTCGTGATCACTTCATCCAAGGACACCCAATTTGTTGCGAATACGACAGAAATCAAGAGAGATAACATCCAATATCCTTCGATTTAAACCCCCACTCCCCCCTCTCTCATCTCCCCCACGACATCATCGCTTGCTCTTGGACCTGCCCACTTTAAATCTGCTTACCATATAAAGCCAAGGTGCCTCTTGATAGTCTTTTTTTTTAAATTCATTCTTCCGGCTTTCAAAATACAACAAAATGTCGAACCAACACACCGAGTGAGTGCCTTACAATGCAATGCAATACGCCTCCCCTCCTTAGCCATTGCATTAACGCTTACCTTTCTTTTCAGGAAGACCTATACCCTCAACACTGGCGCCAAGATCCCCGCCATCGGCCTGGGAACATGGCAGTCCAAGCCTAATGAGGTCCGCGAGGCCGTGAAGAACGCCCTTCTCGCCGGTTACCGCCACATTGACACTGCTCTGGCTTACGGCAACGAGGCTGAGGTCGGTGCGGGTATTAAGGACTCCGGCGTGCCCCGCGACCAGATCTGGCTCACTACCAAGCTGGACAACCCCTGGCACAAGCGCGTCACTGAGGGCATTGATTCCTCTCTCAAGGACCTCGGCACCGATTACGTTGACCTCTACTTGATTCACTGGCCCAGCTCCACCGACCCCGAAGACCTGTCTAAGCATCTGCCCGACTGGGACTTCATCAAGACCTGGTAAGTGACACCAAGCATCCACTTCCAAGGTTAGTGGGGAACCATTGCTGACTCCTCATGTCTACCACAGGCAAGAAATGCAGAAGCTGCCTGCCACTGGCAAGGTCCGCAATATCGGTGTCTCTAACTTTGGCATCAAGAACATGGAGAAGCTCCTGAATGACCCCAGCTGCAAGATCGTACCCGCCGTCAACCAGATCGAGCTGCACCCCAACAACCCATCCCCTAAGCTGGTCGCCTACAACACCTCTAAGGGTATCCACTCCACGGGTTACTCCTGCCTGGGCTCAACCAACTCTCCCCTGTACAAGGATCCCACTCTCCTGCAGATTGCGGAGAAGAAGGGCAAGACTCCTCAGCAGGTACTCCTGGTTTGGGGTATCCAGAAGGGCTGGAGTGTCATTCCCAAGTCCGTCAGCAAGTCTCGTATTGAGGGCAACTTTGACATCAATGGTTGGGACTTGACTGCCGATGAGGTGAGGCAGCTCGATAACCTGAAGGACCGCTTCAAGGTCTGTGGTGACGATTGGCTCCCCGTCAAGGTATTCTTTGGCGATGACGAGTAAATATGTCGAAAATTATGAATGTTTTATGAGTACATAGGTTTTAGATACCAAAAGAGTCTTATTGACACCCAAAAGCTCAATATTATTGATGAGACTTGCGAGATTTCAGAATCCACTGCGATGTCGTCATAGTACCAAACATAACATACCAAGCAAACTAGGCAAACATAGTCATTTTGGTCACGCCGGTGGCGGGGCACAGCCACTGCGGAGCCTCGGGTCTGAGGCGGAGAGATAAGGGTGTATACCCGTGGACCCCGGCGTCATCAGGCATCCCTCCTGTCTTCTCAGCATCCATTCCCACCATCTCCATCAAACTATTCATCGCTGAGACATCATCATGGCACCTTCAGCAGGGCACCTGCTGCTTCCTAAATTTTGGAGGGCAGCACGGTATGTCTCCCCTTTTCTGTCGCCATAGCGAGTTACAATGGATCCATTGACTGACATCCTCCTAGGTTCGCCTACGAAAAGGCCTCCAAGGCTATACGTAACAAACTGCCAGAGCCTACACAGTATTATCCGGTGCGGTATCAACCCGCCTATGCCCGAATCAACCCTCGTCAGCCAATCAGCCGTGCCGCTGCCATTCGTCAAGCCCGTAGTCGCCACTTCTCGACCCGTGCTGGTGCCTTCACCGCTGCGATTCGATCCGGACTAGGGGGCAATAATGCCGCCCCCCGTAACACCTCTCGCATTGTGTCTAATATCAGCCGACTCAGCAGCCGTGCACCTTTCGCTTCTACTCTTCGTCCCAATCTGACCGGCGGCACCCTTGGCCGGACTGCAGGAGGATACGCTGCTGGGGCTGGCCGTTTTGGTGGAGCTAGATACTTTTCCCATGGCCCTGCTGCACCAGCACAAGTTATTCAGAATGTGTCACAGGGCGTCCGTGCTCTCTTTCTTTCTGGGCAGAAAGTTCGCTTCGACGGCATCGATCCACGCACCGGAGAGAAGCGGTATAAGTCAGTCAGCGCGCTACAGGATCAGGCGGAGAGAAAGATGAATGCCAACCTGCACAACGCACCTGGCTCGTACATTGACTTCCAAGTTTCCCCAACCATCACTGCACTCAGTGCCGTTGGTGCTCTCGGTAACCAGGAACGCTCCTCGTGCGACTCTCTGAACTCCGAGGGCCTGATGGATCTGCTCTCCGCCGATTTTGCCCGTGCTTTGAAGGATTTCTCCGCGGTAATGAACGACCTGAAGCGTCTCTCGTCACTTGGTGATCTCCCGATCTCCCTTCACGACCGATCGACTATACGGGTGCGCTTCCCAGGCTGTGATGCAGAAACTGTAGAGCAGCTGTGTTGTGAGGTCGGGATTCAGCGAGGCCGAGTCGTGCAGGATGAAGACTTCGATATTCGCACTGGCGCTGATTTGGCTCTCTTGTTCCCTTTTGCACCGAGCATTGCCTCTTCGTCCGACACTGACTATTACTTCGAGAAAGCCCCAAAGTTGCACTCGCAGTATCCACCGGACCTTGACTGGCAAGGGATGATGACACCAGAAAGCTGCACGCCATCGTCACCAAGTGGCAGCCGTGATTCGGGCAAAGCTATCAGTTTCGAGGACAGTGAGCTATTTGGTGCTAATCCATGGATATCTTCGACCAAGAGCTACTCTAGTATTAACATCAGTGAGCTTGGAGATCAGCATTTCTTCCCGGAAATCTCCAGCTCTGGTCAACCCGACAGTAACTCTGCATATGAAGGTATTGAGGGAATTTACACGTTCCTAGCTGAGTGCGATCAAGCCAAGCGTTGACGAACACGCTCATATTGGGCCATACTTTTCTACTATTAATGTTTTTATCTCTCGGGTTTTTTTCCTTTCCTTACTTTCCTTTTTTTCCTTTTCCTTTTTTTTTCTTTGGTACATATCCCAGGCTGAGACCGGGACTATATACATGACGACGCAGATACCACTCCACTCTTTAACACACTTCTTTCGGTGTTACACTTGCTCAATTGAATGAATCAGATTGAAACGTGCTTGTTCGCTTTATGTCACTGGTGGCCTAGTCCATCGAGGACCGGTCAGCTATAGAAGCGATTGATTTCTCTCAATCCTGTTTCTGGCTCTTCAAAATAGCCCTAGAAATAGCCACTCATGTCATTTCAGCCTGCACACCTCCGTCCGGCCTCTTGGATCATTACGGCCTAAATGATTGTTTCATATAAAGACAGACCGGCTGAAGAATGCGCCACGGTGCGGGGTCCGGGGGATGTGAATAATGTGGCTTGCCGAAAGGAAATGGCATTTTTCCTTGGCTTGGACTTTTCATTATGTCGATATGTCAGGTCTCTGGAGTAATCCGTATTCCATTACACTGGGTTCTCGAAATTCTTCCTCCTTTCCCTGGGCGAAATCAGCTTGTTTTGACACCCTTCCTGCTTCTGTTTGTGATTTTGTCTTAGGGAAGGGTCTTTATGCGCTATGTTAGCAGTCGATCACAGACGAGCAGCTTAACCTCACAACTGGCGCAAGTCTAATATGGTCCTCCCGCGCCGAGTCTGGGGAGGATCGACGATGAGTGTCTCGTTTGGGGACGGGGGATCAATTCCGCGCCGATGCCGGGAGTTTGATATTACATCAACCTCCCTCCCCTTGACTATCTAGGCAATTAATACTCGTTTCAAGGCTACGGACTATTTAGTGCAATATGTGCTATGTGCCATCGACCCCGGATGACACAGGTTTAGCCAGATTTACCCACGTGTTAGGGCAGAAATTGCTTGTATGCCTTCTCTGTTATACATGTGTGTCTTGGCAATGTCTGGAAATGGATTGAACGGAGACAGTTCTGATCTCTTATAGAATAGCTCGATACGATGCAGCATTGTCTTCGGGTTTCCGGTTTCAATCCCCGCAAGAGCGACAAGGCAATCTTGCTGGAGTATATAAAGTTATCTAGTTCCCCCACAACTGTTAACACAATCACAGAAAAACGAGCAAAACTCAAATTCATTGTTTCAAGACCATCAATATGCAATTTCTCCTTCCATTCGTACCTCTGCTGGCTTCTTCCGCAGCGGCAGCTGCAATCTCCAGCGCAGCTAGTCCAGCTGTCACTGCTGCAGCTTCTGGAAATCCCTTCTCAGGGTACCAGCCTTATGTCAATTCGTATTATGCATCCGAAGTCTCAGCCTCAGCCTTGCCATCCATGACGGGGGCTGCCAAAGACGGCGCAAGTGTAGCCGCTCAAGTTCCGTCCTTTTTCTGGCTGTGAGTTCATTGCACTGGTACTATATATCCCTCGAGCAAATACTAAGGTTGCTTTATAGGGATACTGCAGACAAGGTACCAACAATGGGCGAGTTCTTGGCCGACATCAGGGCCAAAAACAACGCCGGTGCTAGCCCACCGATTGCTGGCCAGTTCGTTGTTTATGACCTGCCTGATCGCGACTGCGCAGCATTGGCCAGCAACGGAGAGTACTCTATTGCGAACGGTGGTGTTGCGAATTACAAGGCTTATATTGACTCTATCCGCAATGTGTTGGTCGAATACTCTGATATCCAGACTATCCTTGTCGTTGGTGAGTATACCTTGCTGATTGATGGCTTCTAGCCCTGGAATAGTGATTACTGATATTTGTTCTAGAACCTGATAGTCTGGCTAATTTGGTTACCAACATGGCTGTGTCGAAGTGTGCCAACGCACATGACGCTTACTTGGAGTGCACCAATTATGCCGTCACTCAATTGAACTTGGCCAATGTTGCCATGTATCTTGACGCCGGTAAGCATCTTTCCTCGGTCCTGGAACGCGACAATCCCCTTGCGACAAGTAAAACAGCGAGAATTTTCTTTATTTCTGTTTAGCCAACCGCTCAGTTGTGTCATTTTATGTGGCGTCATGAGAATAATGCAGTCATCTCTCGTCTGTATATGCTAACTATTAACATAGGACACGCGGGATGGCTTGGCTGGCCTGCTAATCTGAGCCCAGCAGCTGAGCTCTTCGCCAACGTCTACAACACTGCCAATAAACCTGCAGCTCTGCGCGGACTTGCCACCAACGTTGCCAATTACAACGCCTGGTCTCTCTCTACATGCCCATCATACACCTCTGGCGATGCCAACTGCGATGAAAAGAAATACGTCAATGCCCTTGCTCCCCTGCTTAAGAATGGAGGTTGGGACGCCCACTTCATCACTGACACCGGTATGTAATCAAGAAACTTTAAAACAGCATCAGATCAATCACCTTCTTCTATGGGTCAAAGATCTCACGCTGAATGTTTTGGTACAGGCCGCAATGGAGTCCAGCCCACCCAGCAAAATGCATGGGGTGATTGGTGCAATGTCAAGGGAACCGGATTCGGTGTTCGACCAACCACGGAGACAGGTGATGCCTTGACCGATGCCTTTGTTTGGGTGAAGCCCGGTGGTGAGAGCGATGGTACTTCGGATTCCAGCTCGGCTCGCTATGATGCCCACTGTGGGTATAGCGATGCTCTTCAGCCTGCTCCTGAAGCTGGCACGTGGTTCCAGGTAAGAGTGCCCCGATTGAAAGTGATTATTTCTACAACACTGACGACTTCGCAGGCATACTTCGCCCAGCTTGTAGAGAATGCTAACCCGTCTCTTTAAGTCCGTGGAATGGGCAGAGATAGGTTCCAGGGCTAGCAGCTACCCAGACAGTGAATGCTGTGCTTTGTGTTGATTGTCTGTGTTCCAATTTGATGGTACCTCTGCCGGAGAGCTTAGACCAATAAGCAGATGACAAAATACTCATAAGATTCTGGATGATCTCAAGGCTATTCCCAAGATCTGTTGTTTTGCCAACATGTGGAGTAGATAACTATATATTCGACTATCCATTCATTGATGAAGATGCCATTTATAGACAATGTCGATACCGCCTTCACAGTTAGGTGTGCACGTGCACGGGTAGATCAATTGCCAAAAGGCGGTCTGAATATCAAGCAGTATCCTGACCGCCTGGTAGGCGAAGAGCATCGATAACGAATTGCGGGATATCTTGTCCACTACCACTTCCACAACTTCAACTTGCGCCAATCCTTTGACAGAGCCTCTTGTCGTTCTTGATATCATCAGTGAATATAAGCCCATCTGCATTCCTCAGCTGTGCAGCTTTGGGTGCTTCAGTGCCCCGGGCTTAATCACCCCACACAAAGAGCGAGAGTGCACACCCTGTCATGGAGGACTTCAATAGTGAAACTGATAGTGATTACACCAGCTATTGGCGAGACTGGGTAAGTGAATTTCTTTTCATCGCAATCTGATTTCCCTTGAGAAGTGAGGCGTTACGGCTGGCGACAGGGCCACCGTGGGTTGGAGTCGAATGGAGCACAGCGAGGGGCTGCCGTGACCCGGACAAATCTCGAGCTCCGTAGCGTGTTGCTGCGACGATTGTGACTTGACGATGTCGTGTCTGTCGTCCTGGCGATATGGATACAGCCTGCCGCGACACAAATACCATGTTCTCCTCTCCAATCTCTTCTCCTTCTCACACCTGCATCCTCTTCGGCTCTTATTTTTGCTTTACTGGATTTCCACTTCATCATGGTGTCTTGGCTGTCTCCCCAAGTTGTCCTTTTCTTCGTGGTCTTCATGGGCGGCGCAGCATCTGCGCTGTTCCAACGCGCGTCTTGGTACGCGGACCATGGCGATATGGATTCTTGTTTCTTGTGTGTATCGTTCGCGATCACTTCGGTCTACTTTTACGTCCATTTGCTCTGCATTTACGTCCAGATATCATTGGAAGTTGATCTAGCCAGGTTTGATCCAAATGACCCCAATGGTCCCCACGGCCCTCCTGGCTCGGATTCTAACCCCGGTGGACAAAATAAACCACCCAGCGGCCAGTCACCCCAACCTCCACGGCGTGGCCCTGCACGTGGAGGGTCCTCCACGTCCTCGCGTTTCTCTGATTCCCCTCTGTCTAGTTACAGAAGCCGTACAGTCTTATTCATGATCATGCTAATCGCAATCATGTATTTGCAGTTTGTCTCATCCCGTGGTAACGAATACTTCTGCGAGATTGACGAGGACTACCTAACCGATCGGTTCAACCTCACCGGTTTGAACACCGAAGTTCCGTACTATCAGTACGCCCTTGATCTTGTGACCGACGTTTTCGATCTTGATGCCGACGACGATCTGCGTGAGCAAATTGAAAAGTCTGCCCGTCACCTCTATGGCTTGGTTCATGCCCGGTACATTGTTACCACTCGTGGTCTTGCCAAAATGGTATGTTGAAATTCGGAATTTGTGTGCATGTTATTTCCCAGACCAAAGTACTAACCTCCGTGCAGCTTGAAAAGTACAAGAAGAGCGACTTCGGAAAGTGCCCACGCGTGATGTGTGATGGGCATGCTTTGCTTCCTCTTGGCGAGTCCGATCTTCCGAATGCCAGCACCGTCAAGCTGTACTGCCCCAAGTGCGAAGACATCTACAACCCGAAGTCGTCACGTCACTCGTCCATCGATGGTGCATACTTCGGTACCTCGTTCCACTCCATCCTTTTCCAGGTCTATCCGGCCCTCAATCCCGAGAAGAGCAGCCGTCGTTATGAACCCCGGATCTACGGCTTCAAGGTGCACGCCGCAGCTGCACTTGCTCGATACCAAGACAACCAGCGTGAGGATCTCAAGTGGCGTCTCGCCGAGGTCGATATCAACCACAGGTTCATCGAGGATAGCGAGAGTGATGACGATGCATTCGAGTACGACGAAGATTATGTTGAAGGCCACGCGGAGCAAGTCAAAAACGACAAGCTCTTCGGCGATGCAGCTTCGCTCGCATGAACGTTGCCAAGTACTCTTGAGTGACATGGATTCCATTCCCATATTTCACGGGCAACATTTCGGCGCAACGAGGGATACGTGGTATGCTTGGGCTTTTCTTCGGGTGTTTTCACGAATGACGGCGTTCGGTAGATCGCAAGGATAATTTGCGATGGTTTTTTTTTCTCCGACTTCGTTTGTACCTATCACCTATCTAGTCCATTCGGGACTCAATTGAAACCACATAACTTTTATCAGATCTCTTGCAATGGAGATGGTTGCTAGGTTTATATGGCCGGGATACTAAGAGATGATAACTACACGTATATTATTCCGGGTACTATTTGCAGCCGCCGCTTGGAATGTTGAACGATTGAGTACTTCTTCAGAACTATAGAGCCAGTCCCATTTCATGCAATTGTTCGAATGCAAACGTCACCGCGCGAGCCAGTTGCTCGCCGTTCTCCCATGCCTCATCATGAGCACCGGTGATCGACAAGATGCGAACCCGTCTATCACAATGTGAAACTTCCTGCACGGGTATCTGTGCCTCTGCCTTCTTCCAGTTCCTCAACGTCTTCTCCATGACCTCTATCTGAGACGCGTCCACCAACCCATCGTCCTTGGAATGCGCCAGGACAACCAACCTTCCAGAATTCCACCCGCCTTCCACTCCCCGAGAGCCAGTCACCTTCGCCGGCGATACTCCATCCCAGAGCATCTCATCCGCCCCAAAGGCCCCCTCAATAAACTCCTGGTATGCCGAGATGTCAGCATGCGTATCCCGCAGCAGTCGCAGGTCGTAGATACCCGCCACACTGACGATGGCAGTGGGTTGCACTGGTGCTGGAGTTGGCGGGGAACCGGAAGGGCCAGATATAGCGACGGCCTGTTCCCGATGACCGGAAACCATGCCCATCACAGCTTGGAAGGCCAGCGTTGCGCCGCAACTGTGGCCAACCAGGATGTGTCGCGTACCGAACCCGTATGTATTCTGGAGGAATGCGAGCGCTGCCTCTACGTCGGCGATGTGGTCAGGGTGTTTCGCATCCTGGAAATCCTTCGGGGCGGTATTTGAGTCTTGTGGGTGATTTGGGTGTGCGCTGAGTCGGTACGAGATCGAGGCGAATCCGGCAATGGGTAGATCTCTTTCGCGAAGTATGGATTCCGCCGCATTGAAAGATGTTGATGTAACCGCTGGATCCCGCCAGGCACCACCGTGGATGAAGCTAGAGAAGTACACCAAACGTTAGTTATTGCTTTCAGGTAGGACTGTGATGGGGGCCCGCGTACATCACCCAGTAGCCATCTTTGCGTGGCGCTAATGTTGTGACGGCGATGCTTTGTAGATTATGGCCTTGGTCATAGACTATCGTCTGTGTTTTTGAGTAATCCGACATGTTGCCTTGCGGAGTTCTACAACATCTCTTGATTTATGGGGAAGTGGGACATGTCGATAGATTACGGATAGGCTAGGAGCTGTTACCATTTGACTGGCATGTTGTAGGTAAAGGTTGGCTTACTCTTCCAATATCCGTCACGATGTCCTTTAGTCACTTTGTTCGTTCTTCTTCCCGTCTCATGTATTGTTTAAGACCTCTGGTCGAATGAGAATTCCCCGATGAGTCCATGGTGGTGTAATATTACTGTATTGCCCCTCCATCTACGTAGTGGAAATCTGTAACATATTTCGTTGTGTATTGGTAACACGCTAAGCCCAATCAGGAATTAATGGTCCCTTTCACACAAACCCTCCAAGTCCACCGTCTCGACCTTAACAACCGCCCAACTGTTGCAATCTTTCACAATGGCCGAGTAAGTGATGGTCTTTTTTGATCTGCAAGAACATGATGCTGACCGACTTGCAGAATTCCAGTCCCCCTCGCGGCCGTTCAGGTCGAGGCCTTGGTATGGTCTTCCCGACGAAAATCTCCCCCAGTCCTCGCCAGCCAGAAATACTGACGTCGGGTATTCCAGGTGGTGATGAAAATCATCAAGCACTGCTCCCAGACCTTCCCCTCCACTGCAACCGGCGCGATCGTCGGTATGGATGTCGATGGCACCCTCGAGATCACCAACACTTTCCCATTCCCCGTCGTTGAAGTTCCCGCAGAGTCGCACTTTGACAACGCCGCTCCCAACCCCGCCGCTGCCGCTCCTCGTGCTAAGGCAAACGCCGCGTACTCCGCAGAGATGATTCGCATGCTGCGCGAGGTCAACACTGATGCCAACAGCGTCGGATGGTACACCAGCGCCAACATGGGCAACTTCGTCAACATGAACGTGATCGAGAACCAGTTTTACTACCAGAGCCAGCTGAATGAGCGCACAGTCGCACTGGTTCACGATGTCAGCCGCAGCGCCCAGGGCAGCCTCAGCCTCCGTGCCTTCCGCCTGTCGTCCAAGTTCATGACTGCGTTCAAGGAGAACAAGTTCACATCCGAGGAGTACGTGCAATGACCTAGGCGATTAATAAGATTATATGAGCCACATGAATACTGACAGAATTGCAGCCTCCAAAAGTCCAACTTGCGCCACCCCGACATCTTCGAGGAACTGCCCGTCAAGCTCCACAACTCCCACCTGATCACTGCTTTCATTCACCAGTTGCAGTGCCCGATTTCCACAGCTTCCACTGAGCTCCCCTCCTCCCTGGCTGCCCTTGAGTCCAGCCCCTTCAGCAAAAACTCCACCCTCACCCCCAACCTCGACAACCTGTCCCTCAGCATCGATCCCTTCCTGGAGAAGAACTGCGATCTCCTTCTGGACAGCATCGAGACCCACAACACCGAGGTCAACAACTACCAATACTACCAGCGTGTGCTCGGCCGCGAGCAGCAGAAGATCAACGCCTGGAAGGCGAAGCGCGCACAAGAGAATGCCAGCCGTGCCACTCTCAACCAGCCCCTCCTCCCCGAGGACGAGTGGCAACGTCTGTTCAAGCTCCCCGCCGAGCCCAGCCGTCTGGAGAGCATGCTCAACACCCGCCAGGTGGAACAGTACGCGCGCCAGGTCGACAGCTTCGTCTCGTCCAGCACGGGCAAGATGTTTGCCATCAAGGGCAACCTGCTGCCCAACGAAACCTCGAACTAAACGTTGATGATTGCGAAGGGGAGACACGACGCTTCTGGTATTGCATGACCTTTTTACGGCGTAGGGAGGGAAAATGTTCTCTATTTTGGATGTTAATATGACTTCCTGTTTCTTTTTTCTTCTATGAGCGGAGCTGAGTCTCTGGGAATTATACTCCTGCTTTGTATCGACTTGTATTCGATCATAGAAGGAAATCTTATTTTGTTTAGAATATAACAAACACATTGAACAGGTCAATTTCTCATGTACCTTTTTTTTTATTTTAAAAATAGCATAATCTGTGGATGGAACAAAGTGATCTAAGACAAATATAAGGTTAGATTAATCTATGAAATCGTATATCTATGAATACTCACATGCATGCATGCATCATAACTACCATGTGTCTGGATGACTCCAGGGATTTTGAACTTCCAAGGGAACTGCAGCCTCAAGCTCGTCGGCGACTCTGAGTACACAGACGGGACTAATATTTCCCAACAGGGTGGCAATCGCAGTGTAGAAAATAGGCTGAAGAGCACAGCAAGTCCGATGGAAGAGAGTGTCACCGACGATATCCGAAGCCTCGATGCAGCCAGGCGTCATCAGAGAAAGCTCTCTAAGCTTCTCAGCCACCTGAAAGCGAAGACCGGGCTTAGATCGAAGCTGCATGATCTGGGCATGTAAAAGGTCGAGGAAGTAGCTCCGGTCCTTACAGTAGATACTGTCGGGAGCAGGGATATCCATGGTGAAGGGTCGATGGGAGTGATAGAGGGTGAGTATGGATATGTGGGATCTGTGAAGATTGTGTTGGAGACACTGTTGCTTGGTGACAAAATATGGAGGTGGGATGGAAGCTATTTATACAGTTCGAATAGTTGACTTCAAATACATACTCGATGAAGCACAGCTTGAAAGATGAGAACAATATGAATGTAAAAGATCCTTTGTATACATCTTCTCTTAGTTCTCGGATCAACCTGCACACGAAGGCCATTGTACTCAAGAAGGGACTAGACAAAGCAAAAAGACATTGGCTTTTACAACTATGAAGAATACGAGGCATTGAGTAGTTTATTCTCATCAGGAATCATAATATACAGAGGCTTGTCATATAGTTGAGCAAGGCTATCGACACTTCGAAGGATGACATGATGTTACTTGATTTGATGTTACTTAATATACTATGTACACATGTGAAAATACAACGGCCTGGTACCTTTCCATCCCTGACTAGCGATGTGTCGATTAATATTTATTCTGTTCCTTTCGCCGATCGTATGTCTCGACTACCATGCTTCCCCAGTGAGCTTCAATGGAAGGTGAAGCAACCGATAACCGAAATTCGTTGGCGAAGGAAGCCGTCCCGCTCGAATGTTAATCTGCAAAGATTGGTGAAGCAGCCTGGGCGCTGCCAGTCCTGCATCACGTTCCTTTCGCAAAGTCACAAACTCTTCTTCGCTGATACCATCTTTCAGATGTTTATTCAGCTTCTTGTGATCCTGGACACTCACCCAAGGAACGGGGTCGGTGCGTCCCTCTGGTGGATAATCATGACCTGTCCAAATCTTGAAGTGGTCTGGGAGGCTCAGAAGCTTGCGGCCCGATCGAAAGAGGTCGTTGGCATCGCCGCCGGGGAAGTCACAGCGTGCAGTGCCGATGTCCACATGGAAAAGAGAATCACCGCAGAATAGATTATCTGGTAAATCTTGTTAGTAACTGTTTAACAATGTCATTATTGCTGGTTGATAATCACCTCCAACCATGTAACCAAGATGATCCGGTGTGTGGCCAGGTAAATGAATAGCCTTTCCTCTCAGGTTCCCAATAGTGAAGGTCTCATCGTCGTCGAAAAGTACGTCAAAAATGCCTTCATATTCCACTGGTGGAACGCCATATCTTTCGGCGAACAATCTTTGTACTTTTTCAATACGCTTACCAATGCAAATGGGGGGCTTATGATTTTGATCCTGGGCAAGACGTTTTTGAAGGTAAGACGATGCAGTCAAATGATCCGCATGAGCGTGCGTTTCGAGAATCTTATCAATCTTATAGCCCTTTCCCTTGATAAGAGAGAGCAAGGAATCGGCTGCGTGAGTAGTCACGGCCTGAGTAGCTGGGTCATAGTTCAGGACTGGGTCGATGATGACGGCTGTTGATGTCGACGGATCTGCGATGAGATACTGCCATGTTCCAGATGTGGGTTCAAAGACATCATGAATCACAGGCTCGGTAGATATAGTGGATGCAGTGCTGTATGTGACTTGACGTGGGATTAGATGTTTGGTCGGGGTAGAGAATGAACGTGGCGAGAATGGGCGGTTCCAGCTATGAACCGCCTGCCCTTTTTGTGATTGACGCACTGTCCCCTTGATTGAAGCGACGTTTCTCGAAGATTTTGCGGTATGAGATACACTTGTCCGTGTCGCTTGTTGGATATGACGCAATTGTGTCAAGTTGGCCAGCATTGAAGTTCCAATTGGCCTGCTAGACATGAAAAGGTCTGACGACCATTGCCAGCCGATGCTTGATGATTGCTGCCTGAAGCTTATCATGATATTCCGGATTTGAAGAACAAAATGTGGTGAGGAATGTCAGAGCTGGCGCGGTGGTCATACTTGAAAGGCGTGGGTCGGCGACTCGGCGAGCATATGGGTCGCCGATTGAAAAGAGTCATCACAACTCCATGTTCAAGGTTTCTTGCACGGACTATCGAATTCGAGGAACATATGATGTTGTTAGCGAAGTAGATTGATTTAAATACTGTTGCTAACGCTTCAATCCCATATGTTAAGGTGAATCAAGGTCCGCATATAAAAATCGAATCCGCATGCACGACCGCAGTCATAAAGTGAGAAATCCCGAGACACAGTCCGAGAAGGATATTAAAACATATCTGAAGTAAACAAACATCATTGTAACCTAGTAGTTACTTTCCTTCACCTACGGGAACCCCGAAAGTATTCGGCGAATAAAGGCCGAAACTCCCCGATATCGGAACGAGTTAATCCGAAAATCACGACATCATAAGATCAGCTGTTTTAACTACTTCAGGGCTTTTTTTTGTCACATTTTGAGCCTTACATTCCAAGATGTTTCAGCGTCGCGCAGTGCTTGCTTCCAAGCGCTCTGTCGCTCAATGGAGGAGTCTCGCAACCGCGTCTCCCGTGAGCTCTGCACGAAACCACAAAATTGTAGTGGTCGGCGGTGGTTCTGCTGGTCTCACCATCAGTCACCAGCTGCTGCACTCTGGCAAATTTGCACAAGATGACATTGCTGTGATTGATCCAGCCACGTGGCACAACTACCAACCCGGCTGGACACTGGTTGGCGGTGGCCTCAAGGACAAAGAGGAGCTACGTAAGCCATTGAAAAACTTGATTGATCCTAAGTTCAAGTTTTATAACAATGGTGTTGGCTCCTTTGCCCCCGCTGAAAACTCGCTCACCCTCGAGAATGGTGACAAGATCAACTATGAGCAACTGGTTGTGGTGCCCGGTATTAGCATCAACTATGGTGCTATCAAGGGTCTCCCTGAGGCTCTTGCAGACCGGAACTCAACCGTTTCCACAATCTACAGCTACGACACATGCGACAAGGTTTTCCGCACCATTGAAAACTTCCGCGAAGGCAATGCCATCTTCACTCAGCCAGCCGGTGTGATCAAGTGTGCGGGCGCTCCGCAGAAGATCATGTGGCTTGCGTTGGACCACTGGAAACGAGCTGGCCTCTACAACCCTACCAGCCCCTCTGAATCACCCATCAAGATCAGCTTTGCGACCGGCCTACCAGTGATGTTCGGTGTGCCCAAGTACAGCGCCGTCCTCGAGCAGATGCGGAAGGATCGTGGTGTTGAGGGATTGTTCCAGCACGATCTCGTTGCCATTGATGGCAAGTCTGCCGTTTTTGCTTCTCCTGAGGGAGAGGTCACCAGACCATTCGACCTGTTGCACGTTTCCCCCAAGATGGGTGCTTACGCTTTCGTCAAGAACAGCCCTCTGGCCAACGAGGCCGGATACGTCGACGTGGACGATAACACCACCCGCCACAAGAAATTCCCCAATGTGTGGTCTGCTGGTGATGCTTCCAGTTTGCCTACATCCAAGACCGCGGCAGCGGTCACTTCCGAAGCCCCCGTTCTCGTTCGCAACCTTTTGCAAAGCATGGAGGGTAAGGAACTCGATGCTTCTTACGATGGATACACCTCGTGCCCGCTCGTGACTGAGTATGGCAAGGTCCTTCTCGCTGAGTTCAAGTACGGCGGAGTGCCCAAGGAGACATTCGGAAACTGGTTTGGTATCGACCAGGCTGAGCCCCGTCGTTCGTTCTGGTATCTGAAGAAGGACTTCTTCCCTTGGGTGTACTTCAACTACATGGTCAAGGGTAACTGGGGTGGACCGAAGGGCTGGCTATAGGCCGTGTACATTATCCCTATGTTGCAATATGATGGCAGTACCTCGGGGGTTTTTTAATCATTAGGGGTTGTACAAAAGAAAAAGGAAATCATTGAGCAAAATATCTCGACAGTCCTAAGTGCGTTCAGTCTAATACAAAATTAACTTGGGTGGTGTGGTAGATATGCACGTGACCATATCACCAATGACATCATAGCTCATCATAGGTTGTTATCGATAACTCGTTATCGATCAGCGAGTGAATCGTTAGTGGAATTCTTGTCTTGAATTACATTCTTCTCTTTCGAAATTTAAGTCTTCGAAATGTCTCTAGGATAGAAATCTGACCTCTGTTGCTCTGCATTTCTCCATGTACAACACTCATTCCGATATTTGGGTCGTGAGTCTCACCCGATCAAACCGTCTCCAGTATACTTTCCTATTTTCACCGCTAACTGGTCATATTCCTCAATAGGCAGGCGCATTTGCCGCACTCATAGTCGATTTTATCGCCTACCCCTTCGACACACTCAAGACCCGTGTCCAATCCCCAGACTATGAGAAGGTCTTCAAAGATGTGCGCACAGGAGCAGTGCGGCGCAATGTACTCTTCCGAGGATTATATCAAGGTGTTTGGAGTGTGGTCTTCACAACAATTCCAGCTTGTATGTGTTGGCTCTTTTTGATAAACAGGGAACTTGGAATATCACCACTAACGATCCTATCAACGACAATCTAGCTGGCGCATTCTTTACCACATACGAAGCTGTGAAGAGCATTATGTACAATTCCTCAAAAGAAGCATCCACGAGCATTAAAGGTGGCAAGAGAACCTCCCCCGATGGGTCTTTGAACAGTCTTCGCTTGCCCTTCACACATTCCCTCCCTACTCCAATTATGAATGCAATTGCCTCTTCAGCCGGCGAGATGGTATCATGTCTCATTATCACGCCCGCGGAGGTACTGAAACAAAACGCACAGATGGTTCAAGGTTCCCATACGGACAAATCCGCCATGCGACAAGTAATTTGGCGATTCCAACATCATCCTTGGCGCCTATGGAGTGGGTATACGGCACTGCTTGCTCGGAACCTCCCAAACACAGCTTTACAATTTCCACTCTTTGAGTATGTACGATCACACCTGATTGACCGACGAAGACGATTGAAAGCGACTCGGATGAACACTGGCCAACCACCATCGGAAATCTCGGATCAACTAGTCGAACGGGCCGGCTTGACGGGTATCGCTGCGGCAATTTCAGGCACGATCGCGGCGACAGTTACTACTCCAATTGACGTTATCAAGACTCGCTTGATGCTTTCGGCAAGTGATGCTGCTAGTTCCCAACATAAAAGCACTCAGGCTGGTACTCGGGGCAATGAAGCGATATCTTCGGATGTTCGGAAAAAGACCAAACCTGGCAAAACTCTCATTTCTGTCGGTCGTGATATCATACGATATGAGGGTGTCCGTGGTTTGTTCAAGGGCGGAATGATACGGGCTGGTTGGACGGCGATTGCACTAGGCCTTTATCTCAGCCTGTATGAAGGAGCCCGGTTTTATCTAGAGAATCGACGGAAGGAGCGCGAGCATGTCAGTTAGAGACTTGGAAAGCAAGCTGGTAGCGGGGATGAAGGGATCTAGTGAGAAGAGCGGTGTTAAAGCCTTTCGTTTCGCTGCCGTCTCGGTGAGAAGATTCATGGATACTCGACTCGCAAATTTCCATCAACGACCCTAGAAGCCCGGGCTTGGAAAAGGATGGTTCTTTGTTTTCTAAACTTTCTGCTGTGACCCTTTGATTCCATTTTGAAGACAAAGAACAAAGACGGGACCTCACTTTGTGAAATACATTGTATTTAGTCTCCCGAGACTGTTTTGGATAAAGAACAAAGGTAATAAGAGCAGAAAGGGTGTCTTTAAACTCAGATAGAATAGTGTGACCAAGGCTTCAACTATATAAATCATATTCCCACCTTGCACATAATTGTAGGACCAAACCCTACTAGTGTGTTTCGATTCATCTATTCAATCCATTCAAGCGATTACAAGATTAATCATGCCAATTCCATCTGGAAATCAAGGTCTGGACATCCCTATGGTTACCGACGAAGACTGGGATGCAGATGACGAGGACTCTGGTTCAGATACTACTTCAGATAGCTTTGACTTCGTGCCGATGTCGACGGCGCTGAAACCAGAAGATAAAGTCCGAGGCTTATGTACCAACCCATTGTTTCATTTCACGGTCCACCGTGAAGAACATACGTTTCCAGGCCAGTGCGGTAAGTCTGATGGCTGGATTAACACCTCTCATTTTCTCTGGACCATGTGCGCTACACTCGCGGATTCAGGAACCGATCCGGAATGGGCAGCGACATTCGAAGAATGGCGACCCCAGTGGAACAAAATCCAGGCGCAGGTGAAGAGATTCGGATACACTCACTTTTCTTCTGAGATCCCTCCTGCACCGGTTGATCTTGTGTTGGTCCAATTCTTTGGATGGGGGTATGGTGGAGAACCCAGAGAGTTTGAAATTGAACAGGAGGACCCAGATAGTGTCTATGACTGTCAGGATATGTGGACCTTTTGGCGATACATTATTGAGACGCCGGCAAGTCAGATTCGACAGATTGTTGTTTGCCTCAAAGACACTGCGAGGCTTGTTGGCTCCGAGTAGAATGTTTGTAAGATGCCTTGTGAATCTGCATATGTGGGAGATAATCCTTGCCGTTGAGTCAAAATTGTTTCTACTGTTTCTTTCCAACCAGATATATCCTCAACTTTACCATCTACAGACAATATACTCCGTAGTTTCGCTCATATTTGTATCTCACGAAAATACGATATTCTCACGTAAGAAGTAAATTATCTGATACCTACATGTTCCACGTGCTTATGACTATGTGTACCGGATTTTCCCTGGCGGGTGGGGGTTTCCTATTTGGGCTACTACCGCTTTAATGAGGGCGCTCAGACTCAGGCTCTCAGAGTAGATATCATCATATGCTTTATGTTTGCTTGCTTGCTAGATAGATTGTTTGTTACATAGCTAAGCGAGATGTTCGAGGTTTGCAATGTTTGCAAAGTGGCAGCTATCAATAAGCTGCTTCCCACTTTGCAACTTACTGCTTCTTTCTCTCTTTGTCTTAGTTATTTTGATTGAATGCACTCTTCCTTTGCAAGACCTGGCACGTTACAGCTATAGAGATGCAAATTTTAGGGGGCGTGATCACCTGATGATTTTGACTAAGCCGGAGCGAACCCCTGAGTGAGGTGGGTTGGTGGTCTTGGCATGATTAATACGGAGTAGCATTTTCGAGGTTTCAGTCACATGGACATTTCTTGCATCTTTAAACCTTTCCTCATCTTGAAGTCATGGGCTTTCCACTACCGCCGGAGTTGGTACATATTGTGTTGGGGTTTATTATTACCGAGGAGGTCGCCGACGTGCCCTCATATGCCATTCCGGACACCAATTTGGCCCCATATGCCACTGTCAACCGCGACTGGCAGGCAATTATCGAGAGGCAAACCTTTTCAATCCTCAAGATCAGCACAAACAAGCGGCTAGCAGAGTTCAAACAATTCCCATGGCATCAGTCATCATGGAGCCAAAGAAGAAGCCATATACGGAAAATCCATTTCGATGTGGAGCTGGAGTCGTATGATGGCGAGGCTCGCACACGGTACGAAAATGAAGAGGAGATGCAGCGAAACAGCAAAGTTTTTACCACTTCAATTCAGTCACTATTCAATACTCTATCTGAATGGCCGGACAACGAAGCAGGTATCTGTCTTTCGATTATGGCGCAGTCCCCCGGCGATATTAGCGCCCAAGGTCCCGAGGCAAGGAAGCAGCGCGGGTGGGGAAAATCAGGTCTCTCAACTGATGACATCTGGGACAAGCGACATAAGAGATCTTATCTCCAATTCAACGAGGAAGCCGTCGGTACTCAATGCCGAGCTGTTTCTATAATCACCGAACTTGAGATTACAGCGGCGATTGGTCATAGGAAACTTGAGCCAGCCTCTAGTTCTCTTATCGCGTCGAAGTTGCCTCGACTATACGATCTGTTCCTTATCTTAGATGATAATTGCAAATGGGATCCCCAATTAAGACAACGTCGACGGAATGGTATGTTAGATATAGATTCCAGGATAATGCTCAAATAAGTGGATATATACTAATAATTCATATAGAATTTGCGGACTCTCTTCAGTTTTTACCTCTTACTATACGCCATCTTACCCTTGATTTCGCCTATATATGCCCACAAGATGAAAATTACCCTCCAGCGGCTTCAACGGCAGAGGGAAACACGGATCCTCTAAGCTCACGTTTACGAGAATTTTCCCAACAATTGATAGCGATGGGTGGGAACCAATGTGTCTTGGGAAAAGAACTTTTCTGGCCGTTGACTAGTGATAATCCTGAACCTCCCTTTTGGCCATATCTAACTGGTATGAGCGTGGATTATATACCTATCACACCATGTGGGAAATGGATGTTTGAACAGGATGATAACGCCGAGGAGCCCGATTATGATTCAGATGGTCGTGGCTCCTACTATGATGACATGGATGATACCGGTCAGGATTGGGTTCCCCCAGAGGACCGCAAATGCATACTATTCAGAACTAAATTCGTGCACGAATTGTTCAACCAGTATTATTTATCAGCTGGCAAGGCTGCTCTTCGGATGCCTAAACTAGATTCCATGGCATTGGACGTTTCGCACCGACCTCAACACCGGTTTTGGTATCAGGTAGAGAACGAAGTGGCGAAAGTGACCTGGTCCAATCAGGATGACCCCAAAGCATTTGAACCAAGCGATGAGGTCTTGGAAATTTGGAATCAAGTTGCTTTAGAACACACCGGTCATGGCCTAGAGGTTGAATTCGAATTATGTTGAGGTAGGAAATTGAGAGAGAAGCCAGTATTGTTCAAGGTTCCACCCACTGAAATGGCGTTTTGCGCATCATTAACCTCCCTGCGTGTCACTTCACATCTTGAACAAACCTTTTTGCTCCTTTAAATCAGTTTTCTCGACGGATATGTATAGTTGTTACTCATCGGTACGTCCGTGTATACTACTTGATCGATGGTCAAGTGGGTGCAAATCTAACAAAAACTAAGGTCAGAAAGGGGTCGGTCATGTTTCAACGTTTGATCGTAGCGAGTAGGAGTTTGGTTGCAAACAGTTTCGACATCCCTATCCCATGTCGGGATAGGATATTATCTCAGTTCTATATAACTTTCGTTTTTGTCGATCCAAGTCAAAGCAACTGCGATCGGCTAATTTACATTATCACAAGTAGGGACTCAGTGCTTTCTTTGCTGTATGCTACATAACGTATTTCACGTGCGAGTTGGATAAACAGGCGAGCCGGATAGTCCAGGATACCATAGTATATGCAATATTTTACAACTTTATATCTCAAAACCGACATTCTGCTTTGAATTTTCTGTCACTTGGTAAATATTGATATATATATATATATATATGTCTAAAATGATAGGAAACAAAAATAGGCGTATGGAATGAAGAAGCTATGCAACCTATTATTGCTTTTCACGGTAAACAAAGAGTGATGATATTATCCTTCATCCTTTTGAATTGCATCTAGTGACAGATAGAAAGTAATTGTAACGTGCCAGGTCTTGCAAAGGAAGAGTGCATTCAATTCAAAATACTAAGATGGAGAGAAAGAAGAAGCAAGTTGGAAAGTTGTTACGGCCCCGAGGGTCACCTGCACAACTGGCCCGTATGGCTCGACGTACTTGCTAAGTAAGCGCCAGGGGTAACTATACACACACCGCGTACATGGGATTAGAACCTTAGCGATTAGTCTACTGAATTGCATGAGCCATCTTGGGAACCTCTACTCTAGTTCGAATCTCCATTTCTCGGATACGCTGGTAGCTAGTCCTAACAAAAGTGGGAAGCAGCCAGTTAATATAACGTATTCGGTAAGCGAGTTGGCCACCCCAAAAGATAGTGAATGCGATAAATTACAACTTGATATCTCAACAACCACGTCTTTATTTCATCTTTATTTCTTTTCGATAGCTGTTGATAAGCCTTTTTAATACTATATAGCAGTTTCAAGGAAATTCGAGAGCTACAATACAGTAGAATTCGAAAACAGTTTCCCCTCTGGACATACATCGGCTGTTTCTCGGCTTGTACCCGATACTAAGCTAATCCTAATATGGACAAAGCCGTAAAGAATGTTTTTCTAAGAATAGACAAATTTAATACTACGACAATTATGTTACGTATCATATTCTAAATTACACGAAATCTTGATACACTGCCTCTCCATTTCCCTCCATCCTGTTCCTACCACCCCCATCCTTTCGCAGTCACCCATTTTTGCTGATCCTGAGAACTCACGTCCAATAGATATGGCACTGAGACTATCCCCATCAAAGCTATAGTTCATTCATGATATGATAAAGAGCCAGTCACTAACCACATCTCAAATCGCTGATGCAGCCGAATGCAGCGATCGAACGATCAAGAATATCCGCAGGAACTTGCGGTTATTCAGGAAAGTCCATCCCCCTTCTAATCATGTCGGCCGAAGACGAACCATAACACCACCGATGCTTGACGCTCTTTGCGATCATCTGCTCAAAAAACCGGGTCTCTACCTCGACGAAATGGTATTATTCATTTGGGATGAATTTCGGATTCTTGCAACAACCTCAAGTATTAGGAGGGCTCTGATAGTCACAGGCTGGTCCAAGAAATCCATTCGCCAGAGAGCCAAGGAACAGAATGCAGAACTACGGGAATATATCTTCATAATATCTCAGAATTTGAGTCGTACCACCTAGTCTATGTTGACGAGTCTGGTTGTGATAAACGAATTGGATTCAGGAGAACCGGCTGGTCACCACTCGGTGTTGCCCCAGTCCAAGTGTCGCAGTTTCACCGTGATGAACGGTATCAAATACTCCCTGCGTATGCCCAAGATGGTATCGTGCTTTCCTGCGTTTTCCGTAGCTCAACGGATGCCGGTGTATTCGAGGACTTCCTGGACCAGCTTCTTCGGCACTGTGGAAGATGGCCGGAGCCGAGATCCGTTCTGGTCATGGACAACGCATCGTTTCACCACTCTGAACGTATTGCGCAGATGTGTGCTGATGCTGGAGTCAAGTTGATTTATCTACCTCCCTATTCGCCGGACCTCAATTGGTGCATTGACGCGGTTGGAGCAAAAGGGGATAAATAGTGCTGAAGGTCATTTCCGGCACGTAGGCCTGATAATCGAATATTCGGAATATTGGCAAGAATAAACTCTTCTGAGTGGAGATTTGTTTGCTGATTGATTTATTTTTTTCCCGTCACGCTTGTAAATTCAAATCGGCGTCTTAGAAAGGAATGATACAATCAACAACAGTACCGTGATTGTGCCTGAGGTGTGTCCACATAGCGTTGTTAGAATCGTAGCTGCGGTGATCCTTAACACTAGATATATGAAAATCCTAATATGTATCAATTATTGCTTATATGGTGCAGTACATGCCCTGGCCAGTAGGTGAGTCTACTGCCTATATACCAGAAATTTCTCCACAAACCCTGGTACATGATGACGTCATGATCCAATGATCGCTCCGGGGTCATAATCCTCCTTGACCCCGCTCCCTCAATGACGGCCTTAGGCTATCCGGACGCACTGTAAACCATTTTCAGGACTACAATAAACAAGATGCGGGTGGATTTTATGAGTCTTCCTGCAGAAATCCGTATCGAGATATACAAGCATCTCCTTATCGGCAGGGGGCATATCAGTCCATGGAACATCCATCACAAGCCGGTGCCTAAATGGCTCTTCACAAACAAAATGATTTTTCAAGAAGCCAGATCGTTGCTCTACAGATATTGCTGCTTCGACTTTAGCTGGCGTTTATACGGACAAATATGCCAATTCTTTGATTTGATTGGCCGGACCAAAACCTCTCATATTCAGTATATTCGAGTCGACTTTCCTCAACTTCGCGATATTGAAGACAATATTAGCCTGACTGAAGACAGTGCCCTCACCATAGCGCTGATTCAGTCACGCTGTACAAACCTCAAATGTCTTGTTGCAGCGCCACATAGCACAGAATCTATGAAATACAAGCTGGATTGGTTTGATAACCCAAAGATCTGTGAAAGGGCATTGGCACTGGTCGATGCTCAATTCAAAGCGGTTCCATCTCTCCGAGAAATCATCATCGAGGTTCATGAGGATGGCCCAAGCTCATACATTCGAAAGAAAATGAAAAATTTGAGGTGGATACTCGTCCTGGTAGAGATGGTGGCGCTGTGGGACACTGACGAATCTGAGGATGCCGTCCAGGAGTCTCCTTGATAGAAACGATCTTCGTGATTACAAATTCCATGATTTCAGGGAGTTTAGAAAAGGGAGATAATCTAATTGCTTGGTCTTCACACAAAAGCACATTTATTTCCCAGCACAGCCAAGCCGAGTGCCATTGATGTATATCTGAAGCATGATGGAAACTGAATGCGTGATCTCACGTGAACAAATTGACTTGAAATCAGAATAACATCAGACGCCATACCGCAATAGTATCACGATTTAGTCTATACTACTTCCACAAAGGGTATTGCTTTTTTCACGTTCTCGACCTAGTCCCAAATATTTTCTACGAAAATCTGAGCGATCCCCGGCTTAACTCCTTTGCCGATGAAGAATCCTGGATCTTGATCCTTGTATATATGCTCAAGGTCGAAACCATCCGACACTGTCATATCATACGCCTGTCGGAATACAGCTTTAAGGGTATCATCCAATACAGTGGATATGAGCTACTCACTGTACTCTTTGATAGCTATGTCTCTGAAACCGGGAATTTTCAATAGAGATATTTCGTTTAAACCACTTGGGTCAGTAGTGGCACGGGAAGCCGTTACATCTAATCTAATAGAGTGAGACAGTAAAACATTGATATTGATAGGTAGATACGGTATACCGCCGAGAACATTTCCGCGTTTGCGTTTATCTTTCTCCTATCGCTACTGTTCTTCTATATAAAGCTCGTCCTTTATTTCATTAGGAACATCTTTATGTATTTCAAGAATACCGCCTTTCTCGACATAGGTTACCAATCGCTTAAGGGTTTATATGCGAAGTCGATAATACTTCTTTCCTACTAGGTCAAGCTAGCAGTAAGGACCTAGGTAATATATAGTAGAATTGCATTTCATCAAGTTATATACGTGGCGCTAGATTACTTGCTGCCTATATATATTTTCTTTAGCGTCTAGCTAGGTATCTCAATCATCGAGTATCCTATTAGCCACAGATAATTTACCTCTCTTCTCCCCTTTCCGACCGGCGGAGAGCGAAGTACTATCTTCTACGTAGTAAAAACACACTCTCAGCGTGAGTCTCTTACCATACAAAAAATGACTCAACCATATCCGAAGTTGCTTCTCAATCGGTACCTAGACGATATCGGTCTTATTAAAACACTTCGTTAGATCGCGTTAGGATCGGTTATTAACCGAAGTAACAATCGCTGTGTCATCCACCCTGATCCTTTTTTTATATAAGACTTTTTCTCGAATAACCTTTAGTAGCTTCTCTTCTAGTACCAAATTCCAGTATACGCTCGGAGCCAATACTATGTCTTCCTCGGTATCCTTCACCACAGCCTTATTATTAAGAGTGACCCGCTACTCTATAAAATAATAAATACAGCTTAGCGGATCTTTGTCGTAAATCTTGTCTTTCTTCCACTCAGATTCTTAGAGTAGTGGCAAAGTACTCGGTCGAATTTGGGTCGCGAGATTAGGCTTAACGTCTAGGACGGACGGGGAGGGGCTATAGTTAGACCGTGTGGCAGAAGGGCTCCGGAAGTATCCTGGGGTAGGAGGGGAATACTGAGAATCTTGATCCCAGGACTCCGGCTCTTAGGGCTGAGAGAAGTTGTTGTGGAATGGAGTGTCGCTCATATTAACCCGATCGAAGTTCTGCCTGCAAATCATCGTCAGCGTGGAGTAACGCGAAAACCCTAAACTTAGCCTACCAAATGTATCTCTCCACAATATCAGCCCACCCCTCGTTTTGTATGGGTTGAGATAGATAAAGAGTTTAGAGAGGGAGAAGGCGACGAGACTCAGTAAAACAGGACACATCGTCAGATCTTCCCCCTTTCTACGAGAACATTCTGTGGATGATTACGGTATTATACAATTGTTTCTTGGGCGCTGAAACACAATACCGATGCAGAACGGGGGTTTCCAGAGCAGGATGACTAAGCGGCTTTGTGATAACGTAATTCCCAAGCGAGCTGCGCAGCGCAGAATACATAGTAAAATCGATGAATTATAACATGGTATTTCAACAACCAACGCTTTTATTTAATTTCATTACTGTCCGATAGCAATTGATAAGCATTTATAGTATTATATATCAGTTTTGAATAAATCGAAAACTTGCATTGTTATGGTATCGAAAAATACATCGCTGAACCCTGGAAATATATATTTCTCAGTCACTACTCATTCACTAGTTTATTAAATCCCTCCAAACCCTCATAAGTGGCTAGATATCATATTAAAAGCATTAGGCTAGAAGGAAAAGCTCATATAGATAACCGTTGTTGAGATATCATGTTGTAATTTATCGCTTTTACTATGTGTTCTGCGCTGCGCAGCGGTGGAGATATTTTGAGATGGAAAGGATTTGCTCGCTGGCCCGATGATAGCGCGTTGGTGTGATGGAGCGACGGTATTAAAGTGCGATGACCACGTTCCTCTGCCAGAGAAGGCTAGTGGGCAGCAAGGCCTGCTATCCTCCCTTCCTCCCTTCTTCCAGAAATATCAAAGCCCCAGATGGACGTTTAGCGAGGAATCACGCCCCAATGAAGGGGCAGGGGGGGGGGGGGGGGGGCGAATTGAATTCATTATTTCGCATACACCTTTCCAGGGACCAGTGTCGATTGCGTATCTTCTATGTTAGAGTTCGTTCCTTTCGTTCGATTCACCTATGTTTCCGTGAGTGCTGCACTGACTTTGGAAGCCTTGCCAACCTCATGTATCCAGCATATTCTGGTGAATGGGACTAGTAATCGTTTTATCCGATGAAAGCCCTACATCTGAAGAGAAAATCCCGGTCAATAGAAATGTACCCAGATACGATATCCTCCTTGTAGCATTCCACAAGCCTTATAACGATGGAAAGACACTCGCTACGGCTAGCACCGTAAATTGAGACAGGGAATGATATGCAAAATCCCCTCCCCTGGTGTATGGGCTCGGAATCGACTGTGAACTCGCCGATTTGGAGACGTTCAATTGTAAGATTCATCAACTCGTCGTCGGAACAGTGGCGATCCTTGTTAGAAAATCTCACCGTAAACCACAAGGTGCCTCGGAACAAGCCATACTCATCGATAGTAGGAAAGCCTTCATGGAGAAAGACGGTTCGAGTGGAATACATGTTATGGTCCTTTAACAGTAACCCCAGACTTGGAAATGGCTAATTATAGGGGTAAATATTCTGCCAGTTTTGCTAGATAGGTGTTCAAGCAGTCGGAGGAAAAGGTAGGATTTCTTTTTGCTCTGCTAAGTCTTTCATCGTCTAGCCTTTTATTTTGGGATGTGAAGGCTTTGTTATTGTATCCTTCCATCAGAAGCTCAAAGCGAGAAAATAGGTTCAAAGACCTGAAAGTCAGGCACTACAACAAAGGAAGGATATAGACTTTGTTCTCATTCCATTCAAACACACCATAATCCAAACTATATAAGGTCCCCAATTTACCTTTTTTTAGGAACATTCCATTTTTCTAGTCCACCGGAGACTTCCAAACTACCAATTTTCACTGCAGATATTATCCACCACCGACATGGTTGAACCAAAAAAACCCATCCGATCTGGAAAAGCCCCTGTTGAACGACCCAATAATGGGTTTACCACTGAGCGCTCAGTTGGCGGCGAGCGTCGTTCCATCCGCCACTATCACGATGGTCGAGTATCGCAACGTGAGAGTCCTACCCCTGGCCCACTATCGCGACACGAGAGTCCTGTCCCTGGCCCTGTTCAAGCACTAATCAAGAGCAAGATTATCTCGCGAGGTGAAAGTCCTACCCCTAGCCCGTTATCGCGAAATGAGAGTCCTGTCCCTGGCCCTGTTCAAGCACTAACCAAGGGCAATACTATCTCGCGACGAGAGAGTCCTATCCCTGGCTCTTTTCGGGAACCAACAAAGAGCAATATTATGTCGAAGACAAACAGCACTAGACCTGTTTCCAAGCTCAGGGAACAGGAACCTGAACCGGAATATAAATCTCCTACTCTCGCCGAAATTGAGAGACTCTCCGGTGCTGTTACTACACTCTTTCATCCAGACCGTTCTAAGCCTTTTGAGAAGCCTCCCCCGAGGACAGAGAGCCCACAGTCATGGAGTTCTGAGAGCTCATACGGCATGGTTACTCCACCCTTCCCTGTAGCCTCTCCTACTCCTGGAGATTCACCCGAACTCATGAGCACAGATGTGTTTCTCCTTCCAGCGACTGCTAGATCTGATGGCTCAGACGATGATGCTGACAGTATTTCAAAGCAGTGGAACGAACTGGGCGGAAAGAAACGGATTGGAAATTCAGATATTCACGACTAACTGGATGTTTAGTAGTGGGCCAATCCGTATCAGCAGCAAATTCGGAGCTAACATAGGAATATAAATCGATCAAGAAAGATTTTCTTCTGACGACGTATTATTAATGTAGGAAAGTACGGCGTAGACATGTAGGTAGGTACATGGCGGGACTCATAGGACTAGACTACCATCGTACGCCATTAGTACCACCGCGGAGAGCCAAACTTGCTCCAGCGTTAAATTGAAACATTGAACAGTGATTGTCATATCCAAATTAAAGAATGCCAAGGATAATAATTGGCAAAGTGAGCAACTCGATCGCTATCTGGACAAAACACTTCTTCAGATGAAGTTCAATCAGCCATAAAAACTGAGGAACGCCAAAAGACTTCAATGAACTGCTAAATGCAGCAAGTCCTGAAGGGATTTTGCGTCCTCCAAGTATCTCTGCAATAGTTGATCCACGTTGCTTTGTCGGAGAAGGAATGATTGTTTCCAAGTTCATCGGTAGAAGGCTAGCTTCGGTCATTATGAGAGTGATAGATGCTGGCAGTAGTCCTAGTAAACGGAATGCAAGCATGATGATCGCTGCAAAAACCTCGACACTAGCGCGCCTGCTCGTGGAGATTTGTATTTCCTCGCTGGAAGAAATCATTGACCTTTGGATTAGACTCTGGGCCTCGTACATCAAGGCTTGGCAAATCCCATATGTGAAACTAGGGACTGCCAAGTGTATCCATTTCCTTTGGACTTCATCTTTTTTCAAAGAGAAGAGTCGAAGTCGATGTGTTGAGATAGTAGCACAAGTCCAGATCAAATGAAGTTTGCACAGCAGAACAGAGGAACAGGCGTATGCAAATGGTATCAGTAATTCGTGTCTTAGAATTGCAAATTCCAAGAAAGATCTGATCGCATAATGAGTGACCTGATAGACAAGACCTAGCACAAGCGCAGAGGAGAATGTGTAAAGGCTCTGTGTAGTATATATGAGATGTATGGCCTTGTAGATGGATCGGAAGGTCGGAGGTCGCTTGTTCCCCCTTTCTTGATCTGACAAAGCCCCATCCGCTCGAGCGATCTCAACTATCAAAGATGTCGCTACTACATGGCCAAGAAGATAACGAACCTTGTTAAAGATCGATTAGAATCAGTTACAGGGAAGATGGCCCGACGAGGAACTTACCAAGCTGGAAAGCAAAAGCCGGCTGAAAATGAGAGCGAAAGAAGAAAATGTGAGCTCTTTGTGTATGGTCGTGGAAAAGGAAATTTGGTCAAGCAGACTTCCATCTCCTCCTGGGCTGATCAGAATGTTCAAGGCCCGCGAAGGTAAACTTGCAAATACGGCCTGACTCAAAGTGAGAAGCATTCCGAATCCTAATTGATAGGAAATTGTTGCAGCGAGGAGATTCACCGAAGGAAGAAAATTGCACTACACTCTGACGCTAAGAAATTTAAAAAATAATAATGGGGCAAAGATAGAATTGGGCTAAGCCAACGTTCATCGGTTATACTCGCACGGTTTAAAGTCCTGGTCGATGTGTTACTGTTTGCATTGTTTACACCATTTGCACTGTTTGCACTCCATCAACACCCATCCTAATCCCTTTCCTTTTTTTACTTCCTCGACACTTGAATTCTATATGAAATGCGCTCTTTCCTTTGAGGATCTGGCAGATAACAGCCAAGGGTAATCCTTCACTCAATCTGACTAACCTTTCAAGTCAGTTTCTTCTTCAAGCTAGTACATAGGGGTCAGAATCCGAACCCTGACCGGATAAACCTCGGAATTATTTATGTTGTCCAATAACAATCGCCGTCCTTCATCAAAAGAAGCCCTGCCAAGAAACCCATGTAAGCAGCTAAACATTATTTAGGTACAAAGCGGTGCTACCTGATGTGACCTCGGGAAGTCTAGCAAATCCCGACAACCCGGTCTGTCGAAAGTGACTCCACAGGACTGTCAATTGAGGATCAATCACCAATTTAGGCAAATACCCAGAGCGTTGCCCAAGGCTGAGGTGAGACCTGCTTACATGTAAGATTGTTCGAATCCTTCCAACCTTGAGTTTGTAGAAGTCCGTCAGCTTACTGGGGGCTTCTATTTTGAGAACAGCTCTCCCAAGATTCTGACTACCCAGAGATCCATGGGCACGATCATTCGATCACGCGGCATGCCAAACTTGAACGTTACTAAACAAACACTGCCGAAAATCTATAACGCACTTTAATGATGCATACTCTGAGGGTTGGGCAAACAGTGGTAATATAGCATAGGATGAATTCTATGCATTCAGGGGGCGATACGAGTCGCACTAAATCACCCTAGTCAGGAATAAAATGAATTCCGACACTAAGAGCGCTAGGGCTGACAGCTTCGCATGACGAAGTAACATTTCCTATGGGGACCGAATGTCCACGAGAGCTAATCAGCATAAGCTCAACGGTAAAGGCTCATACGATCTCCGTTTCTGCTCGTATCGAGGCCGGAGAGGCCACATATAAAAGGCTCATTGTACGCCCACATAGAGCTTCACAAAGAAGAAGACGAGAACAACCTGTTTTTGATCAATCAATCAAATTTCTGCGCCATTCTTCCCATCCAAATTCCTTGTCCTACAACACGATTCGGTATCCTCGTCCCAAAACAATGTTCAAGAGGCTTTCCATCTTTGCCTAGGCCATTGCGGTTCTAGCCACTACCGCGCAATGCCAGAAACTCAGCTATGAAGATAGCATCGCCGCTCTAGCATACGGCAACGTGGCCACCGATAACTCTTCCGAGGGCGAGGTCTGGCTCAACGTGACTGGGTTTGCTGTGGATGAGCTTCCACACATTCAGAACGATGTGGGAATTCACACATTGGACAATCTCGAGACACTCACTGCTATTGCTGGCCTTGCCCAAGACGCGGCGAAGAGAGGTCAGTGGGGAGACATTGTCTACTTGCATAGTGCTTTCAGCATGAATGGCCACATCGATCATCTCAATGTTTCGAGTGTCGAGATGCAGGAGGCACTCCTGGATGCTGTTACAAACCAGACCAGCGGAGAAATCAACTCCCCTTTGGTCGAGCTTTATGCCAGCCAGTACCTCGAGCTCGACATTCTTGGTTGAAGCTTTTAAGAATCTCAAATCAGGCGCAAATCCCCAAAGGGCGCTGGGTCAAAGAAGCTTGTTCAACTGCCCACCTCGCTGCCAAGAACGCTTGTCGAAGTCTCCTTGGAAATATCAACGGCAATGTCACATGGAAGTCAGGCGGTCCTCGGAATATCTGCCAATATGGTTGCTGCATCAGTTGGAGTGCGAACGCCACTTTCCAGCTCCAGAATCTCTCAAGTGCTGCGAACTATTGCGTGGATGCGTGTGGTACGAGCACAGTCAGTTGTGAGGTATATGGTGTCACGTTGCAAGGAACTCTCGTGGATCAATGTTTGAGTAACAGAGCAGATGGTTGCAAGTAATGAGGGAGCCACCATAATCTCATTCAAAGCGGATCTGTCTGAAGACGAGATTTTTCCTATGAAATATTCTCAAGGGTTGAATTCAACGACTGAGTTTCTTGTTAGTTCCTTTTCTTTTGCGGTATTCACTTGTGTATGAAGTATCTCATCCGTTGAACTCAATATCGCTCCGGCAACTTCATGAAGCCGCTCGGGTCTTTCTCATCACATACACCCCTCCACAGAGTAACTTATAACTATTTTATTTTCAAGGCTCCCTAAAGAGCCTCACCTAAAAAGTATTTGTCTAGGCAAACTAAAATCTTTCTGCCTGAAAAACAGGGCAATTACATGACTAAGCGAGCTAAGTGTATTTAGACGATCTTCACTATTTCCCCTCCCCTGTATTGTCTGTATTATCTCCCCACCTCCAAATATGGACAACTCGAAAACAATTCTCTTAAATGATCTCCATAGCGATCTTGTTCGGAAATACCAAAAGCATGCCGCCGCGGTTGAGACCATCTGGAAGTTGTTTTGCCCCAATGACCGAGCAAACTGTTTCAGGGCCGGAGCTGCAGATGGAGTTGTGTTGAAGCACCCCTTAGATCGGTCTCTGGGAGATGTCTACAAAATCATACCAGAGTTGAATTTACACGACCTCATATCAGACCCACAGTATCTTTTCGACCTTCTCAAACATCGAGCCACCAAATCTCTATTCGAACAGTACTGTGGAGGCGTCAATGGCGGCCCCGGCGATCATGCTATGATCGAGGAGGTAGTGCGTACACGAGGACTCAAGCATACCAACTCCTTTAAAAACTGTTACACTATGTTTCAAGGCGACATGTATGCCACATCTTACCAACTCATGGCTAAAGAGGCTCTGGCTATTTTTGAACCCGCAATCCAAGCTCGTGTCTGTGTTCCACAGTCAGTCGGAGAATTTATTATCCAAAGGCAGATCTACACCTTGCAAACCCTCAATATCCTCATTGACGATATTCTGGGCGGCTCGCAAACTCGAATTCAAAAGGCCCCACCAAAGAAGAAGAAGGCTACTGATGACGGAGCGACGGTGGCTATGTCAAGGCTAAGTATCAAGGCCCCCCAAACGCGGCTTAGGCTTTCCGACCTGGTCGCCAGGGCTCGTGATCACCAAGACACACTTGAAGAGTACCTGAGTTTGCTCTCCACTGAGCCTGTTGTGCTTGCTCATGCTGTCAATATTTGGTTCTTTAGCCGCCCAGAACTCGTTCCCGACGAAAAGGGACGGCGATTGCCGGTTCACACCGATAAATACATCAGTGCTGCTGTTCTTGAGGCTATCAACAGTTCGATCCAAGGAGCCGCCATCTGGAAATACATTGCTAGTATTCTTGGGATGCTTGACAAGTGTGTTGGGGATGATGCCTCTCGAGTTGTTCTCCTCCAGGAGATCTCCAACATATGTCAAGTAGAGTTCAATCGTGCGCAAACTCTGTTCAAGCGACATGTTCAGAGTGCAAGCGGCTCTAAGTGGTTCAAGCGAACTGCCAATGTGTATGACAGCACCGGTAGCCCGCGCGTTTCCATAAAAGGCAATCTGGAAGATCTTACCGTATCTGACCCCCAGCTCCATTACATGTTGCATCTCTGCCAGCCAAAGCTCAATGTTTCCACCGCCACTACCTGGATCAAAAAACTGGGCGAGTATCAAGAAGCCCATCCTAGGGAGAGGGAAAACCTGGAAGATAGAGAGGCTGACTCATTGGGTGACCTGGCTATCATCATTGGATTTATCCAGGACTTGTCCTCTGTGCTTCCAATTCCTTCCTTTTCCAACAAAAAGGGCCAGATGTTTGCCGCTAAGTCACAGGTGGTGGAATCTGAATTAAACCAGACCAAGGATCAACTCGACTTACTCGATTACGTCGTTCCCATCGATAACCTCCTAGAACCGGGAGTGACCAGTGAAGCTTTGAAAAAGCTAGACCAATTCATCATCGAAAAATCTGGGACAACATTAGGATTCCTGTACCAAGACATGGTTGCCGACTGCCTGTCTGGCGTTCAGGCTCAATGCCTTGAAGCCAAAGAAAAAGTGGCGCAGGGCTTGAAGGCTGAATTGCCTTCTGCTCCGGCAACGACCGCAGAGTCGACGGCATTCCGAGTCGAACAGCGGAAACAGAAAGAAAAGACGCGTCCCGCACATTCATCTATCTACGACATTGTTACGCCTGTGAAGCCGTCTTGTCCACAGGAGCCAGCTTCGCTGCCGCAAACCTTCAAGATAGACGATTCGACTGCGGAGGTCTTCTCGAGACTGTTCAGCAAATCTCAAGCACGTGGCCCAGTCGCCTGGGCGGCCTTCGCTGAGGCGATGGCTAAATTGGGATTCTCAATCTCTCCCAAATACGGCTCTGTTTACACTTTCTATCCACCTGACAGCATGACGACGAAGAAGTCATTCACGGTACACCGACCCCACCAGTCGAAAATCGAAGGATATCGGGTTCTCACGGTGGCTCGGCGGTTGAGGACTTTGTATGGGTGGGGTGAAGAGACCTTCCGAGTCAAATGAGTTAATGACTTCAGCTCTTCTCAGGGGGATTTATTACGATACTACTACGATGTTTCAGTCTCTCTTTGAAGACGTCTTTTGAAACGTCTTTTGAAATGTCTTTCTAATTTCCTTTCAGATGCCTTGTTAGATGTCTTTTAGGAAACTTGAATACTACGAAAGGCACGATTGCCATAAATCCGCTTTTTGATCCAATTAATGCATCCATGTTAGGTCCCTAATGGTTGCTATGTATGCAAGTCGAACTATGGCCATAACTAGACTACAGGCATAAGTAGGATGATAAAACGCTGTCCATTGCTATTTCACAACTATTCAATCTCCTACGCTGGCAAGCTAGAAGCCAGGCTCAGCCAGAATATTCATAATGATGAAATGGACACACATGTCGCACTTAGGGTTGATACCAAGTCTCAAGGCCAGCTGTGGCATCCTTATCCGGAGCAAATTGCAGATTTTTGGAACATCAAACTTGTAAAAATAGTCAATTGCAGTGATGCGATTATGGCCATTTTCCTCACAAGCCGTGGCAAGGGAAGCTTGGGTGAGTCGACCGACGTACTCAACGCCTTGTTCACGCAGGCTCACTTTGACTTCTGCAATGGTATCCGGCTTCGGCTGCAGTCTGATAAGGCGAGCTTGGTCTTCGAGCCATGACAGGAAGTTGGTTCGCTCCGTCTGATAGTCGGAGATGGGACTAGACGCGGACATTCCGAGTATGGATGAATCTGAGACTTGTCGAGGCGTGTGCAGCTTAGCAGGTTTCGTGGCTGATTTCGAGGAATGGAAGGTTCATGAGGTAGAGCGTGGATGGTAGAGCAAGCTGGAGGCTTGGGAGCTTGAGTTGGTTAGCCATGGTGTATGGGATGCAATAGAAGGTCCATGATACTTTGATAAGGTGGAGATATTTAGAGTTATCCAGCTGGGAGGAGGATGATGAGAACAACGCATGGTTTTATACCTTGCGATCGTTGAAGAATGAATGGCATTGAGGTTGTCCACTTCAAATCTTATTGAGAAAGAGAAGAATAGCAACGAGGCCATTGATGCCGCCTTTGGGATCAGGCCACACTCTTCACTTCTCAGAATCGGATTTATTCGATGAGGTTTGCTTCATTCATCTGTGTAGCCTATGTTATACCTAGGCTTGTTTAAATGCATTTCATCCCTGAGGATATATAGAAAAGGAGTCTTACAGTCTAGACTTTTATATATAACCTTCGCATACCATACATATCGAATTCTATTCGGTGCTATTGTTCATTTCTTTCAGTTATACCAGGAGAGGTCATTCAAGTTGCACATCCATCCGCAACGGACTACCTGGTTGGCGAACATAGAGCGTCATATTATCATAAAGATTTTATTGTAGCCAATGACACCATTCATAACAGAGAATTCAAAACGCGTATATTGCTGGGTCATAATATCATACGAACTCATACATGTCATCACATCTGTTCTGTCGGAATCTCGCCGCAGACCTTGTAAATAACCAAAAAGACAAACATAACGCTGCAACCATTATACAAAACGAAAACAAAACTTTCAATACACAATGATATAGAATGACCAAATCTTGGTTTACAGGTTCGTCAATTTGCGGAACCAACTGGTGGGCTTCTTAGCATCCGCACTGGGCGGAGCGGGCTTTATCTCACGGTCACGTTCATGATCACCACTTCCAGAGCTGCTCTTCACACCTTCACGACGCGAATTATGATGCCGAGGACGAGCATCATCAATCTCTTCTTCCTCGTACTTAGCACGGCGGTGGGCCTTGCGGCGAAGAACACGACGAGCTTCCTCATCCGATGAAAGAGAATGAGAATGAGCATTGTCACCTTCATCGCCTGCAAGAGGAGGCAGATCAATAAGAGTAGGGACTATCTGCGGTGGCTCCGGAGGCTCATCACTTTGCGAGTAAACCCACGAGGAAATTTTGTCTTTCGCACTCCCGCCACGATTCAACGCACCAGTCATGAGCGGCTCCCGAGTTAACTCAGGGGCCACCTTAGACCTGCGACGACGAGCGTTCGGGTCTTCATACGGGCGAGAGGTACGGGTTCCTCGACGGTCGACCTCACGCTCATCAGGAAAGACCTCAACAGGGATCCTTTGCTCACGTTCACGACGCCGGCTCGTTCTCGCGGCGATCATTTCCTCTTCGCGCATTCGCCGGCGCTCGCGGCGTTCTGCAGCCTTAGCTTCGGCTGCAGCTTGGGCTTGGGCTTCACGAGCAGCCTGCTCTTCTCGAGCACGACGTTCCTCGCGCGCAGCTCGTCGGGCCCGCTTTTTCTTCTCGTAGGCGATCTTCTTCTTTCAGACGTTCTTCCTCTTCCTCTTCACGAGCACGTTGCTCGCGCGCTCGTTCTTTTCGCCTCGCGCGCCGCTCTTCTGCTTCCCGAACTTCGGTTTCACGAGAGTCAGGAGGTACCTTGCGGGATCCACGCCGCGCATGTCGTGCTGCGCGCCGAGCTTCCGCTTCATCGGCTTCTGTCTCGCCACCCGCTGCTGCACCGGCGGCGTCGCCTATGAACCCTTCGGTGTCTGGTCGGACAGATCCGCGGCGTCGATCTTCGCGACGCGATCTTCGAGCGCCGTCGCGCTCCATTTCTGGGGGATGTCTTCCGTCGTCATCACGATACGACCGCGACCTGCGTCTGTCGGGCATCTCTGGTCGTTCTGGCCGATCTGGGCGTGTGCCTTTTCTCAGAGAATCGAAGAGCCCCATGAAGCCACCGCTCTCTTGTTTCTTCACCGGAGCGGTGTTGGAGCGCTTTAGGCGACGTTCTCTTGGAGCATCGAAAAATGCCATATCGTCGGGGCCTGACATAATATCTGCGGTGGGATGTGCTTGATATGGATCAACCAGGACAACATCGTCCTCGTCAGGTCTGTGCCGCGGCTATGAAAGGCGGTCAGTTGGTACAACGGCACAACAAATACTGCGCTTATCCCGACATACCTGTCTCCTTGACCTGCGCCTTGAGCCCTTAGAGCCTTCCTTGGGTGAATTCCTCTCGGCATCCTCCATGTCAACCACAACGAGGTCATCGTCCTCGATCGCATACGGATCTCGAACTGTTTCGTAGGCAGAAAGTCAGCAAGAATAAATGAGTTGTGTCGTAAATGAACATACCTGATCTCCGCCTGTCTACGCGCGGGCGCTCACGTCGAGACTTGGGAGGGTCCATGCCCATCAGCCTGGCTGCTTTGTCAAAGACCTCACGCTTCTCATCTGGACGTGCTAGATCGGCAGTTCTGTCATCTAGATTAATTGATGGACGTCTGGATACGGGTTTCGACGAAGAACCAGATTTGCGAGTGGATTTGCTTTTGGACTGGGGTGTACCCAGTACCATATTGGCCAAGGCCACGCCACGTTGGTTCTTCGAGGACCGCCCCTCACGGTCTCGCCGCTTCTCACGGTCAGACGCAGACCTTTCCACTTCTGGTTCGGGGTCTTTGGGTCGAGGTTTTCCAGTAGACTCTTTTCTCTTTGGAGGTTCTACTTCCTCTTGAATCTTTGCTTCCTTCTGACTTAACTTCCTTGGAGGTTCTGCTTCCTCTTGAATCTTGTTTTCCTTCCTCAACTTCTTCGGGGGTTCTGCTTCCTCCTCCTGTGTCGTGTTTTCCTTCTTACTCGACTTCTTTGGGGGCGGCGCAGCCCCCCAAAAGCCCCATGATATGGTGTTCGTATTCTTTTCACCGCGTGCTCGGTCCTTCTTAGATGATTTTGGAGGTTCTTCGGCAGGCTCTGGTGGAGGCGCGGCAGAAGCATCTTCATCCTTCTCTTCTGGCTCGTCGGCTACGGGCTCAGGCTCAGGCTCAGGCTCTGGCTCTGGTTCTAGCGCAGGTATTTCCTCAGGAGGTGGGGTTGGTTCCCTGGCAGCGGCCGCTGCGGCTGCGGCGGCAGCTTTTTCTGCTTCTGCCTTTTTATACTTCTTCAGTTCCTTTTTCGACATTTTTGAAAGATCTGGGGCCGGTGGCACGGGTTCCGGCTCGGGCTCAACCACTGGCTCTGGCTCGGGTTCGGGTTCAGGCTTGGGCTTGGGCTCAGGATCATCTCCAAAGTCTGGGAAGCTTCCAGGGATAGAGTCCTTAGAGAATTTCCTTTCTTGAGACTCAAGAGCTTCTGCTGTCTTAGACTTTGTTCTTGAGCTTTTCTTCGTTGGAGCACGTTCCTCTATAGGAGGTTCTGGCTCCGGTTCCGGTTCGACCTTCTTTTCTTTGGATTTGCTCTTCGAGCTAGCCTTTTCTGCCTTTGCCTTCTCCTTCCTGGCGAGCTCCAGGGCCTTGATACGTTCAGCAACACTGAGCTTGGAAGCCTTAGGCTTCGATATTTTTTCGGGTTCAGGCGCCGGTTCGGGTTCTGATTCGGGTTCTGGTTCGGGTTCAGGCTCAGGTTTAGGCTCAGGTTCAGGCTCAGGTTCAGGCTCAGGTTCAGGTTCAGGCTCTGGAGGATTTTCTCCAACGTCAATAAGAAGGTCTTCCTCCTCCTCTTTCACCTTGGCCGTTTCATCTGCCTTCTTCGTTGTTTTGCTTTTGCTGCTAGAACCCCCAGTCAGGGTCGACCAGAAGCCTTGAGAGGCTTTTTCCTCTTTCGGGGCTTCGATGGCTTTCGTGGTTTTCTTTGTGCCCTTGGAGGTTTTAGGGGCTACTTCCGCCCAAATGTCATCGGCATTGTCATGGAAAGCTTCGGGGTCTGGGGTTAAGCCCTGAGCAGGAGGTGTCGGCGCACGTGGGGGAGGTTCTTCAATATCCCTGCCCTTCTTCTTCTTTTTCTTGTCCTTTACTGGCCCCCAAATTCCCCAGGAGCTCTCTTCGGCAGGTTTCTCTGGTTCAGGTTCAGGTTCAAGTTCAGGTTCAGGCTCTGGTTCGGGTTCAGGCTCACGTTCGGGTTCGGGTTCAGGCTCAGGCTCAGGCACCGGTTCAGGTTCAACAACTGGTTCAGGGACTTCTTCGGGGGGCTTGTTCGATGGAAGCTCGAAGTCCTTGCCGGGAATGGGCAGTCCCTTACGTATCAACTGTTTTTCTCGCTTCTTGCGTTCTTTAGACGATATCTCATGCCAATTTTCGTATAGAGGGTTATCAGGCACCTTTGGCGCCTCGGGTTCGGGTTCAGGCTCTGGTTCAGGTTCGGGCTCGGGCTCGGGCTCATGTTCAGGTTCCGGAATGGGTTCTGGCTCAGGTACTGGTTCGGCTTTGCCTTTGCTTTTCTGCTTGTCCTTCGATGTAACTCCCCAAGCGGCAAAGGGATCAACTGGCTCTTCTGCTTTCGCCGGTTGTTCATCGATGACAGGCACCGGATCAGCTAAGAGGTCAATCTTCTTCTTCTTCTTCTTATCTTTGGTTATCATTGAAAGACCCCAACCCCAGCCAGTATCTGCCTCGGCTGGTTCCTCGATTTCCTCGGCCACCGGTTCAGGTTCAGGTCCGGGTTCAGGTACAGCCGCTGCTGCCGCTGCTGCTGCCGCTGCCGCTGCCGCTGCCTCAGCTTCAGCAGCCCTTGCTGCTTCCTGCTCTGCTGCCTCCTTTGCTGCAGCTTCATCCTCCTCTTTCCATTTCTTCTCCATCTCCTTCTTCGTTTTACGTTGCTCTCTCTTTGGCAGATTTAGAAACCATGCTTCCTTCGTGAAATCGACTCTGGGTGCAGGCGGAGCCGGAGGCGCAGGCGCTTCGGGTTCGGGCTCAGTCTCCTTCATTTTGTCTTTGCTCGCATCCCAACCTCCTCCCCAATCATCTTCTTGCTTGGTTTCAGGCGGTGCAGATCCTAAGTCAAAATCAAATTCGCCAGTCTCTGACGTCTTCTTCTTTGGGGTTGCTCCCCAGGGGTTGTTGTCCTTGGATTCGTCATTGGGAGGAGGGTCAACCTTGCTAGTAGTCCAGGCTTTGCCCCATCCTCCGAAACTAAACCCAGTCCCCCCGGTCTTAGGGGCTGGACTATCGAAATTCAAGTCCAATTGCGGTGCCCCGTCATTCAGACTTATGTCTTGGAACCCCCCAGGAGGTGCAATCTCGTCCTGTGATTTTACTTAGACACCCGTCTTGTACATTGGAGCAGAATGGTCTTACCTTCCCCTTCTTCTTCTTTTTTCCTACATTCGTGAAGGCAGCCCACGAGTCATCGCCCCCATCCTCGGCCCAGCTAAGATCTTTGGCAACAGAGGCTTCAGCGGCCTTTCGTTCTTCCTCTTCCTTAGCTTTTTTTTCTTCCTCTTCCTTGGCTTTTCTTTCTTCCTCTTCCTCCTCTAATTTCTTCTTCTTATCCTTCTTTCCGCTCACATTCCAATCACCCCAATCATCACCCCCATCACCTCCATCGCCGCCTCCAGCGCCGCCTGAATCTCCACCAGCCCCACCGGCACCACCATCACCGTTGGATTTGTCGTCGTCTCCACCAGCCCCGCCTGCCGGTGGCGGCGGTGGAGGAGAGGGAGTCGGAGGTGGTGCTGCTTTCTTTCCTGCTGGCTTTTTCTTCTTATGTTCCCGAATACCCGTAGTATTCCCAAAATCAACTCGTACATCTAGCATTCGATCTTTCGGCAGCGACGATGACGGATCACGCGAGTTTTCACGAGGCTTTGGCAGGAGGGAAACAGGTGTCGATCTGCGCTGCGCGAGCGGAGGCAATGCAGCGTATTCGGGAGGGAGATCATGGATTACATCGTCGTAGGACGGTGGTTTCGGGGAGCGAGCCGGAAAGCGAGAACTCAATCCGGTGACTAAATCTTCTTTTCCGGACACCCAGTTATCTGGCCGGGAAAATCTTGTTTCCTTAGTCGAGAAAGTAGTCCAGACCTCGCGGAGGAGTTTCTCCCCCATTTGCACATCCCGTGCGTAGTATGCGACATCCTCCGCGGCGCTAGTCTTCCCCGCACATACACGATAAGACCCCTCAATTACTTCCATATCGAAAATCGCATGCGCCGAGCTCACGGTCGGTCCGATCACTGATATGGCAACTCAGCGATGTCAAATAGCGAACGCATCGATCGGTGAATTGGATTCAAGTCCTGGTGGCGGATATTGTCCCAATCGATCACGGTTTTTTGGGGCGCGGAGTTGCGAGAGTGCGGTATTGGTGTCGTAAGGTTGCGCGAGGGTTCTGTGGGACTGTGAGGCAATATATCAAGTTAAATTCTAGTCAAATGGCTTCCCTGGACGCTCGGCGCGTGTTTAGGTGCTGTTCGATGCTGATAAGGTGATGTATAGACGGATTAACAGACGGTGACAGTCTGTAAAACTGTGCTTGCTATAAATTGGGCACAAGGAATTTCAAGGAGTCAAGGGAGTCAAGGGAGAAAAGTATGAAAAAGTGAGACTGGGGAGAGGATCTGGAGAGGCAGGGATAATAAGTTCAGGCGGTGGAGGTGAAGATCATCCCGTTCAGCCCGCTAAGTTCAATGTAGGCACGTACTCCGGCCGTACAATGTACTTGTCCAACGTTGCTGATGCATTTACGTATTCGAGGGTGTTTCGATATTAGCGTGGAAGTTACTCGAGTCACTCAATTTATACATGCTTTACGGAGTACATAGTATATGAACACCCCTTGCGGGTGAAACAAAAACATAGATGGCTGGGAACACAGAAGGCACAGAGCAAGTACGAAGTACACTGTCCTTGAAACTAACGATATGTACTCCGTACTTTATACATAATGAACTCAAACACGTACGAATAGACTTTTCTCTACAATCTGCATGTCAACAAACAAACATTGAACGTGACACAGACCCCGCGATGATAGTTCCCCGATTCCATGGTTCCCAATTCGAGTCCACGGATTATGAGAGTATATCTTGTGCAGTACCGTGGTACTGTACCCAATTTAAAGTCTAATTCCATAGAAACATATAAAGCACGGATCCATAGATGTACAACATATCCACAGTCCATACAATATATACCGATCTCATACAATGCAGGCACACATCGTATACTGCAATGTTTGCATTTCTACCCTTGGGTTATGACCATAGTCAACATACGTTTTACAAAAGTTGCATGGGATACAGAGTACTCTCCAGATAGTGCAACATTCCCCTCGAGCCCAATTTACTCGATGCATCCCAATCCAAAAGAGTCACCTGCAAGCGCAACACATCTTTTGCACACCGCCACTTGAACTTCGGAATGAAGAAAAAAAGGGCCTAGTGCGGGGCGGGTGGAGAGTCAAAAGGGTCCTCTTTTTCTCTCTGACTCATTGATTTAATGGTGACACTGAGTCTGTTATAGCTACAGGGAATTGAATGAATTGGAAACGGTAAGCCCCCCATGGATTCATTATGATATCCTATTCCAGCGCTTCCCAGCTAAACCAAACAAGAACAATCAGTGCAGAGAAATAGTTTGACAGGACGAACTAGAATACAATGGGGAAGTGAGGAAAATTGAAAACAGCATGTGACAAACGAGCTTGGGAGTCTAAACCGAGCTAACCGCTTCCGAAAACAACCTCAACTAGGTCGGTACCATCCCAATGGATCCCAACCAGGTTCGGATTTTAGGCTCAGATTGAAAGCGAGACTTCGGGTGATTGATGCCGGCTCTTGGGTGCTGGGAATCCGTACGCCTCCTCGTGTTCTCTCTCATACCGTTGGCGATCTTCGATTTGCAATTTGTAGTAGCGCTAGATTAATAGTCAGCACGTGCAATTCGGTATGTATCAATTCTGCTCGGTGTCCTTACTTCTTTCTCTGATTCGGGTAGTTCATTCCAATCGTGGGCAATAACTGTGAATGCCTCTGTTCCGGACTTCCCCTGGTAATCAATGGTTTCGAGGCGGTCTCCCAAGTATAAGAGGTAGGCAGATTTCGGGAGTTTGGGTAGACGGTCATCTTTGATGGAAGGGTAGTTCTTGTCGACAAGACGTGAAAGGGATAGGCGGGCAGTGTTGGCATCCTTGATCTGAAGGGGGGTGTGCGACTTGACCCACGACTCGTAGGCAACGGCGTTAGCAGCTATGTTCACCTTAGCCTGAGCTTGGAGTCTCTAGATTTGGGAGATCAGTATGTTGCTCCTGACGTATACGGAGAATCTCAAGGGCACATACCTCCTCATCTTGAGGGTTGAGAGATGTGGAATGCTCTACGCCAATCATGAAAGCTTCCTTGACTGGGTATTGACCTTTGATCGCGCGCAGCTTCTCGGACAAAGCAAGACTGTAGGCAGAAGTGGGCAGCTTCTTAGGCGGGCGGATCAGGGCAGTCGCCTTGAGCTCTCTGATCTGAGCCCGGAGTTGCTTGATCTTCCGATTTTCCTGTTGTGCCTCGGTGAGATGCGGCTTCTTCGCTTTGATACCGGCTTTTTTGGTGCTCTTCGCCTTAGGCGTCTTGGTCGCCTTGGGCGTCTTAGTCGCCTTGGGAGGGGTAGAAGCAGTAGCGAATGAATTGGACTGGAATAGCGAACGGATGGAGGAAACGGGTTGGGCTTGCGGGCGCATCGACCCAGAGTTAGCGGTCAGATAGATGCGACTAAGCTGATTCTGCAAGTCGTTCACGCCAGTACGGGGAGGGAGAGCACCGCGGTGCAGGGTGCGGAGGAAGCCCCCCCGAGCTGCAGACTGCCAAGTCATGAGGAGATGATCGATTTAGCTGGAGCGAGCTGCAATAATAGAGACCGAAATGCGACAAATTAGCAATTGAATCTCGAAAAGTTAAGAATCGATCAGAGGAGCTGTTGACGCAAACCGAGTAGGAGTCCCGCCTGCTTTGGTGTACCTATCCGCATCGGGCCTAGCTCCTTCACATGGCCTTATGTAAGCTGTCATTCCAAACGGTTTGCGCGAGTGACAATATGGTAGACAAACACCTCAACGTTCTTTCTCTCGGTGGCCTGAGGTTTGAATCGTGCCCTCAAACGCTTTTCTTACGAGGCGCTTTTTCTTCCCCCCTCTCTTTCTCTCCCCCTCCTCTTTCTCTCCTCCTCCTCCATCAATCCGTGTCTCGGGTGCTTTTGCGTTCTAGTAAAACTCACTGATCAGCCTGCAACAATGGCTCGCCACGGAGATACTCGCTCACCATCACCTGTAGGCAGCACACTTTCTTCATCCCGACGACCTCGCAGAGAGGATGATCGCTATGACAGAACCAGGCGGGATGATGGGCGCAGTTACCGCAGATCCCGCAGCCCAGAGGTAAGTGTGGCGCATCGCATATTCATATCTTATCTTGCAATTTCTGACCATCCTTGTGATATTTAGAGACGATACCGCGGGCGCGACCGCCCTCGCGATAGAGATGCATTTCGACGACCAGATCTTCCCGTAGACCGGCGCAACGAAGATACTTATCGGCCACCTCGAAGAGACCGATCTCGAGAACGGCGACGAGGCGACGACCATGATCTCCACCGCAGAACTCGTGATAGGGATTACCGTTCTAGGCGAGATGACTCCCGGGATCGGGACCGCAGACGGATAGATGATCCTGCTGACTTGAAGCCCAAGTCTAGACGGGATGACAGTCGTGATCGTGCTTTGAGCCGACGATCTAGATCCCAAACTCGAGAGGTAAGCTGCCCGCGTCTTCGATTATGCCGGGCCCTTCATATTAATTGTGTCCCGCAGCAATCTAAGCCGTCCACACCGGTCCCCACTGCCCAGATCGACGAGGAGAAGAAAGCAGAGAGACTTGCCAAACTCGAAGCATGGAAACAGAAACAAGCCGCCGAACGCGAAAAGAAACAACGCGAACAGGCATCAGTTGATCCCAAGAAGATCCTCGAGGCGATTGACCGGAAATCGGTTGTATCTCCAGGTCCTGCCGCATTTCCTGGAAAGTTGAAGTTCGATCCAAAGGCCATTGCTAAATCATCGAACACGACAACCGCTCCCCCCGCTGTGCTTGGTATCGATGTTGCCGTCCTGCCATCTGCCAAAGCTTCGTCTGTGACAAAGTCCAATATACCTAGTGCTGTGCCCGACACGCTCTCTGAACCCTTGAAAGCCAAGGGTAATGTCAGCGGGTTTGGCCTGGGTGCAAGACAAGTTCTCGAAGCAGAGAAACCCTCCGCTTCTAACACTCTGGGCTTTGGGGATGGAGACGAGGGATCCACACGCAAGAAACTCGAAAAATTGCCGACCACGACTCTCGATGTGACGGCTGGGCAAGATGATGTAGACATGCAATCTGAAGGAACCGACGCAGCAGCTGAAACAAGTGCCGCAAGTGAACACCGCGATACACGACTCCACAAGCAAACCGACGATGTCCATATGGAGGACTCGACGAATACGCAGGCTGATTCCACTCCTATGGAGGTTGACGATGCTCCAGAAATCGATCCTCTGGATGCATTCATGGCTGATCTCCAAGGCTCGGTGCCGCCTGAACGGACAACTGGGGCCACGTTTTCCAAGAACGCGCACCATCAACCCGAGGCTATGTTTAACGATGACGAGGACGTGGATGTGACCGCAGTTGGTGATGAGAAGGCTGAAGATGTCCTCGAGATGGCACAAGCGAAGAAAAAGAAGCGGGAGAGGCCTGAGATCGACCACACCAAGATCGACTATGAGCCGTTCCGCAAGGAATTTTACACTGAACCCTCCAACCTTGCCGATATGACCGAGGAGGATGTAGCAAACTTGCGGCTTGAACTGGACGGCATTAAGGTCCGTGGTTCCGGCGTCCCTAAACCTGTTCAAAAATGGTCGCAATGCGGTTTGGGTGTTCAGACGTTAGATGTTGTTCACAAGCTTGGGTGGGAAACCCTCACATCCATCCAAGCGCAAGCAATCCCCACGATCATGTCCGGTCGCGATGTCATCGGCGTGGCAAAAACTGGCTCAGGAAAGACCGGCGCTTTCCTGGTTCCGATGTTCAGACATATCAAAGACCAACGACCCTTGTCTAGTACAGATGGCCCCATCAGTATGATCCTGGCGCCTACCCGCGAACTGGCCACCCAAATCCATAAAGACTGTAAGCCTTTCTTGAAGGCCCTGGGTCTTCGTGCTGTCTGCGCGTATGGTGGAGCCCCGATCAAAGATCAAATTGCCGAGCTGAAACGGGGCGCGGAAATCATTGTATGCACTGCTGGTCGTCTCATCGATCTTCTGGCCGCAAATCAAGGACGGGTTCTCAATCTACGCCGTGTCACGTATGTCGTCTTGGATGAGGGGGACCGCATGTTCGATATGGGCTTTGGACCACAAGTTGTGAAGATCATGTCGAACATCCGACCAGACAGGCAAACTGTCCTTTTTTCGGCGACGTTCCCTAAGAGTATGGAAGCATTAGCCCGCAAGACTTTGAACGAGCCAGTCGAGATCACAGTGGGTGGCAGGAGTGTTGTTGCTCCAGAAATCACGCAAATTGTCGAGGTCCGTAATAAAGACCAGAAGTTCGTCCGCCTGCTCGAGCTCCTGGGAAATCTGTACGAACACGACGCGAATGAAGACTTCCGCACGTTGATTTTCGTCGACCGTCAAGAGGCTGCAGATGACTTGCTCAAGCAATTGATGTACAAGGGTTATCCATGCATGTCGATTCACGGCGGAAAGGACCAGATTGATCGTGACAGCACGATTCAAGAATTCAAGGCTGGCGTTTTCCCTATCCTAGTCGCCACATCAGTTGCTGCTCGTGGGTTAGATGTCAAGCAGCTCAAGCTAGTCGTCAACTATGACGCACCTAATCACCTGGAGGATTATGTCCACCGTGCCGGCCGCACTGGACGGGCTGGCAACACCGGAACCGCTGTCACGTTCGTCACCGAAGACCAGGATCGGTATGCGTTGGATATCTCAAAGGCTCTCAAACAAAGTGGACAGCCAGTCCCCGAGCCTCTCCAAAAGCTGGTTGATGGGTTCAATGAGAAGGTGAAGTCTGGCAAGGAGAAGAATTTCTCACGCCATGGGTTCGGTGGTAAAGGTCTGGACCGTCTCAATATGGAACGCGAAACTGCGCGACAGCGTGAGCGGAAAGCATACAAAACCGGTGATGATGACGATGAAGATGACAAACTTGAGACCCAGCAGGAGTCAGATGATCGATTGAACAAGGCTATTTCAGCTGTCCGATCCAGTGCTGACCCGGCTGTTGCACCGGCTGCAGCTTCTATGTCGAGTGTGCCGAAAGGCATTGATCTTGATGGGAAGATTGTTGTGCATCGTACGGAGAGAGCACCGGCGACTGGTTCAAAGAACCCGCTGGATAAGGTGGGGTCTGCTGTTGCAGATATTCATGCGCGTTTGAGCCGCGCGGGTGTGATGAGATCAGGCGTGCCTATTGATAACCGTGGACCTGACGCCGGAGCCTTCCATGCGACGCTGGAAATCAATGATTTCCCCCGTAAGTTATTCCGTATTCCTTACATCTTTCAGACAATTACTTACCACTTTATTTTATCTTGCAGAAAAAGCACGTTGGGCCGTCACGAACCGCACAAACGTGGCAAAGATCCTGGAGACATCCGGAACCTCTATCACCACCAAGGGCAATTTCTATCCTGCCGGGAAGGAACCTGCCCCCGGGGAGCTTCCCAAGCTGTATATCCTGGTCGAGGGTGAGACGGAGATTTCAGTCACCACCGCCATACACGAGCTTCGACGCCTGCTCAAGGAGGCGACACTGGCAGCTTCGGAGGGTGAGGCGCGGGCTCCGGTGGGTGGCCGCTACACTGTTCTTTAGGTCATACCTTAGTTCATAGTAGTCTCCTAGATATGTTTTCGAAACAAATCAATGATTGTACGATATGCTTTGCGTGTCTCAATTCTTGTAAAACCTAAAGATAATGACTATATTCGTGATTACTTTCATCCGGCAGTGGAACTGGGGAACATTGGTTAATCGGAATGACTGCCAAGGCATTGTCAGATCATTTAACCTAACTATCAAAGAGAAGCTTGCTTCCACAATTCATCTACAAACAACGAGCCAAAGAACTGCAGCAAAAGAAACCAGATAATCCGCTACAAAGAAGAACAATAAGCTCGCAAATACAACGCCAAAAAAACAAAGCCCGGGATATAATGGCAGTCGTGATCAAATCAAAATCTCGCATAGGTATGCCTATTCCCATCTCCTTGCAGCTTCAGCCCCATCTACATCTCGCGCAGCCCTCTCTGTGCGACTGACTTGATCCAATGTCTGCGCTTGAGTTTGTGCCTTCTGAGCAGCTAGCTTTGAGCCCAATTTCCCTTTATTGGCTAAGGCACCTTCGGCACGTTTCTGTAACACAATACAAGTCAGCAATCGTAGCTCTACATCGCATATTTAGAGGGAAACAAGCTATCATACCTGTGCGGCAATTGCAGCGTTTGCACGTGCCTCGTCCGTTCCAGCAGTACTACTACCCGTGGTGCTTTCACCCAGAGTGCGGCCGGGTGTAGCCTTCCAGTTTGTCTTGGCCGGAAGTGGGGCGCGGGGTGCGGCAGTCCCCCCTGGGTTGGTGCCGACGACACGGCCAGGTTGATTGAAAGGGTCTGCCTCATTGGAAGAGCGGGAGCAGATGTTGCCCATTGTGATTGTGTAGTGAGTCGTAGGGATCGGAGGGTATGTTGCGGTTATTCTGGGATTGGCGCAAGATGGAGAAGGTCGTTGTCATTAGAGCCCCGGCTACGGTGCGGAGTTGATATTCGAGTACACCAATTGAATGCAGAGTGTTTCTCTAGGGTAGAGTCTGTAGGCGCTATGCTGGGTGTAAATCAAGTTGTAGGATGTTGTGTTGTTGTTCGCAGGTCATCGCAAGTGGATGTTGGAGCATTGCGATAAGGCTGATCCGATAGTCGATCCGGGGTCAAAGGCGGTGAACAGGGTCCGAAACTGATTCCAGTAAGTCGGGCTGTGCATTGAGGCCTAGTAGGATGCAGTGAAACTAAATACATGGCCAGCTCATAGATTCTATGGCTGATTCAAATTCAAATTTCTCATATTTACCACATGCAAACCGCAGACAAAGTACCCCATTAGGGCTGTTAAATGGCAGGTCGGACTATATGGGCAGAATAAAGCTTAGTCACGATCTCCCTTGGGGAAATCATCTCCGCATGGGAAAGGAATTTTTCATCGGAATGCTGGGGAACATTTCTCGAGTCTGAACTGATCTCATGTCTCTATTTCCTGCAGTTTTGCCTCTATCTTATATCCATCATAAGATTTCCTGAAATTGATCGCCAAAGCGCGTTCTGCGATTCGCTCGAAAATCATGACGCCTAACCCCCAAGGTCCTCATCCTCTTCTACGTCCCGAAGGTCCTCACGGCTACACTGAGGGGTCTCAGTCGGCAACGTTATGCCACCTAAACCTCTCAAAATCATTTGAATTTGATCCTGCACATCTGCGACTCCAAGGTCCTCCTTTTTGCTTTTCCTGCACGTCGATCTCGGTCAATTCTCCGATTGCGCCTGTTCGCAACCAGTCCGGTACAAGCGCATGACACGATTGCGAAACTATCTGCACTGTGGGGGGATATCATTCGGTGCTACAACCTAAACTGTCTCCTGGGAGCGGCGCACACTGGGTGGCGCTTTGACTCGTGGGTTCGTGATTTTGTAGTGGGATATCGTACCTGACGGACATTCACTGTCCCACTTACGGTCGCACACTGCTCGGTTCCTCAACTGTATTTTCCCCATATCGTTCGTCTTACACACTGTTGTGACGACAGCTTTCCTGGCCAACCCGGTTCAATTTCGCTCCAACACCTTCCCTCTGTCATCTGAAGTGAACCGTGCACCATGGCTTCCGAAACCCAACAAGGCGATTTCTGCCTTGAATGCAACTGGGAAGCATTCCATATTGATGGCAGACCTGCGGCAGATCCATCGGGTAATGCGTTTCAACATCATTGGAACTGTTCAAGTCATGAAACCCAGATACCGCTGCCCCCTTGTGAGGTCGATGAGGCCTGCTGTGATGTAGACGACTGCGCGCTAGACTGCGGGTCCGTATGTGGCCACTTTACGGGCTGTGACACTTCCACTGTCTGCTCAGTCACTCATTGCGCGGATGACAACTGTGATGATGATAACTGCGACGATAACCATTGCGGCGATACTCATTGTGATACCAACCACTGCGAAGAGGATAACTGCCAGGACAACCACTGTGAAAATATTGACCCCCTGTGCTTCGAAGACCACTGCTGTGAAGTTACCGCGAGTCAAGACTGCGGCTTTGATGCTATGTTTGGACTCAACAACCAACTGTCGCTAGACACGGGCGCTTTCCCTTCGATGGCAATGGGAAATCATTCCGTTGGGCATACGACAAAAGCCATGCAACATCCTTTCCCTGGTCTCGTCGATCCATTTCAACAGGAAAACTTCCTATCCTCATACCAAACGCATGCCACCCACTGCGAGCAGGATGTATCCAACCACTTCGAGTGCCATGATTTCCAGAAAGACTGGCAAGGGATGTTTGTGTCGCCTCCTGCTCCCACACAGGCCGAAGTTAACCCGGCTGAGGTTTTCCACATGCTCGGTATGTGCTCTGACTTCTCGATATGCCAAGATCAACACGTACCTGGGCCTCAGACCAGTGTCGACACCTTTGAGAAACCCAAAATCGACACGTCAAATGCATTCAATTGCTTCCATCCCGGACACCATCATGTCCACAGCCATTTCAAAAATCCCAATGATTTCAACCTGCAGGTTATCCGCAAAGGACCTCACCGCAACCACCATCGCTGCCGAGCTCACACCCATGCTCATGCTCATGCTCACGCTCATTCTCACCCGTATTCCCCTTATTCTCGACAGTCTCGCTCAAGCATCAGCTCTCACCTCCTTTCCAGTCCGGGAGAAACCCCACCACCTCTCGAAGGCGACTCCTCATCCGTACTCACCACACCGGACTTTTCTCCAGCCGACAGTAAGCTGCATATCTGCAAGTGGGCAACGGAGATTCGCGGAATCAAGGCTGCTTGTGGTGCCACTTTTGCCGACTGTGGCTCTCTACAAGAGCACCTCGTTGCCTGTCATATGAATACCGTGAATGGTGCCAAGGGCAATGGGTACTACTGCTGCTGGGAAGGATGTCATCGCCCGGATGAGCCCTTTTCGCAGAAGTCCAAGCTTCAAGGTCATTTCCTTACACACAGTAACTGTACGCCATATCTTTCATCTCACGATCTACCGAGGGTAGGACAGATGTGCTAACACGAATGGTATCCTTCTAGACAAGAATTTCTCATGCTCGGTGTGTGGCAAGGCTTTTGCTAGACAAGCGACATTAGACCGACACGAACGCAGTCATCGTGGCGACAAACCATACAAATGCAAAGACTGTGGTAAATCATTTACAGACAGCAGCGAATTGAGTATGTCGTTGTCAAATTTCTTTTAGGATCCACCGCTGACCACCCCAGAAACACATTCCCGAACCCATACTGGCGAGAAGCCTTTCAAATGCACCTGGCCAGGATGCAATTTCACCACGGGCGATGTAAGTTGTCCATCTCTATGCGATATACCGGCTCATGTTCTAACATCGAACCAGTCTTCCAATATGTCTAGTCACAGGCTTAGTATGATACTCCTGCCATCTCAAATGTTTAGCTTAATTTACTGACTCTATCTAGCCCACGGAGAGCGAAAACATAAATGCCTTTTCCCAGGGTGCACTAAGAGCTTTACACGTCCTGGTAAGTTCTGACTTGAGCTTTGTTCTTATCGCCTACATGCTAACGTTAATTCTCCGTAGACCAATTGAAACGGCACCAGAGGACAACGCATAAACAAGAAGCCTGCTCGACACTCCCATCACCGAGCCCCGATCCCTTCACTATGACCCCCTTCACTCTCGTCTAATTAACAACTCCTTTGAATGCATATTTGAATGCGATTGTCATGTCTTATGACCCAACGGATTTAGGCGCTATTTGCCGCCGGGCGTACTATGGAAGACTGAGAAACACTGTGTTTCTGGCGTTTTGCGGATTTTCGAGAACCACCAAAAAGATACCACCTGGCCTTGATGTTGCCAGGACTTTTCACCAAGGATTTAATCGATATATTGTTTTACCCCTGAACCGATCAAATCTTTGATTGACTCAGGTGATCTATTTCCTATGTGTTTTTATTATCTTATGATTTGCTTTAATGAACTCGCATATCAGGTATGATATTCGCGCATACGGAAAATGAAGCTTGCAGACTAAGATGCATGATGCCTTTATTTCTTTTGCTGGTGTGGACCACAACATACAAAGTACCGGTTAAACATTAAATATACAATTGCCAGATATGAAACCCATACTATCGATGTACCTGAGTAGTGATAGGCCAAACTTTGAGCAGCCATACAGCCAAACGCGCTCAATCTTCTGTAGCCCTCTCCTCGAGCGCCTCAACAGCATTCTTCAACTCCCGAATCCGATGTCCGACCCGCCGACGTACTTCATCCCTAACCTCCTGTGGGACCTCTGCCGGATTAGATTGGGTCTCGACAATAGGACTCTCCCCCGACGTCTCTGTCTCATTCTCGACTTCCCCAGGACGACTAATGTAAAGGCCGTACACCTCGGACAGCTGGTTGAGAGCATCGCGGGCAGATTCGCGGTCCGAAGCAGCATAGATGGTAGACGAGTCAGTGCTCTCGGTAGCAATTTCAAACTCGTCTTTTGCGACTTCGTATAGCTCTTGTAGTTCCTCGACCAGGATATCGGCTTCGGCTTTGCCTGTGGATCCTTTTCGGTCGGCGTAGGTTCTCACTGTGGGTTTGACGAGCGATGATTGAAGCGAACATGGTGATTGGAATGAGCTTAGGCTAGGTCGTATTTTCCTAGAGCTGGACAGGCTGTGCAAAGACCGAGGAACGAGATGCAATCGCTGTATGAAGGGTCGGTTGATGTGGTGCGATTGTAGACCTCCAAGGCGAAGGATTGAGGAGCTACGCGCAGATCGAATGCATAGTTGGGCAGACATCTCGAAAATAGGGGCGAATGAATTAAATCAAATGGTAAGGTGTACTCCGTAAATGATTTTAAGAAAGGAGCTGATCGTAAGATCGGTGATGACGTCGCCAGCTGTTTATCGCATCACGTGCCGATACAGATTTAAGGGGTGGTAATAAACATAGGGGATTGTGACCGTAGGTATGCATCAGACCGACGAAGGCATCATTTCATGAACTTGATGAGTTGGTTGTGACAACTGCCTTTTTTCCTTGTTCTTATTTCTTTCTTACTACTATGTCTATATGGAGTTTGCCCAACATAGAAATCTACAAAGCAGAAGCGTCGTGAACCTTCCGAAGCTTCTATGGAGAATCCCGATCCCGAAATTTTGAGAAAGAAGCCGAAAGGGTTCAGGCTGGTCCAGTTGGCAATGAATCTTAAACAATCATCACAATCTTCGCCAATCCCCCATTTTCCTCCATCAACCGATGGGCCTCCACAATTTTCTCCATCGGAAAGGTCTTGATTGGCAAGTGAATCTTGCCTGTCACCAGATCCCGAGCAATCTCCTCAATGGGCGTTTTTAGTACTGCCTCGGTGGTGCTCGTATAGGTGGTCAGCTTAACAGAGGTCGGTATCGACCCCATAGGCGTGAACTGGTCAAAGGTCCATTTATTCCCAGCTATACCCGTCATGCAGACAGTACCACCAGGCGCCGCACATTGTAGAGAGTCGTTTAGCGTGGTTACCCCAACCAGTTCAAGGATTTTCCTAAACGGAGCGCGTTTCTGGACCTCAGCCAATATCGATCCCCCATCGATAATGACGTCGTCAATACCAAGACCACGTAAGAACTCTACGCGTGCTGGATTCCGTGTTGTCACAGTGACAGAGACTCCATGCGATCGAGCGAGCGCCGCAGCCGCCAACCCCACGCTGGTAGTTCCGCCGCGGATCAACAAGCGGTCACTGGGAGCTAGCTCAAGACTGGTGAACAGGGAGCCCCAAGCCGTCTGCATAAGTTCAGGAAGAGCGCCCAAGATATCCCAAGGCACGGGCCGATCGGGGCCAAAGGCAGCGGTGGCATCGACGCGTCGTACTTGGTCGGCCGGCACAGCTGTGTATTCGGCATATCCGCCATCGAAGGATCGGCCCATGCCGCCCATTGCAGTGACGACGACCTCGCCAGCTTTGAAGCCTGAATCCAGGGCGTCATCGACAATTCCAGTAGCTTCGATGCCCAGAATACGCGGGAATGTCACACCGGGTGAATCACCTTGACGCGTGAATACTTCCGATCGATTGAGCCCAAAGGACTTGATGCGTATGCGCACCTCTCCCTCTGTGGGCGTTGGTTCGGGAACCGTTTGAAGTTTCAACACCTCAGGGCCACCTATATTGTGCATCACAATGGCTCGCATGTCGAAGGACGTGGTTGCGTCAACGGTGGAATTGATGATATCCGTGGTCTTATGGTGTCTCACTGGTGATAGTCAAAGGTACGAAACGAGGATGGCAATCGCAATCGCAGCAAGAAGAAACCAGGAAGTTCACGTCTACAAGCAAATATCGGGACATCAATACAACATAGATAGTGATATCACATGGCGTCATTTACTCCTTCCACGGAAAGCTTCTTTCTTTATGTAAGCAAGATCCGCTCAGGTGCCCAGTGAGCGCGATATACGTCGATATTCGGAGTAGTCGACGTTTGGCCCGGTGGAATTCCGATCACGCACCAATCACCAATCACAGCGTCTGGGTTGCGGATTTCAGGGTGATAATGCGGTTTAGTTTCTGGTGAAATGTTCACTTTCTGAACGGTTCTGATTGGATATAGGGCCTATTGAGCAACATGAATGGCGATCAGTGGTATTTATGCTTCAGATGGAGCTGGGTCAACGATCCGGCCGTATCAAGACCTCTAGTGCTGGAGGAGACAGACTAATAACGGAAGAGCGGGCCGACCGGCCCGTGCCGCCCTAATTGCGGAATGCAAGTCTCGGAGGCCATGTTATTCCATACCGGCCCTTCGTCACTTATCAATTTCATTCAAACTCTCATTCAATAGAGATCCTATGAGCCATACTGCTATTGGCTAGGACAGGAGATACGGTCACTCGACTGTTTTCAATTTCTTCTAGCAGTCTTCGACCCCAACGCAGAGAGCAACTTCCATTGCGAGAAACGGATTGCGATTGGTTTAGCTACGTTCACGGCTATTCTTACTGAGGTTGGTGAATTGCCTGGGAAAGGGCCAATGCTTGCTGGCTAACGAGCTTCAATGCTGTGCAGTACGGCCTTTTTGTCATTCCTTCAATTCCAAGTTGTTCTTAGTGGCGGTGCCTGCTGGATCCAACAGCCCTATATTTATTGATTCTAGACGTGATTTTGCACTTTGCAACTGGAGTCTGACACAGCATGGCTAAATCCGAAGGCTATTTATAGGCGTGACGCTAATGCTTGAAGTCTATCCCACGTTCCACCTATGCCATGCCGCCATTCACGCGCAGGACCTGTCCTGAGACCCAGCCACTAGCTGGGGAGCTGAAAAATCCCATTGCCTCCGCAATCTCCTCGGGTTGAGCTAAGTGTCCTCGCGGGCTCAGATTTTTCATGGCATTTAGCACGGGTTCTGGCTTGCCTCGTGTAAATAGGACAGTGTCGGTCGGACCCGGGCGACGGCGTTGATTGTGATTTCCTTGGGGCCCAGCTCCTTAGCCAGAACGCGGACCATCTGCTCGATGGCACCTTTCGTGGTCAAGTAAAGGAGATAGGGAGGGGTGACTGTGGAGGCGTGACAAAGAGTCGTGGAAACCAGGATAATTCGACCACCGGGACGGAAATGAGGCACTGCTTTTTACAATCAACCATCAGCAGCAAAGACCTTTTTTTGTATCTTCTGAAGTGGGTTGTCTGCAATCTGAATGTCGTACCTGAACCAAAAAGTAAGGTCCCTTCACATTCAGATCAATACTGTCGTTGAAGTCTTGCTCCGAGGTGTTTGCCAGGTCATGGAGGGGCAAGGAACCGGCGTTGGCAATGACAATGTCAATTTGACCAAACTTCTCCACTGTACGACGGATCAGCTCCTCGCTAGTCGGGCACACAACTGGCATTTCCCTTGACAGCCAGGGCGTTCTGCTCTCCAATTTGGCTCACCACCTCCTGGGCGCTTTGCTCATTGGAGCGATACTGGATAACCACCTTGGCACCATCGTGCGCAAGACGAAGAGCTGTCGCCTTGCCAATACCATTTGAGCCACCGGTGATTATGGCAACCTTTCCAGTGAGAGCAGCCATAACTTCGGTTGATGGTAGATAGGGGATAACGAATTAGGACGACAGGAAAGGTGAACAGAAACGACATTTCAAGTGCTTGTTTTGCGCGAGAGGCGAAATAATGCTTCATCTTGACGGTGTTACATCATGCTGACGGTGTTGGTATACGGCGTACATGAGTTTATCGACGGTCCATTGGCCTCTGTGAAGACGTAGAGTGATGCAACGAGCAGCGCAGAGATAACACAGTGAATCCTCAAACCGGCAGGAGCTAGTAGAGATTCATCGATCTCTCCACTCGAATGGAAGGAACATCCAACTGGGATTCGAGTGTGGTCAACACGTCACCGACCGGCTCTTACCTCCTGGCAAAGGTTCACCAACAGATGAAGTACCTATGCCGGCGAGAGTGCGATTGAGATGCTCTTTGCGTATAATTGCGTATAATCGATTTATAATAGTCAGAATCAGTGCAGACAAATAGACCCAATCTTACGGGATTACTAAAAAGATAAAGAATCGCGCGCCAAGCATCCAAAATTATCTGTATTGAGTCATTCATCGAAAATGGTCTAGCTAGGTAATCTATTAATTTAATCTAGTATGTAGAGCTAAACATCTCGGCCAAGTTTGTTCTTTCTCCAACGCGACTTACCCTTGAAGGCCTCATCAATCTCCCCAAAGGTCCGACCTTTCGTTTCATGCATGAAGAGGACGCCAACAACGACGGTAATAACACAGCATCCACCGAACAAAAAGTACACACCGAAGCTACTCTTTGCAAGGAGAACAGGTGTCGTCAAAGCCACCAAGAAATTGCACACCCAGTTGCTCGAATGAGCTAATGTGGTAGCTGATGCTCGTGTTCGCTGGGGCTGAATTTCGGCACTATAGACTTTGACGGAGATACCCCATGTGACGGAGTAAAGAGCGGAAAAAAGGTAGATGCAGACAATCACCACCCAGCGACCGACACCAGTAGATTTGTGGACGGCATTCCCAGCATAAAGACCACCCATCAAAAACATCAAGACCCCCATTACAACCCCACCATAGATAATGCTGCTTCGGCGGCCCCATTTATCGGCATAGATTAGTCCCGGGATAGTGACAGCGAATATCACAAGCGCTGACACACCAGAGGCCAAAAAGCTTGCTTCCGAAGAGGCAAGACCGGCCTTTTGAAACAACTGGGGAGCATACTAGAGTTCAAGTCAGCCACTGTCAGTTGTATCGAGGTATGGAAAGGGTTTAAGCCTACATAAAGGACACCGTCAATACCACTCAGCTGCTGCATGCCCATCAAAAAGACTGCAAGGATGGTCCGGCCTAAAACGTCTTTGGAGAAGATGGCAAGAAGCTTATCCACCGTTCGCTCTTTGGGCTTCTCGGTTTCAGTTTCAACTTCCTGTGCCCGTACTTGCAGCACGACCTTTTCACGCTCTGCGCGACTGACACCCAACTTGTCCCACGCCTCTTCAGCCATCGCATAGCGACCATGAAGTCCTAGCCACTGAGGCGACTCTGGTAAGTAAAGGAGTGAAAGTCCACACATGACCATGGAGAAAGCTGCAAGAAGGATAAACGGCGTGCGCCATGAGAGTGACGAGTGGAGGCTTGAGGTTCCATAACTGATGAAGTACCCCATGACCAATCCGAGAGTAATGGCCAGTTGAGGGCCCGTTGTCAGTGCGCCTCTGGTGCTAGTCGGTGAGATTTCACAAATCAGGACGACAAGATTTCCAAGGAAAAGTCCTTCTCCCAGGCCCTCCACGACACGGCCAACGATGAACATGGATAGGGCAACGGCTCCGGCTTCTATTGCGGCTCCCACGCCGAAGATGAAAACGCCGATGCAAATCCCTTTCGGCCGACCAAGCCGATCGGCGACATAGCCAGCGAAGAAAGACGAGAGTGCTGCCGGAATCAAGATACATGAGACGATGAGGCCGTGAATCGTGGAGTTTTGACTACCAAATGACTTTTTGAAGTCCTTCATGTCGGTCACCGGGCCGATGATACCGGTATCCATCCCGAAGAGGATTCCGTTCGCTGAGCATAGAATGCATGCCAGCATATATTTCGGTGGATTTCTGAACTGGGAAGGAATTAATCCCATTACTTCGGCTTCGGCTTTTGGTGTTTGACAGGCTGAAGATATTTTTCGGCTCGGGTTGTGGGAAGTGGAAAGAAGAAGAAACGAAAACTCTTACCCCACGTAGGGCAGTCATCATTATCCATTGGGTACATCGTATAAAATGCCGTTACATGCATATATCATATCCATCATTGCTCACTAAGTATCTGTCAGAATTGACCAACTGTAGAGACTTGCCGGTTATATATATTCTGCAACAAAATGTGTCCCCAGGCTAGACGGAGAAGCGTTATCCGGGATTGTATTTGAGCTCTTCGCTGAATCGGCGTGTGAGAGGCCGAAGATTTTGTGGGCCATCGCTTCTATCTCGGGGTATCTCCTGGGGTTTTCCCCTCGTTTCTGACTTTTTATGGGGCTTCCGGGGTACATTTCACATTACGATCCACTTTTCGATATACATATGTTCCCTCATCAATGTGATGGAGAGTGGTTTGTTCCATTCTGGACACTCGAAGAATCGAGCCAATCATCACTCTCTAGCCTCTCAACAAAATTATTCGTCGAGGAGGAATCCGGCAGATTCTGATCCACCCCTCGCTCCCTGCTGTGGCAGATAATCGCTATCTTCGCACTGCTCCCGCCAGCGGGCCCTTTCCTCGTAAGTGAAGACAGATTGACGGAGTTCGTGTTTCGCTTCAGTGGTCCACTGACATGCTTGCGCCAGATGGCCTTGAAGGACGGTACATTTGTGGCTGTGACGGCGCCGTTCAGCTCAACTGCTGAGATAATCATTTTGCCGAGGACATAGGTGAAGTCCGGGTTTACTGCGAACAGCAATTGTTGTATATTGGCATTTTGAAACCCGCGCCGTGGATTCTGACCATTCTTGGAGACATCCAAGGGTTAGTGGGTGACTACGGTCGGTTCATGACTTAGCGCTGACAGGATTGCGGACACGAAGAAGGTAAATTTTACCCGCCGCTTATATAGCTGTTCGGCCATGATTGCTTTTTCCTTGGCAGGAGTGACCTTCTGACGCGCGAATACAGAGATAGAACTCGAGAAGCGACAGACAGTGAAAAACTCCCCAAGGACGTCATCTCCTGGCTCCTCAAGGCCATTGAGGAGAAAGACCCGAGCGCCCCGCCAGGCGATCAAGCGCTTAACGAAGATGGCCGTCTCATGATCATCGCTGGAAGGTCCGGCAACCATTCTCCACAACCCACTGTAAAAGAAACTAACTTATCTTTAGTGACACCACCGGCACAACCCTAGCCCACGCCCTCTACTTTCTGGCTAAGACCCCTTCTGCATACAAAAAACTGCAAAAGGAACTGTCTGAAGTCTTTGGAAAAGCCGCGGAGCCTTCGCAGTTTACCAACAGCAAGCTTCAAAACCTCCCTTATCTCGAAGCTGTCATCAACGAGACCCTCCGCCTCAAGCCCGCTGTGCCAAGTGGTCAGCCTAGGTTAACTCCACCGGAAGGTCTACAGATTGACGAGGTCTGGATCCCAGGTAACACGATCGTAGTGCTTCCGCAGTATGTCCTCCATCGCGACGAGCGCTATTTTCCCTCCAGCTTGGAATTCATTCCTGAGCGGTGGCTGGATGAGAAGAACAACTTGGTCAAGCACGAGGAAGCTTTCTTCCCATTCCAATTAGGTCGATATGGCTGCGTCGGGAAACAATTTGCGCTCATGGAACTTCGAGCCGTCATCGCACGGGTGGCATACAACTTCGATCTCGCGTTCGCGCCTGGGGAGACTGGAGTGTCGTTTGACGATGATTCAAAGGACACGTTCACTTTTAGTATTGGGTCTTTGCCTTTAGTTTTCACCGAGCGATCAGAATAGAGGAGTGGTATCCGACAGGCCTTCTTGCAATTGAGTTTTTTTCATTATGTCAAAGGACAAAGCTAGCGTCACTTAGTTATCATAAGCCTTTGTTGTTCGAATGGTGAGACAATGAGATCTATGACAATTCCTTTCATATACTGTGAACAATGGCGTTTGTCCCAGTATTTATTCTTTGAATCAAATCGAATAAGTGCCGACTCCCATATAGCATAAATACTGTTAATATCCATAAGTATCCACCAAGCAAACATTCGGATTGCCTTCCATATCATCCAGATGCTTCAATCTTCCCTGTACCGGATCGTGCGAATTTTCTTAGTTACCCTTGACTTCTGGTTCAACACCGATCTCCCCGAAAGCCAAGTTCAAAGGAGCGGTAAGCCCTCCCAATCAATTCCATCTAACAGCCTGAATTCTTCATCTAGTGCCCAACAAGCCGAAAGGTCATCTTCTAATTTCGAAATGAAAACCTGGGAGGAAATCTACCAAGAGGAGTGCCTTAGTTTCAAAGCCAGTCTGGAGACCCAAGCTCGGATTCTAAGAAACGATCCGGAAAGTCAAGGAGTAGATCGTATCAATGATGTTCGCAAAGAGCTAATCTCACTTTCGCACCAGGCAGAGCGAATCAAAGAGGCTGCCTTTGAAATGGTCGACGAGACCCCGGACAGTGTATATGTCCGCAATGCCACTCCCGAGTGGCTCTCCTCCCGGTTTGGAGATCCGCAGCTAGAACAGGTATGTATTAGCATGGAATACAGCTTGGACCGACTGGCATTTGAGCTTAGATCTGACCCGTCAATGGACCTTATGGTCGCCGGACACCTTGAGCAAATGACCGACGATATTGAGATGGACTTTCTTTAGATAAGAATGCATTTATTCATTTGTGGCCTCTATGGATCTACAAAATTGTAATAAACGAGAATATTCACTAGTAGTCGGGTCCAGTATGCGGCTGTAGAAATTAAGCTGAGAAGAGATGATAACTTGCAATTAGATATAACACATGTGCAAGTCTTATATCTATAAAGAAAGAAAGCGAAGGTTGTAAAAAGCAATTGCCATTCTGCTATGATGTTCTACTTAATTTTCCAGTGACTTTCCAAGTCCTGACCCAATTCATCATTAATGAGCGTATACAGTTCGTGTCGTCATGTCTTTTCTCCAAGAAAGCCGAATTTTCAGTCCACTATCATTTCCACCAAGTCCAGCAACAAATCAATCCCACTCTGAATGCACCGAGTATGAAATTTACTCCTGCTGACCAGTGATAGCCTTGATATCCTTGTTCTGGGCCTTGTTTTGGTCGTTGGTGGGGTAGTTCTGGTAAGAGCCGTAGTTCTTGTAGTTTCCGTAGCTCTGGTACTTGCTGTTCTGGGAGCTGGGAGTAACCTGAGCGTTGTTGGCGGAGTTCAGGTTGTTGTTATCATTGGGTTCGTTGCGAGAGGCCACGGAGGGGATAGACTGGCGCTTCTGGTTTGCGTGCCACTGGCCATTGGCATCGGTCCAACCATTCTGGTCATTCTGATCATTTTGGTTGTTGGCGTGCCATTGACCATTTCCGTCAGTCCAGCCATTCTGGTCGTTCTGGTTGTTGGCGTGCCATTTGCCGTTGGCGTCAGTCCAGCCATTTTGGTTGTTTTGTTGGCCGTTCTGGCTGTATTGACCGTTTTGGTTGTTGTTGTCGCGCCATTGGCCGTCATGCTCAACTTGGCCATTCTGATTAGTTTGGTTGTGGCGGTTATCGCCGTTGTTGGCAACGAACACGCCATGCTGCCACTGGCCCTTTCGGTACTGTCCACTCGGGTCCCATTGACCGGCCACGTCGTTGGGGTCCACGGGAAGTGCGAGGACAGATAGAGGGGAGACAGCCAAAAGAAGAAGGCTGTTGATGATTGAGGAGCGCATCTTGAGGGAAAGTGGACTGGAAGAGATTCAAACGAAGTATAGGCGGTTATTGCTTTTGGGAGCTGTTGCGATTCCGAGGATCTCGAGATTGTTTGTGTTAAATGGTGATTGAAACCTGGTTAGTCGGGCTGTATTTATATCTGAGAAATTTCAGCTCCAAGAATTATGTAGCTCAAAAGTGCTACTCAACAACTTTGGAAGCCTTTGACAAGAATGTCTGAGGTTGGCTCACGCCATTCCTCGGTGTGGTTTGATGCTAATTGGCGCTGCAAGGGACACGGGGAAACGTGTAGTTGATAACCATGCTGCCTTGCGGGGGATAAGCGAACGGGTGCGCGATGATCTCAGACGGCTGCAAAAGATGGAGTAGCACGCGAAAAACAAAGCACAACAATAAAGATCAAACCTTTGAGTGGATACATGAAGAGTTGCATGATACCTCGCGTGAGTCTGCCAAAAAAATTCGTGGATCTTGTCCGCAAGGGGGTAGTAATCACATTCCTCGACGATCACCCGCGGTCAAATAGTCCTCATCCTGTCTGGCTAGACAGACAAAGTACACTTACGCCATTTCAATGCATATGATGTTGTCTTCTATGCGGTTGATGATCCCTTGAGGGGATTATCACGTTGAACATATACCACGCATTGGGACTCATGGGATGGCGAAACTTGTGAGACATGCAGAGGACACGTTGCTTTGATCAGCAATGACTACAACCTCGAATACATCGAGTTGAGGTTAGTATTGAAGCTGGGGAAAGTCCGCTGCGTGAAGTTGCGGTCTGGGGTTGGCGTCTGCTAGTTACAGAAGCCAAGGCTGTTCTATTGCCCCTTGAATGGAATGATCGAAAATCAATTTTGCGCAGTTTCGCTCTGCAACATTCAGCAAACTACTCGCATCATTACAATGGACTCTATGTTCGACAAGAATTCTCATGGGGAATATTCTAGACGAGAGTCCGGTGAGGGGCTTCTCGCAGAGGAAGAAGGCATTCTCTGGAGTAGAAAGGAAACACCAACACCAACGTGCAACAGTTTCGCGGCGTGCCTGTTTCAGCTGAGTGCACTTGTGCTGGTATTCTTAGTCGGGACTCTGTTCGGCTTTCACTGGCGTGGTGATTTGGATGGCCTTTGCAGTCGACATGTTTCTCAATATTGTAAGAGTTCCAAGCTTCTATCGTGCAACTCATTAATCTTATTGAAATACAGCAACTGTCATGAAGGAAGTTGGAATTCAATATAGTCTGCAAGAATTCAATGGCTCTCTACTGAAAGAGAATGTTTTTCGACAAGATGCTGGCCCAGATGTTGACGCAGCATGGGAGTCATTGGGCGTCAACTGTATGTCCCAAAGTGATTAACTGCTTTCTGGCATGGGCTAACTAGAATCATGATCTATAGACCGCAGCATTCGAGTACCTCCAGAGGATGCTGAAAAATCTGGACTTGCTACCGACCAAGTCAAGATCAATGCGAAGTATGGGGGAGGATTTCCTGCGAATGTCGAGGGCTTGCATCACCTTCACTGTCTGGTAAGTGGTCTATACCTCGATCTATGTCTGTGAAGATGGTATACTAATACCGACAAGAATCTCCTCCGTCAGTCGCTCTACTATAACTATGACTACTACCACGCCAAGGGGGAAGGGCCCTTCACGAACAATGACTATATCCTCCGCCGCCACGTGTGTATGTTGTGCCCATTATTCCTTTCTCGTTAAGGCTTTGAACTAATTATTCTCTCATCGCAGCACATTGCCTCGATATTCTTCGGCAAGAGCTCATGTGCACAGTTGACAGCGGAGTGCTGGGTCAAGTCTGGATTTACCCCGAGAACCCGGAGCCCTATGTTGACTTCAACACTCAGCATCAATGTAAAAACTTCGATGCCGTTCGTCGCTGGGCCGAGGACAACCAGCTTCCTCAGGACCCCCCTTCGGACTTTTTGCAGCCGCCATCAGAGGGAGACCGAATCTATATCCAAATGCCATGAGACGTGACAAGCAATATTTGAGCTAGACTCAGCCGGTATACAATAGAATGGAAAGAATAAACCTCAGCATACGTGATAACACCAATAGAACAAAAATTCGCTCAATTCAATCAAGATTATAAACACTCAAGTCATCACTCATCCCCGGCAAAACATACACCGCATTATCCTCGCCACCAAAGACCTTCAAAGGCCTCACTCCCCTAAACTCCATCCCAATCTTCTCCAAAGCGCCGCGACTCCGCTGATTCGTAGGCGAGCAAAATCCAAACACAGCATCCACCCCAAGAGACTTCTTTGCATACTCCAAAAGACCCTTTGCCGCCTCGGTCGCATACCCCTTTCGACCTTCTTCGGGCAACATGGCAAACCCGATATCTGGGGCAAGATAATGTGGGCCTGGTGGAATGCCCCTCGTGAGCGATACGCTGCCGATCGGCTTCACTTCATCATCGGTCTGTCGCGAGACTAGGAACATGCCATAGCCGTGGTGGGCGTAGTGTTCCGAGACTCTGCCCTGGAGGAATGAAGATGCCTTTTCCGGGGTGGTGATTCCGGTTTTGCCGCAGGAGCTGATGAAATCGTCTGTATTCCAGAGTTGAACTAAGAAGGCGCAGTGGGTCGGGTCGGTGGGGTTGAAGGGGCTAATTTGGAGACGCGGGGTGGAAATCGTGAAGCCCGGTGGGAAGGAGAAGTCCGGCATTGTGGTTTGGTAGTTGATTTATACCAGATTTGATTCTAGAGTGAAGTAAAGTGTGTATTTTCTCTTTAGCACGATAAAATTACCAGTGAGTCACAGTTGAGGCTGGATTCCAAGGAAGCTTAGCGCCGACAGGGGTTGACGGCTCATTTAGGTATGTGGCGTTCTGGGGCTAGAAAGAATAGAGAGAAGAGATAGGGACAAAAATATGGTAGGCGAGGTTTAACGACAAGAATCTTTTCGGTACAATATATATCACATTATCCTATTGTCCCATCTTCATGCCACCGTTGGCACATACCACACTGCCAGTACACCAAAGAGCATCAGGCGTACACAACATGCCAACAACACCCGCAACCTCATCAGTGAAAGCCGGTCGACGACCACCCATCTTCTCCTGAATTAACTGCTTCTGCTCATCGGTCAAGCGACTCACAGTATCCCCATGATCCGTCAGCTTGCTCATAGGCGTGTTATCCTGGTATCCTTGGATATCCTTCCAGAACTGCTCTCCGGCCTTGAAGTACATATCACCGACGACCGGGCCGGGGTTAACCGCATTGACGGTCGCACGTTCGGACAGTTCACGTGCCCAGGTGCGAGTCATCGCCTCAACAGCTGCTTTGGTACCGCCATAGATCGACTGGCCTATGAAACCGAGCGACGAGGATACACTGGAGATGCTCACGATGCGGCCGCTTCGGTCGGTTGGGAGGAATGGCGCGCATGCCTGTGTGAGGAGGAGCGGGGCGAGGACATTGATCGCGTAATGCCAGTTGAAGTGCTCGGCCTCGATGGCGCCCCTATTGGCGTCGTTCAGGGTCCGGTCTTGCGATACGCCGGCATTATTGACCAGGATGTCGATCTGGAGTTTTCCATCGGTGCTGAAATGCTGCTGCGCGGTAGCGATGATTGTCTTCACGGCTTCGGTAGGCTGGCTTAGATCGGCTTGCAAGCTCTCGCATTTGATGTTATAGGTTTTGGCTAAAAAGGAGCACAGTTCTTCGGTGTGGGCGCGCGAGGACTCCGAAGTAAAGATCAGAAGTAATGAGCAGCCTTTTGCAGCCAGGTTACGGGCAATTGCTTCGCCAATTCCTGCGTAGATGGCGTGTTAGCTTGGTCTCTTGGTATGCGGGGGAGCTAGGCTTTACCCCGCGATCCTCCAGTGACGATGCCGAATTTCCCTTCAAGTACTCGAGCCATTTTGGATATCAATGAGAGAGATGAAGAAATAAGTAAAACGAATTTGATTGAGGGAGGACATGGCCAACTCTTTAACCTCTCTTTTCTTATTTAGCCGAGTTGCCCCATCCCTCCCCTTCCCACGGAATAAAATTGCCCGTTGCAGAATGACGGAGGAAATACGTGTAATTCGGGTAAATTCAATGTCGGCCTGAATGGTCAACTGTGGAGTTTGTTGTTTGTTGTGTTGGCATGGTTTGCATGGTTTGCATGGTTTGCATTAATTGCGTAGAACATAATATCGACTCCATCTTTCTGCCTTTCCCTTACCACTAACTCATTGCTAGAATTCTAAATTGAATGCACTCGTTTGCTTTACAAGAACCGGCTAGTAATAACACTGCCTTTTCTATAAGAGTATACAGTCTATCTCTAGTGGTCAATCCTCCCATTGGACACTATAGAGTTACGATAGGTACATTGGGGGGTTAATACGCTAGCCCGATTAGGCCAGTTATCGCGATAGTCCCTAAAATGGTGTTTGACCGGCGCTCGGTACTGTAGAGCACCTCGAGTTTGTGTCTTTACATCTTTCGGAGGTTATCCATAGTGACCTGGCAATCCTCGAAGTCATCTAATCATGTCACACTTCGCCGTTTCACCCGGCGACCAGAGCGTCCAGGTTCGAATCATCGATTCTACTACTAGGATTGGCAAATTACCACTGGCGTTTCTCATGGAACCTCCGATGGAGGGGATGCATTATATGCATCCACTTCCGGCCTGGTCATTCCTGATCGAACATCCTTCCGGTCAAAAGATTCTTTACGATCTTGGAGTTCCGAAAGATTTGAACTCGTTTGCGCCGGTAATTTGTCAACATCTCGAGACGCAGGGATGGGAAGTCGATGTCAAGGAAGAGGTGATCGATACTCTCGACAAAAATGGTATCGCGGCGAATGAGATTTCCGCTATCGTCTGGAGGTGAGTAACTTATCGTTGATTGATAAATATACAAACATCGTAACGTGCTGACGGTTCCGCGGGAAGTCACTGGCACTGGGATCATATTGGCGACCCATCGCGGTTTCCTTCCTCTACCGATCTCATCGTCGGCCCTGGTTTCAAGGCTGCTTTCCTTCCCGGTTATCCAGCGAACCCAGGTGCTCCTGTACGTGAAAGTGACTTTGCGTAAGTCTTCGATTGGCGTTGTCATTTATTAGTTGGTATATAATGGAACTTGGCCCATCCGCTAACCTTCATCCCACAAAAGTGGACGAAATCTACGGGAAATAGACTTCTCCGATTCTGTCCAGGTTGGCCAGTTCCGAGCTGTGGATTACTTCGGTGATGGTTCGTTCTATATCATAGACAGTCCGGGTCATGCAGTCGGTCACCTTGGTGCATTGGCACGTACCACGACTAATCCCGACACATTCATTTTCATGGGAGGTGACCTCTGCCACCACGGTGGGGAAATCAGGCCATCCAAGTATCTCCCCATTCCTCGTGATATTCACCCAAGCTTCCCTACTCCCAGGTCACTTCCATGTCCCGGGCACCTGTTATACGAGGAGTTGCTAGTCCGACGGACTGGATCGGTGGACAAGCCATTCTTTCGACCAGCCATGGGACCAGATATTGAACAGACAATAGACACAATCGATAAAGCACAGGTGGCCGACGCAGATAGCAATATCTGGTTTATATATGCTCACGATCGCAGCCTGTTGAAATGTGTGGATCTGTTTCCCTTGCCGGCTAATAATTGGAAGGAGAAGAATTGGCGGGAGAAAACACTGTGGACTTTCCTTGAAGAGTTTGAAACGGCGATTAAGCAGATTTGAATGACATGAAATTGAGGTTGATACTCCCATGTAATTAAATCCTATTAGATCAGTGTCTCGTACCAGGAAACTAGAATCAACGTCCCCTTTAATCTTAATTTACACTTTGCTGACCTGTTGTCACGGACCATCTTGTTCGAATCTGTTTCTAATAATACAAGTCTCTAGTTATAGCCAAGTCCATATCTCCCCAACGAACGGCGTAGTATGTGTTTCTGCGGAGCGCCCAAGCCGCAAGATATTTCGGGCCACGGAGTAGACTCGCGGTGATTATGCTGGGACAAGAACCAACGGCGCTAGATCCATGAGCTTCATTGGCAAACGACAAACTTGATGCAAGCCAAAGTCACCAGTAAGGCGCCTCGACTAAGCCTGTCGAATCTTTTACTCCGGAGGGCTCGGACGACCTACATAACCACCCCTCCCCCCCACACTCCATAAGCTCGTGCTAGCTTACGGATACTAGCCGCTCCGGTGAGTTGGAGCCTTCAGCATGCAGGGGCGCTCGTAAAAATTCTCGTGATGACTGCCCTCATGACTAGTTGTATCATTTTCGACCGGGGTCGACCCCTGGGCGCTTCCATTAAGGGCTCATGACCCAGCTTTCCATGCAAAATTGGCAATGTCATCTGCGCATTTTGTTTTGCAGCGCTATCAGCTCAGCCCCAAGTTGGAGGTTAAGGTCCATGTTACTGAATCTTATTTTACCGCGTACATCCAAATATTGCATGTGGTTCCCCGTCTGCAAGATCATAGCGTTCCCGTATCAAAAACTCGATGAGATAGGGCAGGTGCACAGATTTCCGTGGAAATAATATTCTAGTTACCCAGGAGGGAGCGCAAACTTGGACAAAATGTGTTTCTTCAAACTCAATAGAACAATCTCATTCCTATGAAATGTAACGCACTCAAATGATATCTCGCTATAGGCCAAAAACTTCCCGCCGGGTCTAGTCAATTGGACTTATTCCGATTCTGTATGCGCTTGCTTCTACGTCTCCCAGTATCTTGAGTCCCTTGATCAGGAAGAACCGATTTGTTGGTAGAATTATCCACTGCGGGCCTGGACCTTGATATCTCCGGCTTGAGAGTTGCGGAAACCTTTCGTCTTGCTTTCTTCGGGCCAACAGGAGCGGCCGCCCGTTTCCTCTTAGTAGTTCTTTGGCCACCGTTTGAAGCGGGACCATCTACTTGAGCGGGGCCATCTGCTGGTGCGGGACCATCTGCTTGATCGGGACCATCTGCTTGATCGGGACCATCTGCTTGGGCGGGACCATCTGCTTGGGCGGGACCATCTGCTTGGGCGGGACCATCTGCTTGGGCGGGACCATCTGCTTGGGCGGGACCATCTGCTTGGGTAGAGAAAAGCCCATCAAAAAGCGGAGGTCTAGGTTGTGGATTGAAGGTAACATGCTCGCTAGGCACTGTCGGGCTCGGACTCAAATCGCGGTCGTTATCGGGTATCTGCAAAGGGATTTCATGATTCCAAACCATCCCAGGCAATATGCCCCATTGGTCGTTCCAAATGCCTCTTTTGATCCAGATACTTTTCACATGCTCGTAAGCTTCGGTGTTGATGTTTGTGGAGGCAGAGACAGAAGAAGGGCCATCTGGGGAGTCAGAGGCATTTTGAACTCGTTCGCGCTCCTTCGATATTTGATAGATGAATTGATGAAATGGGCGTGATGGCTCGTCTCCGGGCTTCTGTTTGACTTGTCGCTCACCGCTCTGTTGAGTATTTTTGCCAGTCGAGATGGCATTTTCCGGCGAGGAAGAGAACAAGCTGAGATGGATTTTCGCACCACCGTCGGTCTCGGGCGCAGGGGTAATTTCAGACGACTCTTCGTGCATCCACTGTTCTGAAGGCATGTTCTGCCATTTCTCGTTCCAAATTCCCTGTTCCCTCCAGCTCTCTTTCACTGTCTCATAGGCGAGATTGTTAAAATTTACTCCGTTGGGAACATCCAATGTTCGCTTCTCAATTCCTTCAATTATGCGGGCTTCCAGTTCGTCGATCTGGTCGTCAAATTGCTGATAGGGGCGTGAAGCATCGTGGGCCTTCTTCAATTGCCATTTTTCGCGATCACGGCGTTGTTTCCTCTCGTATTCTGCCATCTTGGAAGGACTTAAGGGGCTTATGGATCTTGTTGAATTATGCGAATGGTGGGAAATGTATGAAACGTCTCTGTCGAAACGTGACCGGTCATTATCGAGTCGCCTCGGGTTTTTAACGAGCTTGTCGAGCGCAAAGTGGATAGTAGCTAGGCCAGATCTAATATCGGCCATACTGGGAGGATTGGAATAAAACAGGAAAGGGAGAAGAATTGTGAGTGAGATAGGAGATGGGGGGAATGTGACAGAATTCAGTGTGACGTGAGCGCTAAGCTGCAGCAACTAGCGCGGGAATTGACCTCGTCGCTCTATATTCAGTAAACAATCATATCCAATCATTTACCGCCCAACATTCCACGCCTTTTGACTATTTTCGTACAGTATTCCAACCTGATTTTATTCGCTGAAACGAGATCTGAAACGAACGACTCCTAATATTGCCGGGGTATAGCGCTTAAGATCACATTTGTAATTGATGCCCAATAGTTAAGTACATAATGTCTCCCAATATTCTTCTGAGTGCCTCTTTTCCGTTTGACAATTGTCTTCTGTTTGGTCTTGCTTCAATATGTCGTCGCCCCCAGACCCTCATAGCCTTGCTCTCTTCTCCCTCCAGCCTTTGAACGAACAAGCCAAGAAAGTCGTCAGCCATCCTTGGAACCAACACTTAACGTCGAAGTTGAGCGATGGCACAGTTGTCCTTGATATTGGCTTCCATATACAGTCACGGTCCCGTCAAACGATTGCAACACTAGGACGTGGTGGAGATGCGGACATCTTTGTAGAGGGTGCCACCATCTCCAAGACCCAGTGCTCTTTTGAAATCGAGCCGACCACCAATGTCATCATGCTCTACGACAGGTCCCATCGTGGGACAACGCAGGTTTCCGGTGCCAATGCTATCCCATTCGAGCATGGGCGCCTTCGTCAAATAGTCGTTCAGCATCGGCTGAACGATGTTCTGGGGATGGGCGGCAGAACGAAAGATGCCGTTCAATTCAAGTTGATATGGAAGAAAAATTATCAACAAGTGACCGAGATAATAAGGAATCGAGAGAGTATCATAAGTGACTGCGTGGAAAATCCCCGCTTAGCTCGGACGACCGATGATTCAGAAACGGTTCTACCGTCGCAAATGCAGACCAGAATCCACACTGCGGGGCCTCGACAACTGGAAATAAGATACATAAAGGTTGACCAACTTGGATCTGGACATTTCGGAGTTGTACACAAGGTCATCAATGTCGATACGGGGGAGTTTCTTGCTGTCAAGATATTCCAAAAACCCGAACAAGCTTCGAAGGAGGTAGAGTGGAGGGAGTCATTGTATTATGCGTTGAAGCGCGAGGTCGAGACTCTGTCCAAGATTAGCCACGTTAGTAACCCTTCCATGCTCTCCCGAGCTAAACTGACGCTGCCCTAGCCACATATCATCGATCTTATTGGCTCACAAGGCTGGGACGGACCGGCGGCGGAGATATTCATGGGCCTCAAGGACGGCACACTTGACTCATTGGTCGAAAGTGGTATTCCGTGGTTAAAAGAGGTCACGGGATGTGCCTTCCACCAAATGCTTCAGGCGTTAGATTGTCTGGCTGTGAATGGCATTGTTCATCGAGACGTGAAGCCAGAAAACATTCTTTATACTGCGCTACCGGGTGCGCGATATCACTTTCAGCTCGGCGATTTCGGTCTGTGCAATCGCACTGTTGATGCCCATAGTTCTGTTGGAACCCCATTGTACGCGGCCCCTGAGGTTCATAATCATGGAGTCCAGACACACAAGATGGATATCTGGTCCCTTTTTGTAACAATCGCATGGGCACTGGATTTCCATGGATTCCGCCAGAACGTATCCCATTTCAAGACTCTCCAGCAGGCTCAACAAGCCCTCTTGAGCATCAGCTCAAAGATTGGAGAGATTCAGGAAATGGCGAGAGTCGACCCGGATGAGCGTGCCTCCGCGGCACAGATGCTGGTCAAGTGCTTCGATGGAAAAGGCCTTTCAACTAAACGCAATCGAGTTCCACCGCTCAGTCCAACGAAGCCAGAAACCAGACCCGAGCCCGAGTTACGCTCGGTGCCCATGGCTACGGACAACTATCGACTAGCCCAGGATATGCGAAGGGCTCCACAACAGCCCACAAATCTGACCCGTGTCCGTCAGCCGAGTAATCCGCAGGGTCGGGTATTGGGGCCAGGCAATATAGATCGTCTTTCCACGAAGAAGCATGGGATTCTCTCCAATATTGTTGAATCCCCTAGCTTTGGACATGGTTTTCGTGTGCGGCGACCATAAAGACTAGAGGGAACCTAGGGCTGTCGGTCCACTTAACCATCACGAATACTTTTTCATTCTTCAATAATTTGTCTGATACCTAGTTTGCGTTTGGCCGCTTCATCTGCTCGTTATAGTCACGTTATAGTCACTTACGCAATGCACTTTGTCTTTTCTTAAATTTACCACTTCCCTTCGAATTCAAGCACGAAAGCATTCTGCAGAATATGAACTCGTGATACGAATAGTAGATACAAGATATATAAAGCGTAGCTAAATATGCAGAAGAACCTTTAGTAGGTAAGGTTTCAACACAATACAAATAGAAATAATTCCAACTCCAAGGATCAGCTCTCAGCGGATGCATTTCGCACCGAATCAGTCACACAGATCAACCTCGGAACGAAACGTTGCTTAGACCTGTTCGCGCTGCCAAATTGAGAGGCTCTTATTAGCACTTATGGTGATATTGCAGCGTTTTATGAATACTATCGATGTTGATCCACGATATAGATTCTACATGGCCAGAAATATGCTCGAAATCTGGCCGTCTACAGGAGCAACTACAAAAGAAATAAATGTTGACGCATAGCTTCGATTGTTGAAGTACTACACCGTCGCAATCGGCCCATGGAGGCCCACACACCAGAATAAGGTATCAAGAATAAAATCCATCACGCAGTGTTGAATGCAAGACCATCCCAGGTCATCCCACGCCAAAACAAAAACATTAGAAACACACCAACCCCGGTGTAGGCCACTTTTTATGCCGTTGAAGGACAACCACTTTTGAGTTCTAAGTTGATGGAGAACTCATATGCCAATCATAACATCGTCGAATCATGTTGAAAGTCTATTTCCCAAGAGTATCATCGAACGCAGTTGAAAATGTAAAGAAATTAGTAACGGTAGATCTCGGGCTTGTAGGGGCCGTTGACGTCCAAGCTGAGGTAGTCGGCCTGGACGGGGGTCAGCTCAGTGAGCTTGGCGTTAACGTGCTCCAAGTGGCAGCGAGCGACCTGCTCGTCGAGCTGCTTGGGCAGAACGTAGACACCGACGGGCTTGCGGCCACTGGCACCGAACTCAATGTACTTCTTGCCGAAGGCGGTATCCTCGGCCTTGAAGAGGGCAATCTGGGCCAAGACCTGGTTGGAGAAAGAGCAGGACATAACGAAGGAAGAGTGGCCGGTAGCACAGCCAAGGTTGACAAGACGACCCTCGGCGAGGAGGATGATGTTCTTGCCGTTAAGGTTGTAACGGTCAACCTGGGGCTTAATGTTCTGGACGGACTGAGCGTTGGCCTTCAACCAGGCGACGTCAATCTCGATATCGAAGTGACCAATGTCTAGATGATAGTTAGTAATGCTCATACCAACATTTTGGCTCAGAACAACTTACTGCAGACAATGGCGTCGTTGCGCATGGCCTCGAAGTGACGGCCAACAAGGATATCACGGCAACCAGTGGTGGTGACAAAGATCTGACCAACAGGGGCAGCAGCCTCCATGGTGTCAACCTCGTAGCCCTGGACGGCAGCCTGGAGGGCGTTGATGGGGTCGACCTCAGTGACAATGACACGGGCACCCATGGAGTGGAGAGCCTGGGCACAACCCTTGCCGACATCACCGTAACCGGCAACGACAGCGATCTTACCAGCGATCATGACATCGGTAGCACGCTTGATACCATCAATGAGAGACTCACGGCAGCCGTAAAGGTTGTCGAACTTGGACTTGGTGACACAGTCGTTCACGTTGATGGCGGGAACCTTGAGTGTGTTGTCCTTGAGCATCTTGTACAGGTGGTGGACACCGGTGGTGGTCTCCTCGGAGACACCGAAGCAGTCCTCGAGCATCTCGGGGTACTTAGTGTGGACGAGGGAGGTGAGATCACCACCGTCATCGAGGATGAGGTTGAGCTTCTTGCCATCCTTGAAGGCCTGGAGCTGCTGGTCCAAGCACCACTGGTACTCCTCCTCGGTCTCACCCTTCCAGGCGAAGCTGTAATAAATAATCAGACAAAGGTCCACAAAAGGCTCCGGAGGATTTGTGAAAGAATGTAAACTTACACAGGGACACCACCGGCAGCAATGGCGGCAGCGGCGTGATCCTGGGTGGAGAAGATGTTGCAAGAAGTCCAGGTGACCTCAGCACCGAGGTGAGTGAGGGTCTCAATGAGGACGGCAGTCTGAATGGCTGAAGGAGCGGTCAGCGCAGGCCTTGCTTTTTATGATAGATCAGATCAACATACTCATGTGAAGACAACCGGCAATACGGGCACCCTTGAGGGGCTGGTCGGCACCGTACTTCTCACGGATGGCCATGAGACCGGGCATCTCAATCTCGGAGAGCTCGATCTCGCGGCGACCGAAAGCGGCGAGGGACTAGGAAATGGTCAATGATTGAAGGAGGAAAAAGTTAATTGAGAGACATACGAGGTCAGCGACCTTGAACTTCTGTGCGGGAGCAGCCATTATGTGATATATGTATTCAGAAACTGCTGATTGTTAGTGAGAAGATCAGAATCGCAGGCGTAGGAATTGACTGACCAAAGGGTGTATGAATGAGAAAGGAAGAGGAAAGAGGGAAAAGGAGAATAGAGGGGAAGGAAAACTCTCTAAGAGATCCACCAAGGTCCCGGAACGTGGCAAGTACTTAATACTTACTTACAGTACACTTTAACGTGTAGAGCCAGGTACCAGGTACTTCTCAACTTTCTTTTCATCTCCGTAGTGGGCTGACTGATGGCGGGGTGTTGCTTAGTCAGAATCACATGCTGGACGTGGCATCTATTAAGGTCACGTGGCGAGATCTTGTAAACAAGCTCTTCTTCTACGGTGGTTAGCTAGTGCATCATGGTGAGGATCACACCTTCTTATATCGCAAGCTGCATTCCTATTTAAATACACCAACCTGAGTCTCAAAACTTCATGCAAAATACATGAACAAATATATCGGCGTATCCTAATTAGGACTAGTGCGATTGAGGTACTTGGGAAACAACTTCCCAAGGTTGAAAAAGGTACCTAAAATGAACACTCCCAAGGTTGCCTCTCATTGTCATATCTATGCTCCCAGTCATGTTTAACGTATCTTGAGGTCCTTCCCGGGCATAAGCTACGAAGAAATGGTTGGAGGATCAAATTTAAGTGAGGGCCCTATCGAAGCAATTGGGTTCTCGTTTCGTATATGTGTCGATTGTTCATCAGTCTTCGCATTTACTATTATGGCTGTTCATGTCCTCGCAAAGTTTCATACAAAATAGCTGTTTTATTTCGGGTGGTGGAATCCTCCGTTCTACCTTGTGGGCCATCGTCATCTGTTCCATCTCGGCGCATAGATCCAACAGATGCAATCATGGCATTGCGAATGTCTTGCACGGCCCTAATGCCTAATTCCGCTCCACGATCTCCATCGACGTCCTAAGAATCGTCAAAGGTCTTACTATCTACTAGACTTGATGGTAGCTGGAGCCCGGAAGACTTCGGGCCAAAGTACGTAGGGTGAGAGTCCCTCTCGCCCGTGTCCTTAGGAGCGAGCTCGGCGCACTCAATCCAAATGCATCTGATCTTTCCGCTAACGAGGTAAAAGGATCGATTCTTTCATTGCTTGTGGTTCTCGGGGTGTCTCAGGGGCTCTTGGGGTTGAGAGGTGGAGGGCACTGATTGGTAGTGACTGCGAACTATAGCTAGTGGTCTAATAACTACTAGTCGAACTAGGTAGACAGCGGAAAATACTGTACAGGTTCATTCACTACTAGAAATTTGCATTACTGACAGACATATCCTTTTTTCATGTACAGGATATGCTAAGTGATATGCTAAGCGTTGAAAGGACTGTGGAGTTGGCGTAACATAACCCTCACCATATCCATCGTGTTTCTCGTGTCCATAGAACGCTGCAAAAACAAGCAAATTGCAAGAATCATAAGAATTCGTCAACGGAACCGAAAAGCAAAAAGCGAAATCGAAATCGAAATCGAAATCGAATAAACATGGTCTCGTAAGTCATGAAAAGCGCGAAAATCAGATGGCTCGCACGTAAAACAATCTAGTAAGATATCTGCGGTGCCTCATGAACACGGTAAGGATTTCCATCACGGTAAAGAGGGGTATGATCGGTCCGGGAATCGGCCGTCGAAGGGGCATATTCGATCTCATCAGGCCAGCGATGACGGCGAGAGGGTGGGCCCTGACTGTGAGCGCGGCGACGCTCACGCTTCATAGCGCGTTCGGCGCATTCCTCCTGGAAATGGGTGTTTTCTTTGCGCTTTTCCATGAGTTCCTTCCATTCACCATAGGCACCCTTGATACCCAGTGCAGCGAGACCAATACTCAGGACGTCCTTGGCGTTAGCGGTCATGCGGCGTTTGCGGGCCTCCTCGGGCGTGATCTCTCCCTCCTGTAATTGCTTCAGTCGCTCCTTCCTTTTCTCAATGCTACTATAGACACTGTGCGCAGCGTGGATGGTGGCCACACTGGCCAGGCCTCCCGTCACCAACATATCCCGCTTCAGCTTCTTCCGTTGCTTCTTCTCATCAGAACTGTCACCTAGGTCAGAATCACTCTCGGAGCTCGAGCTATTGCCGCGGTCTTTAGAACCGGCACCGCGCGAAGCACTGGTGCGTGCACATGGGGATGGATTTCTTCCGTCCGATGAACGGTACCGACCTACATCTCTCGAGCCTTTGCCCCGTCTCGAGTCCCTGTTGTAATAATCGCTTTCCGCATCTGAATCCGAATAATCGTCGTCCCGATGTCCCCGGCGATGACGCCGCTCTCGGTCGTCCCGATGCTCCCGACGATGCTCCCGATGCTCTTTACGATCGTCTCCGCTGTCGCGGCGACGTTCTTCTTGCTCTCCGCCGAGTCCCAGGGCGGCCATGCCCTGACCGATGTAGTCCGAAACACTCTTGCTGCGCTTGTGGGAGCCACGGTCGTCCTCATCACTGCCACGGGAATCACTACGGCCGCGATGCCGAGAACGTGATTTCGAGTGTGATTTTGAGTATCGATCAAAGATTTCCTTTCCGGCAGCAGCAAGTGCTCCAGTGGCAGCGAGGTTCTTGAGACCACCACCTGAAGAGTGATCCCGACCACGAGATCGTGAGCGCGACCGTGAACCGCCACCGACAAAGTGACTGGCAGCCAGACCTGCAAGCGTGGACTCGAGAACATGACGTGTTCCATGCTTGCTGGGGTCTCTGTCGACAAGGCCGTCGGTTCCAGCAGCAGCCACAGCGGCAGTGAGGACGCGCTTTCCTTTCGCACCGGCCCATTCGCCAGGCTCTTTGCGTTGTTTGAAAGCCTCAACCGCACCAGCTGTCAAGGCGGCGCGAGCAGCCTGAGCGATGCGCTGCGTGCTTTTATCGCGTTTGCTGCTGCCGCCACGATGGCGACTGCGACTGTGTGAATCTGACGGTGACCTTGAGTACGATCGATGGCGATGGCGGGACTGGGAACGGGTGCGACCACGGTCGCCGCGGCTGGAAGAAGCAGCGGCACCCCCGAGGCCTATGGCGCCCAGGGCTTGATCGCTGAACGACTTGCGGCGTCTGTTGCGGGGTGGAGACCGACTTGGCGAAGAAGAATCAGAATCATATCTGGAGCGACGAGAGCCTGAGGTATATTAGAATTGAGTTCAACCACATCTGCTCTATATTACTCACGTTCATCCTCGTAGTGTCTTGGGCGACGAGGACCAGAGCTTCGGTAGGGAGCATCGTAACCGCCGACAGAGGAGGCCCGGCGCACATTTTCGTAGACAGGTCGTCTCGACCGCCGAGAGTCATAAGACCGCTCGTAGGTATAGTCTGAGCCTGGCGGGTAGTCGCGCTGTACCTCCTCGACCGAGTCGTTGCTGGCACGAGGCACATATGAGTCTCGCTCGTGTCTTCTATAATGGCCGCGAGGTTCATCATATGGATCGGCGTAACTGGCGGGGCGTGCGTAGCGGTCGCGATAACGGTCCTCGTAGTACGCCATGGTTGAGGCGAAAGTGAGGACACAAATCGAAAGATAAAGTCGATATTTGTGAACTACTACCGTCCACGGGGAAAATAGGTGGGATGGAAAAAGAAGTTCGTGAGGGGAGATGTATAGCGGGGCTGGGGTGGCGTGACGATGTGGATTCAGATGGGCGAGCGAAGTATCGTATCTGGGGCTAAGAGACTTGGCAGTGGCTGAGAGAGATAGCCCTGGAGTATTCTGGAGGTGATACTTGGATGAAAAGTACAAAGTTCAAGGGACAATTCTTCTTAAAACGGTATATATAGCAAAATCAGGATTGCGCCAATGACGTATAAAGGAACAGCGAAGCATTCTTTAAAGCGGATATAACGCCATCCAATATCGAATGACCATCTGGACTGGCGTTGTGTATCAGAGATCAGATAGGACTCCGACGTCATCCTGCGTCCCAGGACGGTCTAGCCCTATATAATATACACAAAGGCAGACAATTGGATAATGCTTAACTGCTTAATCTACTTTCAAAGAGATGTACACCCTTGGAAGTATACAATACATCTGAGATGCAATATCAAATATCGGAGATTTAAGATTTATGGAACGTAAACAATGGTTCCACGGGTCGCCTTCGGGGATCCCAGCCGCTTACGATCTGACCAACACGACGCCCTGGATCTCGTTGGGTGCAGAACTGGTTGCACAACATTTCTCATGGGAATCCCTGAAGGGAAGCTGGACAGTATTTGGCTCTCTAACACATCGCCGCCCACAATTTCAACCATCACACATAACACGAGAATCAGCACATGGTACATGAGGGATATAAAACAGGGAAATAATAACACATAGTAACACGTATGATAGACCTCTACGTCTCAATAATTTGAAACGCGCAGTCATGCAGAATCGCTGAATATGAAATACAAAAACACAAAAGCACATCCGAAAGCCCAAAATTGACCAAGAAAAAGACTAAATAGACATGATCGAATCACACCGCACAGCAGTGGCCAGGCACAAAAGACCAACAGAAGGAGAAAGTCGTATACTAAACAGCAAATAGAATGGACGGTCGGCGAAAACCGACCTGCTCTCTTAGGGCGCCTGGGGACCAGGCACTGGGACAGACCCTGGGACAGGCCGTACACCTGCCTCGATGGGTTGACTGACATTGCGCTGGTGCGAGACGGAGGCGTATACCGCGTCAGGACGAGCCATCGCCCACCGAGCATCAGGCTCTGGCTCGGAAATAGAGCGCATCTCGTCCGAGTGTGAGCGATGGGTCCGGATGTGCTGCTTCATGTTGTCTTTCCTCGTAAAGGCTTTGTTGCAGATCGGACAGTGCACGCTCTTTTCGCCGGTGTGCTTTTTGCCGTGGCGCGCAGCATGGCCCGAAGTCGTAAATGTGGAAGAGCACCCATGGCTCGCGGCATAGGGGCACGGGTACTTGTTCTTTCGCCCCGTGCCGCGCGTCGCTCCGGTCTGAGAAGCCGTTTCGGATGTGGTTGAACGAGTCTCGGGTGATGTTCGGGGAGCTGCTGGCCCGCGAGCTGGGAATCGGTATGGTTCCCGTCGCGGATCCTGCCGGGCATACGGGTGGTAAGATGATGGTTGACTGGTGAGATAGTCGTAAGCTGAGCCATCGGACGACCCGGGCGAAGCGGGCTGGGCGACTTCCGTCACCGCGTCTGAATGATGCCTGCTCCCTCGTGGTGATGTTGCTGGAGATTGGGATGAAGCTGCGGGGCGGGTGTACTGTGGGTCGCTGATAGGAGAGGGTGGTCGCTCTGAATGTGGATATTGTGATGATGATATGTGAGTCCGACTAAGTCGGGGCGCGGAACGGACCGCAAAAGATGGGTTATCATCATTATTCAGAATGGACACAATACTCGTCCTACAAGTGGACATCTCCTCAATGCCAATGCCCCGATATGCGGTCACCGGGGCTGGGAAATTATACTAGAGACAAAATGAAGTTAGTTTAGACTGTTGGCAACCGGCTCAGCCGGGCTCTGGGAACTCGCAAGAACTCGAGAGATCGCCGGTCTGAGACAAGGGGAGAAAGGGAAGAGGGTGTAGAAGAAGAGAAAGAATATCTCTCTCATTTCTTGCCCCCCGGAGGACCCGACAAACGCACCAGCGGCTCTCGAAATATGTTTGTCCTCTGTGTCGTGTAACACGTCGACAACATTAGACCCTAAATCAGCACTCGCCTGCAGACCTGAACGGAGGCTCGAGCTTGTGCCGGGCTCCGTGTCTTTTGGAGGCACGGGTGACGAGAAAGTATCTCAAAGGTTGTTGAATGCCGGAGATATGACGACTCGGCAGCGATAGTGCAAGGTGAAATGCGATAGACGTCTTTCCCTCGCTATGGAACTTGTTCAAAGGCTCTGGTCCTTTTTTTTTTTCCCGCCTTTTCTTCCTAGGATTTCCTTTTTTCCTTTCTAATTTCTGCAATTGTATGTGGGGAACACAATCCTCAACGGCAGTTGCAAACCGGCCTGGGGATGTTGCAGAAAAGTCGAAGTTCAACGCCGGTTGTCTAACCCAAGTAACAGTTCTTCCAGATGTTAGGCCGTCTGGGAATAAGTAGAAACGAGATGCGCTCTGCGCGTGCCCGTGATAGAGGTAGTGGAAATGAGTGATCGGATACGAGATAAGAGGGGATTGAAATGATGAGAAGTCGAAACGAGATAAGAGTTCAAATAGGAATATAGATCGAGTAGAGAGAGGAAAAAAGTGAAGAGCAGCCAACCATGGCCATTGGTAACTAATTATACTAAAAAATGAGCGAAAGAAGCCAAGCTCCAGGGTCTGTCGAGGCTCCCCAGAGAGGATACACTTACGGAGCACGCTATTTAGTTCGGTGGAGCCTTACAAAAAGAAAAAGAATTAATAGCGATAATATAAAATGCTAAAAACAAATATCTACAATACAACAATAATACAGACCAAGACCCCTAATCCACACCCTTGTACCCGTTTTCTTCTCCGTTTCTTCCGGCCCGCCCGCTAACTACTCCAGTGAGGTCTGTGACATTTTTCCATTTTTATCTGATTCTTGGACTTGCGTTGCTTTTTTTCCCTTAGTTGTACGTCTAAATATAATACTGTATGTGCAGTTGGGAGTGTTAACTCCGACTGGCTTATCATTCGGACTAGGGCTTCGGCTGAGCCAAGCGAAAACAGGGAGAGATCCACCAAATCGGCAGAACCGCGGGCAATCATGAGACCATTGGACCCTGAGCAGGTTAATGAGTATCTTTGCGGGTTTATGGATTTAGATTTTATTCTTAGCTTTAGGGAGATAAATCAGAAATGGACAAGCTTTTAGCCCTGTCTATACGTATTCATCCTCCGTGCTATAGCTCTTCGACTACATTTCTCTCTGGGGAAAGTCTCAGAACATACGTAAGTGATGATGTTAGTACCTTGGCCTGTTTGGGAACTCACCTCCGGCTTGGGATTCCATAGCGGGTATTAGGTTCAATTCGGGAAATCCTACGTTGATTGGTGGCTTTCTTAGGTTCTTACTTTTCCCAAAATTATATCTTTGTTTTATTCCGTTCCCTTCTTTTGCTATTACTGCAGGGCGATCTCGCCTTACGGTAAAATTAAAAAAGTAAAAAAGATAAGGCATAAAAAGGTCTAGCCCTGAGATCTCCAACGCTTCCAAGGTTCAGGTTTCAACGCTTTGATAATCCATTAATCATAACGTGGCTCCCTTGCTTGTCGGACTTTCGCTTTCTTGAAAGAGTACTTTCCACCGAGATTTCTTCTTTTTCCCCGAGATAACCCCTCGCAAAAAGTTACGTGGACGATGGAGGTATACACGAGGATTGCCTCCACATGAGTAAAGATACCCTAGTGAACTATTCAACCGAACCTAGATCTTCTGTCACGTCTGCTTTTAACATTCCAAATGATTTACATGGGAGCCCAGGGGGTGAAAGGGACTGGCCCGTGCAACTATTCGTATTCGCGTTCATCCGCCCCGCTCCGAGAATCCATTCGCGGGGACTCTCTCCAGGGCTGACTTTCCCTCTGCGTTGTAGCACACGTACTCCGTAAGTCGGTGTATAATGAAACAGACTGCTTCTTTCTGAGGTTTAAGGGGAGTGACATGTTTAGCAGAGATAGAGCGACAAATCTGATATTGTAATGACATTATCAACCGTGTACCGAGAATACTCTATGTCATATCAATTCCATTTCCATTCATTTCCCTCGTTTCTCCCGCAAATACCTCGTGGCAACGCCGATCAAGCCAAGCTTCAATCTTCCGATCTACTGGAACTAGCGTCAAAATTATGTCGTCCAAAATTCGTGGCTGGAGGACGCGGACCGTTTTGGGGCTTTCTCAGCCGAGAGGTGATTTGCCTATACTCGATCTCAGACGGGGCCATACGTATGCAGCCTACGTATATCCACGGTAGACGTATATCCGGTAGTTCGGGATGTCTAGTGCAGCAAATGCGCTTCCGTGCTTGTTTCGACTAAGGATTTAGTGTTCGGATTTAGTGTTCGAGACACTTCTCACTCGCCGAGCTTACGCCACAGGCTTGATTCGTCAGGGCCCTTGTACTCGTCTTGTTTCGAGATGCCTGGAAAGACCCTGTTTTTTATTTTCCCTTGTTTGACTAGGATGCAGGGCCTCGTGGCCCGCTTACTACGATGAGACTAGTCTGGCGTGGACCAGTAGCATAGCGGGTGCTATCATCACCGTTCCCGCTTAGCGGCATGGGATACCCTTATTGTGCTAACTACAACCGCCACTTTTTTTGGCCCACGCGGCCTTTTTATATGCTTACGTGTTTCAACCCTTAACCCTTGAGCTAGTTAGTTAGTTAGGGTGTACGGAATACGGTGTGCGAAGTATAGAGGCGCAGAAAATTTCACTTGAACCCCGACACCGGAGATTTTATATCCGAATGTCCGACCAAAAAGAATTTGATCTCCACTCGGTTTCCACCATCTTTCCCATCTTCGAATCAGAAAGGCATTTTCAGCTGCCGCCCGTCCAATTTGCTGCCTGATGTCCAGATTACAGTCGGTAAGCATGTGTAAGCATATGTAAGCCAGGTAATGTTCACAAGTCACCGGCATTTATGCTTAACTCCATAGAGACGATCCGGCAGATGCCTTCCCGGCCATCTCCCAGCGTGGAGCCTTTCGCTTCCACACTCGTGTTCGGGTGCTTTCGCGCTATTGATCTTGTGGTCTATTTCGAGGATCCGGAGCCACTTTCTGGATAATTATGGACCTGTGCTGAGTCATTTATCTAGGATTCTAGTTCCTGGGCATGCTCAACATATGAACAGGTTCCTGGACCCCTGCTTACAAAGCGGAGGAAAATCGCCCGGGCTATCATCCGTATGTGACTGTGGGTATGGATTTGCCATACATAACTCAGGGCTAACTACGGAGTTCCATTCTCTAAAATGGATCAACCGGTCCCTTGCAATGGTCTGAGCGCCCACGTATGATAACCCCAGGTATCGCAGTTTAGGCTACTGTCAAACCTCGAAAGTCTATTGAATATTCACTTGCCTCGGGGAGCGCTGTTCTTACCCGCCCCTATGAGGAGACACACATTCTAATTCCTAACATATGTTTTGTCGTATTCCAAGACATTTGATAATTACATCTCAAGTTAACCAAACTGCATATCGAACGACTCATCAGATCTCGCGTAGTATCCGTCATCTCTCAACAATTCCCTCCTATTCCCCATTTATCTAAGTTTATGTGCCCACCTTGAATTCGCGCACCCAATTGTATTTAGTGGATTGTTGTAATTGACATTCGTACTAGTAAACAGGAAACACAATAACTAGCCCGCCTTCTCAAAATAAACATGCTATCAATATCCGGCCACGCGGAATAGGCATAATCATAACCTCCATTATCATGCGCCACCTTGCCAATAAATAAGGGTTCGGCCGGATCTGGTCATGGAGGTGGAGCTGAGGACGTATAAAAATGGATGACGAGAGCGTACAACGTACTCTAATCTAAGTGCACGCGGTGATATGTGGCTGAGAGAGGCGCAGTTCATACCTGACCTGAACGCCTGGTTAATCCACGACAACGACTTTAGTACAGCGATGCAGAGAGATCCGGTCTTGATAAGATTGATTTACCTTTATTTTTGCTTGTTTTCCGTCCCTTATTGGCTGCCAAGCAGCCATTGAGCCTTAGCGTCTCTACGTATGGTGTACTATGAATGAAGCTGCGTCAGCAGAAACGTCATTTTGGTGGGCTATCTATGCTCCATACTGGTGTCGCGCGCATCAAGGGAAATTACTTCGAACATAGGTTAGCCCCTGCATATTTGGGTGGGGAGATATGGCGGCTACCTAGAGATGGTGGTGGGAGTCTCGGGGAGTTTTCGGGGATTCGCCGAGCGGAGAGGGACGAATACGGAATGGGGGTCGTATTGCGTGGAAGAGGGGTTATATTGTTAGTTATCTTAATTATAGATGTGAATGGAATCCCTAGCAACGTTCTTTCTATGATGTTAGACGTTGGTTCTACACCTAATGTTATGATTGCTGGACTATTGACTGTCAGTGTGCCGGTATCGATACAACCACGGGTCTATTGCGAACACCCCTTAAGCTGAAACGTATATGAGACAGCTAGGCTTGGAAAGCTAATAAGATGAGACACCTAGGCGGTTACAAGCTAACGGCTTCGGTGCTACTCAGTCTAAGGAATACCATGCCCCGCGAGATTGACTCTTGTTTCATCATTCCCACTTCCCCTCTATGATCTTGATGTGGTTGACCAGCAGAATACAATCGAGTTGAGTTCTTCAAACACAGGTAATAGGTATAGCCCTCAAATGATTTGGACACACATTAAGTAATAAAACCATGCTGACATTCATTTATCAATCTCAGACTGAACAGACAAGTTTCTACGTCCGCTCCCTCCTCTCCAAATCATGCAGTACCTTGATCGTAACTCTTCATAACCGCCTCCCTATGTTCTGGACGCTATATCATTCAGTCAGCCAAAGCTAATCGTCTAGCCTGCCTTTCCCTCTCTTTCTCCTCTTCGTCCTTTATCCCATACCCGAGAAGGAAGCAAGTCCACCCTTCTCTCCACGGCCGAGACCGGCACGCATGTCATCCGACCTCGAAATGAAAGCGAAGCTGTTCGGTGCGACATACGGGCACCAGCACCCGGGTCCTGCGTGTGACGAGTGGCCACGCAACGTACAGCAAACACAATGCGGGGTTTGTCAAGAGACAGGACTTTGTGTGATGTGACACAGCCTGAGGCTCGAGGGCCAAAAAGGGTCATGCGAAGGTCCGGCAGAATGGAATCGCGCATCTAGACTATGCTGAATGGCTTTCTTCTGGCGCATAGGAACAAGAGGGCTTGCATGGCTCTCGGGGTAGCAATCGGCATCGCGGGGGAGACAGATTCCACTAGACCTGTGAGTACCGACGGCGACCAGTTCTTCTATGCTAGAGCTCGAGGCGTTTGGAGTTCTGTCTTGCTTGGCTTTGATTCCTCGTGGACCAGTCTTTTGCTTCGCGTTGTCAAGTTCTGAGTGCAATGATTTAAAGAAAAAAGAAGATAGGAACTGCGATACAAGGCAATGAATCCAAAGTCAGGATAAGTACGTAGTAAGAAAACGAAAAGGTAACCCTCGACTTTGGCGTTATTAGCACCACACTCTAAGCAACCGAGTCATGGAACCCGGTTGTTCCTTCCAAGGTTGGCAACTATTTGGCTATATCAGGAAAGTACAAGGTTAGGGCTGAACTGTACAAAAAAGGAAAGCGCGATTCACATCGTTTCTCTACCTATATCTACACATGGATAACAGGGACCAGGAGTTGCTCGATTAACGAGGCACCTTGGGCTGTTTCCATCTTCTGTCCTTGATACCAATTACAATTCCTCATCTGTCATACCTTCACTATCGTGACACTCGTCAAACCACCCGATTGGTTCTAATTCGTTCACATCTATCACATATGTACCTGTATGTACCGGATTTTAGGCCACAGTCGCGAATTTCCCGATCGGGGTGCCGCCGCTTTTATGAAGGCGGTCAGGCTCCTGCTCACTGAGTATTTCACAGCACGGGTGATCACTGTGAGCACTTAGCTTAGTAATGTAAAAATATTGCTAAAACGAATATCTTAAATCACGTGATAGGTGGATCATTCATATGTGGTCCCGAACGGATGTTAGGGCCTAGTATATATACCGCTGCAGTGACAATCGGAGGTTCCGATTGTCCCTATGATCTTTTGGCCGAGTGGCTAAATGCTCTTATGTGATCACCTAGGCGCAGCGGCCTAAGAAACCCTCTGGATTACAATTTGGTGTAATACTAGTCACGTGACCTTGTTTCTTTTCGCAAAAAGGTGGGTCCATACCTGATTTTTACTATATACAGGTTTTGAACCTTGAACACTAGAGGACTGCGTACTATAGGGGGTTCACATTGCTAGTGTATTTAGTGCGAGTGTTGAGAAACCCAGCCAGTTCTTAGTAACTACGTGGGATCCAAAGGGAAGGCAAAAAAAGGCTTCTCAATGTCGATCCAGCCGGAATCTAAAGACTCTCTATTTTTATATGTGGTCAATCTAGCCAGCCAGGCCCCACTGCAACAGTACTTTCAAACCTACAGGACCCTAGACCGATCCAAAAGTACTGTTGCACCTAGACCAAGAAGATTAAAGACTACACCCACGTCTACAGAGGCACCCTCATTAATTGGCTCAATTTCACCGGATATCGCCTCGTTCGGAGGTGATAAAAATCCCCTAGGGTGGCGTTATATTATCAGCGTTATTGAACTCTTTGGACTACTCAGCATCAATCGGAGCAGACCTGGAAATTATTTAATATATCCTCCTGATTCATTTTCCTTGTGGAATTTCTAGTTTTATTTCTCTGGTCGATCCATCAATTTTCAGGATATGCATAGACGTATTGATTAAAAGCCAAACCAACAAGCCTCAACCTCCTATTAATATTTTAATTAGGCTTGACAGTACTTCCTGAGGTACCTCCATATGAGCAAAGTCACGACCTACAAGATGATATGAAAAGAAAAAAAAAAGAAAAAAAGAAAAAAAGAAAAAAAGAAAAAAAGAAAAAAAGAAAAAAAGAAAAAAAGAAAAAACCAACAACAACAACAACAACAACAACAACAACAACAACAACAACAACAACAACAACAAGCAAGAAGCGAACAAAAAGCAAAAGAGCAAAACGAAACAGAAAAGAAATCAAGAACACGAGGCAAAATGTGAGCGGTGGTAAACCACTACACTAGAACAATCCCAACGTCCGTCATAGGGTCATCCTCTGCTGAAACGTCCTTAGACACGAAGGGGGAGAGAGAGATGGCCTCTTGCATAATGTAGGTCAAGAGATCAACTACCTTACCGTAGTTTCTTCCGAGGGTTCGGTAGGAAACGGTTGTCCACTATTCATAAATCAGACACTTGCCCTCAGTAGTAATAGGATAATTAGACCATACCTCGCTATCATTGTTTATTTAGTGAAAATGAAACTCATCTCTATCACTAGCCATACCGTAGACAACTGTATTGACCTTTCTCAGGGTCTTGCGCTCTTAGTGAACGATACCTAGGAGAAAAGGGGATGGTTAGAAAAGTACTGTTAGACATAGTCTATTAAGACATACCCATATAGCCAAGGAGTTGGGCCTCCCCAGCGCTCACCATACCCTTCTTCTTGGCCTCAACGATAACCAGGTTAATCGCCTTTTCTGACATCGCACGGGTTTCTCCGTACCACAAAGTGTAATCCGCACGTCCGCTGGTTTTGTACTACCTCGTATCGTACAGGATCGGGCGAGAGGTCATACAGGTTTCGTATTCTAGGTTCAAGGGCCATTGCCTATGGTCGCTAGACGCAGAGACCTAATCCAGCACTGAGTATAGTAGAATGTCAATAACGCATCGTACTGCTGTTTCTTTTTGAGTACTGCACTAGCTACCTCTTTGAACTATTCCTAACATTTCGACTATTAGATGTCAGTATGTGGTCACTGAGTTATTGTATCCATATGACCAGGCAGAACTAAGCAAAATCAGGGCAATATGTGGGAAAACGTAGGTTATTGGGATATAGCCTAGCCGAAAAGTACTTCCAGGGAAGGGACTTACGAGCACATTGTGGGAGAGGGGCTCCTGGAGGGGGATGCATCCACGGGGCCTGGTCTGTTAGGTTTAGCGTTAGGCGAAAAGCGACTTTTACTTCCTTTCGGGTCATTTTCCCAATGGGGACCTTTAGGAGAGGGAGTGATATCTGCCCATGTTGTTATTCGGTTTTGGCTAGAAGTGCCCAGAACTCATCCTTTTGTTCTAGTCTCAGACATTCTTTGGCATCCTGGTATACCTGTTTCAACAAGAGGGAAGGATCCTTAAGTAAGTCTGAAGACGGGGATATGGGGGTCGGAAATTCTGATGTTGGCGAGGAATCCAAAGAGGAACTCGAAGATCCTGGAGACAAATGTGTACCCATCGGATACGACGATACAGGCGCCGAAGACATGGATTTCTGCGAAGAATATGAGGCTTTTCGGGGCATGATTGTGGGTTAAAATGGTTGTTGTGGGTTGGAAGACGAAGGGGAGGGAAACGAAAGAGGAAACAGATGGATGAGGGTGACTGCCACCGCGACCCAAAACATTACCTCACCTCATCGACACTCTGGCCGCCTTCCTTTTTGTTCACGGTTGGCAAAGAAGGCTTCGGAAAAACCTTAGCATTACCTCAGGTCTTGGTATTTAGAAAGCTTCGTACGCAATGTACCCCTTTAGCTGACAATACTTTTCGCGTGCTACATACATGTATCCGCCTCCTTTAGACGACTTCCTTTCATCAGGAGTGGGAGTTGGTTCATAAAAAAGAATACTACAACCTTCTTTCTCCTCCAATATCATTTAGCTCGCCTAACCATGAGGTATAAAAAGAAATATGTACTTTGTAGCAGTAGAGATGGGGATAAACGTACGATGTACAACATATCGGCACTTTGCTTTGAGAGCGCCGATCTCAGTCAGCCACCGAATGCGATAAATTAGCTTAAGGATAGAGAAAAGCAGAGAAACAGAAAAGACACAGAAGAGCAAAGCAAAAGCGAAGCAGAACAAAGTGCAAGCCAAGCGAAACGGAAATATCAAAAAGAAAAATTATCATGCTTCCTTGAAAGAGAGGTCTTCAGGAGGCAAATTCTCCCCAGAGGCTGAAGCAGGGGGAATGGCTTTTCGGGGGAGTAAATCAGGGCCGAGCGTTACACCCACAAAGTCCAAATGTACAACGCTGGTCCACAGAACCCACCCTTCCCATGACATCTGTAGGATAAAGAAAACAGAGGCATCGGTTTCGAATGCATTGCAAATCTCAACTTTCATGTTCGACGGGAGTGAGCGAACGGCTTTTGAAAAGTTATCCACAGCGTCTCGTTGTCCCTCAAGCGTCAGCTTCACCAGCACGTGCTTTTGGCTCACTCCAGATAATGGCCGAGGGAGGCGGGATCGACTAGTATCACTGAACGCAAGGCTGATTGCTCTGGTGCCGCTAAACGTTTCAAACACGGCGTGGGGAGCATGCTTAGGCTTCTCGACTTGTACTTGCTGGTACCACTCAGCCGTTGTGAAATTCTGTTGGTTCTTAAACTTTTGCACGGCGCGGAACAGTCTTTGGGTAAACGAAGCGGTATTTGAGCGTACGGACGCAATTTCATGAACACCACATGCCGCAATGATGTGAATGTTCGTTGTCGAGTTGGGCTGCCGTGCTGCAGCAGCCGCGTGGCAGCAATCGAGTATTACCAGAGAATCCACTGACTGTGCAGATTCCAGAGTACCTCTGATAGACCGCCACAGAATTCTTTTATGACGTGACGTAAAGCACAGAGCATCATCATGAAGGCCACCATGACCAACATAAAAGAAAATGAACAGAGAGGGTAGTGACGACCGGATACATTGTCCAAGGAGTTTGTTGAGATTCTCTTGCAGGCTCCAGGCTGGTGTTTTGTCCGAATTCGGGATCACAAATCTGTTACATTGGACCCCAAGCGGTTTCAGAATTGATTCCATTGTCACCATATCATTCTCTGCGCCAGTTTCATCGTTTTCCCACCGGATCAATATGCCAATCTTTCGCACATGAAACTTGCTCCGTGCGGAAGCTACTTTCTTCAGCGCTGCTTCAAGGTCAGGAAGCTTTCTGGTCGAGACTGGTTTGGTTGGGAATGAGATGGGGATAGTGCTTGGGCTTGCGGCCGCAGGTTGCTTTGCGGGTGACTTTAAGCCTGGTAACTGCGACATCTTGCTAAGAGAACAAAATGTCGGCCTGTGCATAAAGTGAGGGGACTGATCTTAGCCTCACTTCTCGGTCAGATGAGACTAGCAGGGTTGTAGAAATCAGAAGGGTGATTGTTGTTTGGCGAAAAAAAAGTAGTAGTGCAGAAATCAGAAGGTTGATCGTTGTTTGAGGAAAAAAGCAAGGAGAGTTAGGAAAGGGGAGGAGGGTGGTGTTTCTATCTGTGATTTTGCTGCCTTCCCAATTGGGCGACGGCGACCATCCATGGATTCCGTTGGTCCTGTCTTCTTTATTATTTCTATTGTCCTCTTGTTCATTCCTATTGTTAACTCATAACTCTCTCACCTTCAATCTCTCTCTACCCGCGCTTAAACTATGTAATAGCCCTGGAGGTAAGATACCGGAACTCTGGGGTAGTGATATACAAGAGCCTACAATGTATCCAATCAGTCGCCTCCCTGCATAATCCTTGGCACGCTAATCGCTCCACTCTAGGACGCCTAATTCTATAAATGAAATCATCCACTGCCCTTAGGATTGATCGTAGTATACTTTGTTAAGTATACATTACGGTGAAGTCCATGTCGCGGGATAGTCACTAGAATATTAGGCATAGATATTGTAGTGGGGAGGTAGGCTCCCCACTACAATCAGTACATATCACCTTTTCTTGTTTTTTTTCTTTTAAATGTTGTTCAGGCGTTATGTTATGTAAGCGAGCATTGGGATTTGAGGTTACTGTCGAAGTCCCGACAGCTGGTCGAATGTTAGAATGGGACCGCTAATTTTTAGCGCCTCTTGGCCCAGAGGAACATGTATTAATCCGAATTCCGAGAGCTCGGCGAATGTCAGACATCAGCGAATGTCGGGATTCTTTTAGGGGTTATAATACCCTAGTACAGAAGAAGATAGGATTTAGTGGTAAAGATAATACTGTAAATAATGATCACGGGGTCTTTATGAACGTCTATTATAAGCTATGAAGACATCCTAGTATAAAGAGAGATCTCGACATTCGCTAAGACCCCTCTGAGCAGATAGATGGTCGAAACGCGGATTAACACGGATTAATATATTTTCCTTCACGCTAAATTAGCGGTCCCATTCTAACATTCGATCAGCTGTAAGCCCTCGCTTGTGAATTACGTTAGTTAACTGAGCGGGTCTAATGATTACATAATAGTCAGGGGCGTGTTCAGTTTTACTCAGTGAGCAAACAGCGGCAAGGGGTGAGCACTAAAACGGAAAGGGAAAGCCATGTCGCGAGGCCTAAAATCCGGTGTATATGCTTGGTCCTGAAGAGATAACCCCATAGCATTATCTCCACTATACGAAGCTACAGCCATTGTTATATTTTCCCGATCCGAAAGTTGACTGGACCCTAGTGGTGTAATTATGACACCACTCGCTAGGGGTCCAATTGAGGCTCTGTTCAAGTTTCATGCCTTTACCCACACCATCTGACACAGCTTCCAATAAGTGATCGACCGCCGATAAACAGTTGAACATGAAGAAGATATTTAGAATATGGTCGACAACACGCCTGGCCGATCTGAGATTCGATTTACCGATTCGATTTTCAGCGCTGTTCATCCAATAGCACACTAAAAACTGACTCAGACCAGTGGAGTCCATTTCAGGGAAGCTTTCGGCCGGCTATCCAAAGTTGGAAAATTCGCCGATGAAGGATGGGGGCGGAAATGTTTTCCTTTACTCCTCAGCCTATGAGTCGAGTTCTTGGTTTCTTCATTCACCATCGACACTGTCCGAGAATCATTGAAATTCAGCCGCAATTAGATTTCCTTGTTTTACTCTCGGTATCCAAACACCTGGAAGTCTCTGATCAACAAAATGAATCGCATCGCCCTCAGAACCCATGTTGTGGGTAGCGATTGCGGAGATAATGCGGAGCACTAGGGGCTCCATTCGAGGGTGGGTTTGCAAGCCTAGGGTCGAGGCTATTTGTAGCGAATCGGGCTCTCAACCAGACCACATCAGGTCATCCTCACAGGGCATACAAATTCCACGGACCTAGACAGCTTAAAAGCGCTAGGATTAATCGTCTCATTGGCCTATGCAGCGACGCGCTTGTTAATCTTACTTTTGTGGAAGACCTGGTCCAACAGTCTTCAAACGAGACATTAAGAACGGGGCTGCTTACTATCCTCGTTCCGAACTCTCCCGCCGTTTCACTGTGATTCGCTCCGTCTAGGCTGTGCAGGGGACCGAATCGGTCCATATATAGGCACTGTATAGTAAGTATAGTGCGGTTAACATGCGCATCGCAACGATCTCTTGAATAGCCTCATGTCAGAGTCTAGAATCGTCTAAAAATAACCAAGTACCCTGATAAACAAGATATCAGTACGCTTCTCGCTTAAAATGCAATTAAGCCCCCAAATAAGCAAAAGCGCAGACCGACATGCCAAGCAGCTAACCAGTTTACGATAGGGCTAGGAAGAACAGTACAGTGTACACTGCCCAAGTGGACCCCT